TGTAACATTTTTCATACCCTGGACCAGGGAATGTAAAATTCATATGCCATTTCTCGAGCATTTGTGACTGAATATTTAGAACAGGTAGCTGCATCAGCCGCAGCTACAACCACTTCTTCAGCAACTTGAGCAGTGAGCTGCTTCAGCAACTGTCTCCCTCTTTGAGCCACGCCAAATCTCCAGCCTCTTCAAATTTCTTCATTACCTTTTTTAACCAGGGTCTTGTCATCTGCCGTTTCTTTCAGTCCCTCCAACGAATGATATCTGCAATGCAGCTAAGCAATTCTGCCGCTTTCGTACAGTTATTTGCGAAGATAATTTATTTAGTTATTTGACGAACAGTGCGCGTTCTTTCTTCTTTAGACGCATTATTGACCCAAACAAGAATAGTTTACTGATACCGATAGCTTTCTTTTTTATGCGAAACCTTTCTTTAGAGAAGAAAGAATATGCTTTGTTTTCCAAGTTATTTTATGAGAACAGCAACAGCTGCTCAGTTGCGTTGAGAAAATAGTCTTTTCTAATTCGCATAGAAGAAATATATTTTCCATATTGATAAAATGTTTCTTAAAAAGCGAAAATTTGTGCCCTAGTGGCGAAAATGTGAGCTTTTTTTTTTTTTTATTTCTTCCTATTTCTGTTCTCTATTGCCTAAAGTTGTGGTCTCAAACTCGCAGTACGCGAATGCACTTCAGTCGTGTATATGCTGCCAATACGGTAGGTATAGTTTTAGAGACATAAAGATACGGTTTGAGCTGTTATTGGATAAAGATATGGAGTGAGCTTTTATTTATTTGAAGTAAAAATGATGGAATGGATAGATTGTAGTTTGTCTTTGTTACAGTATGCTTAAAGTACAGGTAGAAGCTGTGCCAGCACCTCTGTAGTACCACACAAGTGACTGAGATACTGTTGAACATAGTTAATTGTTAATCTTACTCCCCAATTTTGAGGGAGGCGGTCTGAGGTTGCCCCGTCACTCTTCCCCTGCTATCAAAAGGACCTTTGGCTCGCCGTGTATTTTGAGTGTTTCCCATGCCGCACAGACACTATTTGCTTACAAACATCCATGCCTTCTCCGGAATTCGAGCACGGGCTCTTCTGTACGACAGGCAGCGTCACTAATTTCTATACCGTTCAGGAGGCAGTGCGCTTGTACACCAAGCTGCGCGACTAAGGGTAAGGTAAGGGAAATTCCCTTGTTGGTATAATCAATAAATTTCATTTTAACCAGCCCACAGCTGGTAGCGCTTGAAATTTCCAGTTAAGGTTAAACGTAAGTTGTTAAGTGCGGTTAATTCAAATATTGTAATTATGTGATATAAATATGAGACATAGAATTAAATATTTAGGTATAAATGCGTTTGAATTACAAGCATAACCAACAGAAATTTCTTACAGATACCAAACTTTATTCTTCATATAAAATAAATATAAGTTTGAATTTTTCCTTTCTGTTATTATTGTCTATTTATGTTTTGTAAATATTCAATAAATGAAACTAATTTTACTTTTTTTGTTAAAAAGTTTTTGTTTTATTTTGTTAAAAAAATCTATTCTGGCCCATCAGCTGCTTTCAGATAGTACTTTCGGCCCGCATTTGAGTTTGAGTTTAGTCTGAAGAACCTGTATTCTAAATTCCGTTACTTTGTGTTCATTAGAATGGGCTACTATGAACTTTGAATAAAACCTTATTTATAGCACTTCTGTATTTTATATATAATAAAAAGCTGTTAAGTTTGTGAAAATATATTCCGTGTTATATAATTTTATCGGCATTTTTGATTTAAGAGTCCAGTATTTCATTACAAATGCTAAAATATTCAATAAAATTTCATCGCATACTTGTGTTATTACCGGGACATATCATGGCATGTCTTCAAGCACAGATATTTTATGAGTTTATTTCTCATTTACTTCCGCATCATCTGAAGGAAAACAGAAAAGTAAGTAGTTAAAACTTTTCACAATCTGTCACTTGCTACGCTTCTGAAATAAAGAAATGCGAAGATAATTTATTTTCCCGACTCTTATCTCAGCTTGCAGAACTTCTGTTTCAAAAGTGAGACCTTTGTAATATAAAGAAAAGAAAAAAAGATCGAGAGAAAAATTGCTAAATCGTTTTACGTAAAGAAGAGAAGATAAAAGATTTCACCGCGTTTAAATTTATTATGGATGTCGTCCGATAAAAGATCGTTTTCTGGGAAAAAGAGATAAAAATCTGGGAAAAGAAAAATAAGAAATAATGATTGTTTCGAGTTCTTCACACTGGTGTTAACTTTGGAAGTTGAAATGGAAATTCTAGCTTGTAAATGCTGCTTTTCTTTTTAACACAAAATCAGTAACTGATTGTGATGGAAAGCGAGAAATTGTTAAGAATCGTATGCAGGAGGTTTTTAGGATTTGCTTATTTATTTAATTTAATATGCAAAGCGCAGGAAGGCTATCTGTCTTCTTAAAGAAGGAGATGAGAGACTAGAACCTGAATCAAACTAACATTGAACAGTGGTTTTAGTCACTTGGCCTCTGATGCGCGTCATTCTGTAGGGCATAAAGAGCTTTTACCCTACAAAATGTTCTAGGTGTCCAAATCTTCTGTCTGCTAGCTTGGACGAAGTGTTATTAAACTATTTAATGTGCCAGAGCTGTGTAGTTTTCATTTATGTAGGCTTTCATTCCATATGAGTAATTTGGTGTGACAATCATAGGTCATACGGTTTCTTCTGTAGGCTTTTATCTTTTGATAGCACAAATTTGTAACACAGGAACGAAGTAATCTGTTTGTGGTGTGCCTTGCACATACATCGAAAATAAGTCTGGCACCAACTGTGGTAGAAATAATTGTACATCACTTGAATGGCAACAGCGGATGATACTCCTTACATTATGTTTTGAAATGGAGTCAGTTCTTCTTGCGATACTATTGCAAGAAGAACTAACTGAAATTGAGTTTGGGTGTAAATGAAATGAAGTGAAAGTAATTATTTTTTCAGTTACACATAAAAATAAAACGATGAGTTTAAAATGAGCAACTATAAAGCCTCTTCTCTAAAAATTTTTAAAAAGTATGTGTTGCAATAATATGTGGATAACAAAAATGTTTATTTTATTTAAAACATTTTTGGCGTTTGGAACATAAAATAAAAGTCAAGAATACTCTATGAAGGGTATCGAAAGACGTATACAATTTAAAATGTACCGTAAGCTATTTTTCATTCTAAAGAATGCATAACATTTTTGCTAAAAATCTATATTTTTGTAGTTCAACAGCTTAGAATTTTATAAAACAAATTTATAACATTTTTCCTAAAAATCTATATTTTTGTAGTTCAACAGCTTAGAATTTTATAAAACAAATTTATAACATTTTTGCTAAAAATCTATATTTTTGTAGTTCAACAGCTTAGAATTTTATAAAACAAATTTATAATCAAAATTGCTATTGTTAGTTATCGAAAAATAACCAAGATGTGATTTTTGCGTAAATGTCACTAAACTATGCAAATTGGTATTATCCATCACACAAGGAACGTTTCTTTCATGCGGAAGTATCCCGTTTTTCGATTTGTATAGAACTGTCGTGTGTCGAAATATTATCAGAGCGCTGTCAAGGGAGCTTCTAAATGTAAACAAAAAACGCCCCATCTGGAGAGTGAAGCTTCGGAGCAGTGCTTCACTTGTAGTGCTGATTTGGTCTCTCCTTCATTTTTTACCTCCATGGGTAGAAGTGATTAGAAGGGGGGAAGAAACTTCAAAAGAAGTTGAATTGTTACCTGACGACGGAAAAAGAATTCTTAAACGAAATGTGACTGGGCGAAAAAGCATATACTCGTATGAGAAGCACTCGTATGAAATACTTGGAGCAACGTATTGCTAAAATATTTGCTAAAATATAGACTTTAGCAAAAATTTTATGCTTAAAGAATAAAAAATACCTTACGGTACATTTAAAATTGTATATTTCTTTCAATACCCTTGAACGTTAATAGTATGTATTCGCTACTTTTATTTTATGTTCCATGATGAAAAAAGAGAGTTATTTAAACATATTAATATGAAAAGTGTAGCAGAATGCTAAAGGACTTACGGTAAATACCGATTATTATTTTCGACAAAATAAGAACCCCACGCTGTTGAAATCGTCGGGAGGCACTGTTTGCTATGCATTGTGGCAAAATGGCTCTATACTTTCCACATTCTCTGAGTTAAATCCAATAAAACGTTTACGGGATTATCTGGAGCTTTAAACTACATAAAATTCCGTAAAGGCATTAAATACGTTAAGGCTTATAATGGCAAAATAATGGAGTAGCATAAGTCCCAAGGACACATTAAGATAAGTATACAAAAGAGGTTTAGTAAAGTCCTTTAAAAAAGTAGAAAAAAAATATTCTGCAAGCTATTATTTGTTCCCTAATTTCTTAACGTTTTCGTTTTGCAGGCTTTATCTTTTGTATTGGCATTTTTTCAATTTTAAGTGAAAGTGAAATATCTTAAATTTACATTATTTGAATAACAGAATTTTACAAAAGTAATGTAAACATTTAAATGTTCCTTACCCCATATATATGATTTTTTGTACTGTCTGTATACAAACCTTTTCATCCGTAGCATCTGGAAGATCCGTGGCTCGAATCTCGGAGTCTATTTTTCACGCTCCCTAGTTTCGAAAAACCTAATGTCTTTATAAGATAATCTCGGACAAAAACGTTTTCATTCCTAAAAATCAATTAATAGAAATATTACCCTAAAATTAAATATAATTTACTCTACATGAAGCCTTTATATTGTAGAAAAACTCTGTATTAAATCGTGAACTGGTGTGTCTCAAAGTCAGTGATCTTCGACATTTGTAATTACATCAACACAATCTTTAAAATGTCTAGTCGCTGTTAGTTTCAAATACTATGTAATTATTTTTTGTTAGCCCTTTTTTCTGTTCTGTGAGTGTCTTCAGATTCAGAAAAAAAAGCGATTAATATTATGAACTTTTTTTTCAGGTTTTTACCTGCTATTCATGCGTTGTTCACCTTCGCACACGCCTATCGTAAAGCTTGGACCGATAAGTGTAATGGTGTGCCTGGTATGTGTCACGATTTGAAAGTCATGTCGAGAAGAGAATTTGTGGAACGGTATTTAGAACCACTGGAGTTTGCACATGACTCCCGCGAAAGAAGCCCGGAAGGAGTGGTAGGTGAGAAAACAAGTCAAGGTGCCAGCGGAGAAATGGAAGGCATGCAGATTGCGTTAAATGCGTATTCCTTCTCACCGAGCAGTGGACTCCAGTTCAAGCAGGTGAGTTAACTTTCATACTCTTTTCCCAAAATGAGAATATTTTCCGTCTCGTAAAATAACAAAAGGATTGTGAGTACTTGCGTATTAACTGCCACCCCGATATACCGCCATCAATCTACACAATGCATCCATAAAGTTTTAAAACCAAGTTCAGTACCTCCTATATGCTTAAAGTAGTATTGACTAAGTTTGTAGACAACCGAACATTGAAAGAAACAACATTCTTACTTCTTAACATTCAGTATTGAATTCTTATCAGTTTAGTCAACGCTTGACACGTTTATACAGCTGTTTGATTCACCCGCAGAATTCAAAGTTACTATCCTTCGGAGTTTGCTCTTCTATGACGTCACTGACTCATAGTCTGCTCACAAGAAACTATTCCGTACTCCTTTTATGTCTTCGTTTCCCTTACTTCTATACGTATATCGACGTCATTGATTCGAGCGTTGGAAAGAGACTAGCTTTGTTTGCCTACTAACCTTGGTAGAAATTATCTTTTAGAATATTGTTAGTATCTGGTTACAGCTTCTGAAAAAATAATGAATGACTTTTAAGCTGAGAGTTCATTTTATAGAAAGAAAAGTAATCTACTGATAAAAAACATGATGAGTAAAAAGAAATGGTACAAGAATGTGACACTTTTCTTTGTTAAAAATCTGCTTCAATCGTGTGGCAAAGCGTTGTCGTGCAGCAAGAACCATTATTTTGATTGACCGTTTTCAGATCTCAATTCTGTTCAGAAGTCTATCAATTATGTCTTAGGATTCACCAGTTAGCGAACTTATTCGATTAAACTGTGAAAGGTGAAAACTTTTTCTTTAAAAAAAAAAAATTAGATTCATCATCAATATCCTCGAGTCGAATAGCCAACGTCGCCCGTAACCAATGATAAACACTGTATCATGTTAATGCTTTTGAACCCTACATATTTTATGCAACATTTTTTATTCTTTTATTACTGTTTTCTCCGCTTAACATGAAAACTTTATTGCTGTTCTTTGCTCGGCACGTAAGCAGATGATAGTTTAGGAAAGCAAGTTGACATTTCATAGTAATAAATACTGTTATCATGTTCATAGGAATAAATACTGTTAAATATCATGGGGCAGATAACTAAAATTTGTTTAAATAAATCTAAATGCTTGTAGACGCCTCTAGGCGATGAAATATCTTTTCAACTTGACCAGATCAATAAAAGCTATTTTTTTATCAATGGATATGTTCGCATTTAAAATCGCACCATCGTTGCTTGTCTGTGTTTCTCTATAAACTTTGCTAAATATGAAGGCAAATTAACTTTTTTGAACCTGACATTACATTTTTAATCATGTATCTTCTACTATGTATAATTTATCCGCGTGAGAATTGGAACACTCACGATTTTTGACAAAATATCACGTACCTGAAAATGACTCTTTCTGCTTCATTTCTTGGTAAATCAAATAAATCCATGCTTGAGAATGCATATTTCGAAATTTGTTGAGGATTCTAAAAATTCGAACATTTATAGAATTTATGAAACAGGAACTAGTAAGGAGAAAAATCTGAACTTCGCAGTTTAATGGATATTAGTAGAAAATCTAATATTTAAGAATTAAAAAAAAACTTTAAAATTATATTTCAATATAAAATTATAGCCATCATTCAAGTTACATTAAACAACATCAAACATCATCAAGAGTTACTTAATAAGAATAAGTAATAAACGTTACATTTAACATCATAGCGTTGCATTCAAAATCTTAATAATACGTTCAACGTTACATTCAATAAGCGTTCAATAATCGTTACATTAATCTTAATAATAAACGTTGTATTCAGTAAGCCTTACATTCAACATCATCGAGCGTTACTTAATAACTCCTTGAAGTTACACTTTTCATACTGTTTAACCAAACGGGTGTTAGCGTGCGAATTAAAGTTATATATGACTGCTACTTAAAATATAATATTCTTACCTTGCGCCATTTAAAAATTTAAATTAGTAGCCGTTATTTGTTAATTCTAAAGCATTCTTTTTTCGAATTTTAACTGCTGTTTTAATTTATTTTAATTGTGATTAAATTTCATAGGACCTTGTGAAGAATAATTGTAGTTATATTTGTATTTTATATCGAAAAATAATCTGCTATTTTTACTTCTTTATACTAAGTAAAGGAAGTATTGTAATCGCGAAAAATTTCGGTTATCATATTTCAAAGAAGCTATTCATTTTGACACCTCTCGAATCTATTTGAACGATGTTTTTGCGTGACATTTGTACGTACAGTCAGTTTTTTTTTTTCTTATATGTTGGTAATTTGTGCATTTTTTTGCTTAGAAAGTGATTGAGTTATGATGTTTTAATGTTCTGCTTAAGGATTTTATGACTCCAGTTAATCTGCATGCATTTTTTGTAAAATTATCAACAATTTAAAAGTTCTTTAAGTGCTATTAAGACTAATGAAGCCATCATTTATTAACATTTTAAACTTTTAGTAGAATAATGATTTAAGTCTGTTTCTGCACCTTTCTGCCGAGAGGGACCAAAAGTAAATTTTCAATTTTGTGTACCCAAAAGTATATCTTCTAGCCCGCTGGCAGAATTGCCTTTTTTTCCCATATAAACTGTAATTTTAATTGTAAAAATTGTTTTTTAACTGTATATGGTGTCTTATGTTTTTCTGTATTTTATAATTTTTAATGAAGATGTTTTGAGTTTTTTATGTATATTTTTGCGTTGCCGAGGAATTTTAGTGATTTCTCAGAATGACATAATTTGTATAAACGCCTGATAAAAATGTAATTTTTTTCTGTCAGATGAAACTTCAGATCTTGACTTTGATAGCGTAATGCTTTGAGTTCGTCGTTGTACCACTTATTACCATCCATCGCAAACTGACAGGCAGAACTGATTTAATTGAATGAGAAATATATTTCTAATGAAATTCGAGGAAATAAGTTTAAATGAAATGTAGCAAAATATGTGTATAATTTTATAGGCCATACAAGGAAGTCATGTGTCCATATCAGATGTTTCTTTCATATTCTGTAACTACGTTTCTAAATCTGTCTTTAGTTAGTGCTCGACATATTTCTTCAGATATTACATATATAATATAACTTCATATAAGTTAAGTTTCGGCATATGAAAATGACTGCTAGAATACAGATTCTCGGCAATGCACTAAAACTGCTGATCTGATTTGTTGTTATTATTTTCATTACATTACATCCGTAGATTTTTTTTTTTTCGCTGCAGTATATTAAGACGCAGATGCAAATTAAAGAATTATTATCTGGATTTTATAATTCAATTTTACTCAGACGTATAAAACGGTTTCAAAACCTATTTTATGCACGTTTTTCTGAATCAGAGGATTACTCAGTTTGATGTGGAATTGATACTATGTAAACTAATACCAATTGTTTTATGATTTTTAAATGAATTTTGAACTTCATTTTTTATCATTCTCTGTATTATCACTAATTTTTTTGTCAAATTTATGCAGGTTTTAGCATATGATGCACAAGAAGTAAAAGTTTTGGATGCATCTTTCCTTCATGTTCCATCAGTATGTCCTAAGGGTGGTTGCAAGGATTGCTTAAGGTACGAAATGTTTTACTGAATTAAGAAGACTAAAAATAATTTCATTATTAATATCTATGCCGCGAAGTTGCTATAAACGTTTTCGTAATTTAAATGGTGTAAGGTGTTTTAAATTATTAACATAATTAGCAATGACTGTTTTTGTTTGAGTATTTATATATGTATAAAATATTCAGACAGCTAATATTTCATATGAAAAATTCCATCCAAAATACTTTAGTGAGAGAATTATAAAATACGCTGATCAGCTCTGAAAAGAAAGAAAAGTCGCAAAGTCATGCAAATTTGGGAAACTATAGTTAAGGCATACAAATGACCGAATTCATAAGCGCCAACTCTATTTAGTGATTTCTTAAAATGACATAATTTGTATAAAAGCTTGATCAAATGTAATTTTTTTCTGTCATATGAAACTTAGATCTTGACTTTGATAGCGTAATGCTTTGAGTTCGTCGTTGTACCACTTATCACCATCCATCGCAAACTGACAGGTACAGAATCGTTGAACTCCAAGATTCTGGCAGAATTCCACTATGGCAGATCACTAGGTTATTAGACTGAAACATCAGCATTGTTAAACGTTCTGTATCCCTTTGGTTGCAAGAATAATGATCAAATCGGACAGCAGTTAGTGGTGGCTAGAAGTAAACTTTGTTCTGATGGATCAACCAGTTAGAAAAATAGCGCAGTTACACTAATTGTGTTGAATAGGCCGCATTAAGACTTTTAGAGGCCCTAAGTACTTAAAAGATTTTGATGTTTTCACATAAATTTACGCCTTTTCGTCATTCCTTCTTTCTGGATCTTGGTTTATCTATGTCATATATTTCATGGTATAAACGGCCTTCCTGTGCCCTTTTCCAGAGTTCCTGAGCACCTTTTCGTGATGCCCTTTTTCCTTGTTGCCCTAAGCACATGCTTATTTTACTTAATTGCTAATCCAGCTCTGATGCTGAGCATCCTATACTAAACTCATTAATTTCATCACTGTCTACCAAACGATCAGAAGGCCGTCTACCAAACGATTATGGCTTCAGAGCACATGGTATATGAGCCAAAAGACCAGAGACATGATTTTGCTCTGATCCCATACCATTTCTTTCAACTGTCTAGAATTTTTTATGACTGTTCTCTTCAGCAACAATTCTTTATTCTATTTCGGAAGCAGTGCTGTTTGGAGATTGCTCCGGATCCCTCATGGTCAACGCCATCAATAAGGTTTCACGAGAAAACGTTGTACCGGCTTTGCTCCGAGAATAATGCTGTGAGGTGGCACAGCAGATAATGTATTGTTGCGCCCGTACGGGTTCATAATAGATTGAATGCACACAGATCCAATGATAGGTCGATAAAATTCATTTTATCAAAAAAAAAAAAAAAATACTTCAGAGTTCTGGAACTTTCCACAGAAATATTCGTACAGCTGTTCACGGTATCACAGAGTACAATCAGTAATTACACTTCAAACTACTAAGAACGTCAAACACAATACAGTTCGAAGCGCATTCCAACGACGAAGCTCTCATGAATATCTCAATACTTCGAAGTCGCTCTGAACTAACAACTAACAACTGAGAAACTGATTCTGTCTTCGGTCTTATATAGTCTTACCCCGGAAACCGAGAAATCTCTTAGTATTTTTGCTTCTCAAAATTACTGGAAGGCATATGAGGGCCGGATGCATATATGCATTCTGTACCGCGCCACGCGCATAGGGAAAAATCCTTTTTTGTGGTTGGACATACTTTCCGATGACATCATTTTCTCTTTGCGTAATGGCGTTTAGGTGGGATTAATACGTTTTGTTTTCGTTGAATGACACAAAAGCGTGAAAATTATCGTTTGTTTATTTGAAAGGAAAAAAAAAAATTAGCTGCAGCATTCCGCAGATGGCTTCGTGTTTCATGTAATAATAAAATTATAAAATCTTTCAAAGATGCTGTTAATATCAGAAGCGATTTCAAGAGCTTAGATTATATAAATAGCTGAGTTCATGAATTTAGTGCAAAAGCCAAAACACGACAATCTCGAGCCAACTGTAAAGGCATTGTGTGCTAGTAAGTACATTAGTATTATTGCAATTTTGTTGCATTCTGTTCCTATCACATTGCAGAAAATATTTCCTTTGCAAATGTTATTTCCGTGTTAATTTCCATGTCATTTCTGATATTCTGTTGCCTTAAATGAAAGAAAAAAGGGCATTCAGTATTTTTGCTGAATGTAATACACGTATATAAGAAAAGAAACTTCCTTCTCTGACAAACACTATTTTTATGCAAAGGTTTAAAAAATGTTACACACTTAAAAATGGGCAATATTCATAAAGTAATATTAGTAAGTATAAAATGTGTATCTCTATTTCTCTGTTCTAAAATTAGATTAGTCTAACTTCAAAAATAAATTTTACTCTGTCAGAATAATTATAAATATTGTAAATTTACTGTGTACTATGTCAGCTTCTAACGACGTTTTCATTCCGAAAACTAACTTGTCTCATGCTTTCGGAGATTGCATCTGCAGAGAAGGGATATATATAACGAACATGAAATAATGAATTAATAATCACAACACCTTTAATGTGAAGAGAATACTAATAATTAAGAACACTTAATACTAATATTAAAAATCTCTGCACTTGATATTAATATACATTTACGGAGTTAGCACAAGAAGAAATACTTTTTCACTCTAGGAAAAAATATCACTACATTTTTTTGTGTTGAATTCACCACGCTATAGTGTTGTAAGAAGTGTAATCTCATAGCAACAAAAATACCAGGCAGGTAATAATCTTTTCGGTATTGCTATCAAAATATAACCAAACGTATGAAGATGTACCCTCGAGTCCAAGCAAAGTCAAGGCGTTCCTAAGCGTAGAGGAAACGATGTCATCGAAAGCCATATCCAATCACGAGGAGAGATTTTTCCCCATGTGCGTGGCTCGGTACAGAGTTCTTATATGCGGGCCGGATACGTTTGCATCTAATGTAAAAATCAATTACAGTAATTCAGTTACAATATTATGGAAGGACCGGACCCAAATGTCTCCAAATCATTGCCAAACCCGTTGGCAGCTTGGCGATATCTCGCCAAATTTGCGATATAGCTAGTAATTCAATTCAATGTTTTAGGCTTGCTATTGCATTCTTATTTTTTCCGCAGAGCATCCTTTCTCTCTAGCTTCTCATGTTACATTATTTTAAGGCTATGTTGGTTTTGGTGGAAGTATTCATAGTGCAGAATGTATGATGTTATAAAACTTAAATCATGTGTTATAAGTGTAATTTTAATAATAAAAACTTCTAAGTAATTCATTTACCTCAAAATTGTAACTTTTATATTGCAGTGTCCGCCAGTCACGTTTAGAAGATCCATATATCGGCATGGCATCCAATGAAGATTTCATTGTCACTTCTCAGTCTGATGACATATCGATACCGATTCTCCTACCTATTCATAAAGCCGGTCATAATCCTTTGGTGTGCAGTGACGAGATCAATGCTCAAGCTGTTCAAGATCTCGAAGCTGCACTTTGGACTGTGGATCAAATCAACAGGGATACAGAATTCTTGCCAGAAATTCGCTTAGGTGTCGTGGCTATAGATACATGCTCAACTCCTGTGCAGATAACTCAAAAACTTTCCAATTACTTAATGGACACGAAGAAAAAAGAAGTTGATGATGTTAGCTCTGATTTGGCTTTTGTTGTAGTTGGATCTCCGGATGAAGTCCATGCGGCATCTTCTGTCATCTCGGCATTAAATGCCACACTAATTTCGGTTAATGATGCAATCAGACCGAAGGACATGACGAACAATCATCTCCAGGTAGCTATTCCTCTAGAAAGAAAAACTAAAGCTACTGTGGATACATTAGCCTACCTTGGCTGGAATTATGTTACAGTCATCCACGATCGAGATGAACGCAGTATTTTGATGATGGAATCTTTTAAATCTTTAGCTAAGGAGAGTGATATATGCCTTTCTGCCGATTTATCTCCCTCAGGATTGGATGATTTTGAGATGGACGGTCTAGTAATGAATGTAGTTGCTGCTAAGAAGAAAGGTGCTCGTGCTGTGGTTATGTGGACTAATGAGCATACCATTCGAGCTTTCTTGAAAGCTGTTCATAGAGCCGTAGTAGCTGGCCTTATCAGCAGAGGTGATCTGGTTATCATTTCAAGTGGTGATTGGATTGTTAACTTGCAATCATTCAAAGAGTTCGAAAATGAAGCCACTGGTGTGATAGTTTTGAAAACTCAGCAAGGAGAAGTTGAAGATTTCTCTACTTATTTTCAGCGTTTGGGACCAGATTCAAACAAAAGAAATCCGTGGTTCCGCGAGCTTTGGGAACAAAGAAAGGAATGCAGAGACCGTAAGTGTGAAACTAATTCTGCGCCAGTGGAATATATACCATCTTCATCAACTGTCAACATGATTCAAGGTTTATTGACTATCTCAGCCGGTTTGGCTCGTTTGAGAAATGAACTATGTCATCCAGAACCTGGATTATGCCCCAGGATGCTGCAAACAATGTTATTGAGACAACACTTATTCAACTACATTCGAGAAACAGCGTCATCGAGATTAGATGCCAAAGGAGAAATGTTTGCATTCACTAAACAAGGGTACGGAAATCTGCCTATTGAAATCTTCAACTTCAGGAGAGCAGCAGGAAAGAATTTTGTGTATCAAAAGGTAAGGCCTTATTTATTATATTTATTTGTAGCGTCATTATTGTAATTATTGATGATTTTATGTGATATGAACGTTAGCTAACTTTATGACGGCGCTGCATTTTAGTACATATTTTAAACCTCTGTGGTTTTGGTTAAATTAATAGTTATGGGTATCATAGATTAGGAACCGCACGGAAATAATAAATTTAACTTTGAAATAGCCATTTTTTATATTTAACTGATTGAATTTCTATTTTTTGGTTATATTTAATGCTAGTTTTTTAATATTGTTAAAATTGAATAATAATTTTTAATATTGTTAAATGCATATCATACTCCCAATTAAAGCATACAGCATGCTTTACTGAAGATCATGGCGGCAATGTTCTGCACAAACGCTCTAAATCGCATCTATATTTTACAGTTCTACAACTTACAATAGTATGTCATGTCTAAAGAATGTCCTACAAAGAACGTACACGCAACGTGCAACAAAAACGTTCTAAATTACGTCTACGTACTACAGATCAATAACGTACAAAAGCATGTATACTGCGAAAAAAAAAAATAAAAAAATTGGGACAGTTCTGTATATCCCGTTCTACTGGGCTGATTGAAGAAATTTAAATTGCGTGTTTCATGCCTCGAAAGCGTGACTTAAGATATATATACTAGATTTATATATAGCATTATTCTAACATAGGTATTTTGACACAAAACCGGACTTTTTCTGAAATAACATATAAATTTTTTTTCCAAATTTCGATTCTACGACTCAGATTATGCCTAGATATTAAATTTTGTAATTTTTGGTGAGAAATTATGGAAAAAATTATCTTAGCGGTTTTTTTTTTTTTTAGTTTGCGCCAAGAATACTTCATTTGGCGGAACTTTTAATTTATAGTAACCTACTTATTTTCCTTATTTTTCATTAATACGCCAGAGGATAAAAGATCCATCGTTCATTCTTTCAAATAATTTTAACAAAACGCGTAAACCACATTTTCGTTATTATCGCTTATATTAAATACGCCAAATTTCTAAACGCTCCAAAATGTGAATTCCCGTATATCTTAGAAAATTTTGAATAAAACACTCTAATTTTTGGCACATATGCTTAGAAATACATCTACTTTATGATGATGTTAAAAATTTTATAGATTACAATTCAAACTATTTTTCGAAAAATTAATAAAAAATATTTAAAAATGTAAATTTTTAAGATAAACAATAAAAAATGTGCGAATTATATTTGGATGAAGCCTAAATTGCGAATTCTGGAAGAAGGAATCAAGTAAGTTTAATAACGAAAGAGATATTAATAAGTATATATCAAATTCAATTAACATTGAGGAGCTATAACTTTTAGAGCTAATTTTTAAAAAACTGCTCGTGCAATTTTTACAAAATTTGGTAGTTTGGCCTAATTTGAGTCGTAGAGTCGAAATACGGAAAAAAATTGGCGTGTCATTTCAGAATAAGTCCGATTTTGTGTCAAATATCTATATTAAAACAACGCTATATATAAATCTAATACATGTCCTAAGTTGCGCTTTCGAGACATGAAAAACCCAAGTTGAATTTCGTCAATCGGCCCAGTAGAACGAGAGATATAGAACTGTCCCCCCTCCCTCTTTTTTCCCCCGCATTGTACATTGTTACTGGCAACACTTTCTCGTAACATGCAAAGAACATACTATGTATTACAAAAAATTCTGAATTACGGCTATGTATTACACTTCTGTAATAATACCTTAAATGCTGATATTACTAGCACCTTATATATAACATGTAAAGTATGTATTATAAATATATAGCATGTAAAGTATGCAATTAAAAAAGCATCATGTGGAATAGGACATTCGCAAATATCTCATAGGAACGCTTTTAATAGAAATGCAAATTATTTAGCATATTAACATATTTTTAAACAATCACGTAATAAGCCTATTTATACAAGTATTTAGTTTTCCTTCAAATAGCGTTTTGATGTGATAAACAAAATTTCTTCTGTATTTAAAAACATAATGAGAAAGGAAATTTAAAATGAAATCGGTATCTTAGAAATTCAGATACGAAAATTAAGAATTATTTTAATGTCAGGGAAGAAAACCTAAATATTTCTCACATTCTTTCATGCTCATGGAGGAAAGGAATGATTGGTTTAATTTTCATGATTATATTTTACCATATACTCCGAATATTTAAAGATATAATTCCGTTTCAGAAGCTTCTGTTTTCTAGTAAGCTATAAAATATTCTATTATTGTGTATCATGGTATATTACTTTATCCATTACATTTCTTTTTTCATAAGATAACGTTAAAAAATAATTGCTTTAAACACAGCGTTAATAACACGTACTCTTCAGCGCGTACTGGAAACTGGCATTTTTGTACGTTAAAAGGTACATCTTAGAGCACGGTTATAACACGTACCACATTAGCGTATTTTTAATTGCTCGGAACGTCATAGAGAGAATAAGACGCTATTTGAAAGAATAATGAACATTCTCATGTTATTTGGGTTTAGTGCATGGAACTCTATTGAAGAACTTGCTTTTAATTAAATTTTTGCTGTCTTAAGTTTATATTTCATTTTAAATTTTAAAATTTTTTATAGGTTGGTACTTATCAAAATAGAATGAATAGTTTGGCCGATATCGTTATGTACAACTCTGATGGTGAAGAAATTAGTGTGGAAAATATGTCTTCCGAGTGTATTGAAGATTGCGGAGTCTGCGAAAAACGTCCGACCGACTTCGTTATCTTGGATTCCAAAGACCACCTGTACATGGCTACGTCAGTGGATATCCATAAATCCTCATCAAATCCTTTGAAATGCGATTCTGCCATCACGTCATCTGGACTTCAGACGCTTGAAGCTTTCCTTTGGGCACTGGACCAAATAAACAGCAGTCCTACCCTTCTACCTGGTGTTAATCTCGGCGCAATTATTTTTGACACGTGTAACAGCAGAGAAAAAGCAGCAAGGGATGTTGCAAACTTTTTCAGCAGTTCTTTGTCTGCCACTTCTCCAAGTCACAAAATCCCTGGTGTAAATCAAATCCTCGGATTAGTTGCCACTCAGACCGATAGCATTATTCAGCCCATCGTAGATGTTACGATGCCTTTTAACGTTCTGACCATAGCCCCTAGAGTAACACTGACTGATTTCAACAATGAAGAAAAATATCCCACACTTCTTAGGTCATCACTTCCTAATGACATTCGAGCTGGAGCTCTTGTCGATCTCCTGAAGCATTTTAAGTGGAATTACGTCTCTTCTCTATATTCTGATAATGCTGTGAACGAAGTTGATTTTTTTCATTCCTTCAAGAGAAGGGCAGAAGCTAGGGAAATAGAACTAGCACTTGCAGAAGGAATACCAACTTCATTTTCAGATGGTGCCATGGAAGTTCTTCTTGACAAACTGCAAACGAAACGGAAAGAAGGAGCTAGGTAAGTAGTTTTTATTGTTCTAACGTATAAACGTTAAGATAAATATTTTTTCTATTGAAGAATGCAGACCCGATTTCAGCTGTTTCGGCTTCCTAGTTGGCTTCCATATAAATTAATCATGTTATAAAATTAGAACAAAGTATACCTTGGTTTAGTTATTATTTGTAAAACCGACATAACCCTGGAAGCATACGTGCTTTTAAGTATTAGTAATTCAGTAGTTCGTTAAAACTAATTCCTCGGTGAACGTTTAAAAGCATGAAATTCTAAATATTTATATATTTAATATCGAATTATACTCTGGATGGAATATGAAATTAAGAGACTGCTTTTCAGGATTGTTTGCTTCAGTGGAAGCTAAGAGCCTGTAAGCTAATCGACTGTTTATTTCAGTGGTAAGAAAATGAACGTTTTTGAATTATATGAAGGAAGGATCTTAATATACTTGATAATACCAGGATCTAAAACTATCTTTAATTAAAATATTAATTAAATTGTAGGATGGCAATAAAGAATTAAAGGCAACAAAGTAAATATTTGAACAGCTAAGATTTTTTATCTGCTGTTATTTTCACTATATAAAATAGGACTTTGAATCTTTTGAATATTATGAAATATTTATTGTATATGAAATAACCAGAATTGATGAATGATATTTTTTTTTTTTTTTTTTTTTTTTTTTTTTTTTGCAGAGTTGTCGTGTTGTTCCTCAGTAACAAGCATTCAGAAGAACTATTTGGTGCTGTAAAACGCCAGCAGGAAAATGGACGTACTAACATGGGAGATTTTGTGTGGGTTACATTCGAAAATGTCGATGCCTTTCATCAATATCCATTGGTATCTTTGGGATCTCTAATGATGCAGCCCAGTCAAGCTCCCGTTTTCCCTTTCAAGCAATACTTGAGCAGTTTGAGTCCCAGAAATAATTCCCGTAATCCTTGGTTCAGAGAATATTGGCAACAGGTATTGTATTAGCCCCTAATTTTTCTAAAACTTCTGAATGTTACATTTTTATTATAGAAAGCTTGTGTTGTCCAGACTTTATACATCGGAGAACCTCTGTATCCACACCAATGAATCTCCATAAACCGAACCCGATGGAGCTACCTGTTTTAACAGCTTTAGTCACTTTGCAATTCATGGGTTAACCTGTTCTAGGGAACTATGCTATTATTCTTCTAAGGAGGACCCTAAAATGTTCTGAGCTTGATCGAAACTTTTAAAGAAAAGTATCGCAAATTATTTTTCCAGAGTCATCAGATAGCCAGACACGCTACCTTTGAACTCGATAGAACATGGAATTGCATAAAATTTTGTTCATGTGTGCATTTATATATTTTATTAATTGCAACCGGCCCCGCGGAAAGTTGTTTGCTTCACTGGTGAATAATAACGCAAGATTTTTTTAGAATAATTATAAGTCATTAAAGTAGGCTACATTGCATACTGATGCAAGCTTGTTTTGAAATCAAAGGTACTTTTCTGGTAAAATTATTTTAATGACGAAATAAATACTCAAACAGCTCATCTTCTGAATATTCTGGAAAAATTATTCTCAAAATCTGTCTTTATTAATGCAATGGTTTTGCATAGTATTCCTGTATTTTCGAAAAAGATTATGCTCGTTTAGTGAATTTCAGGGAATATGATGAATAAATATGAATCTCTTAGCCCACTTCTGTCTGTTTTCTCTTGCTTTTTTACTTATGAGACTAAGATGAGGTGTTCCCCCCCCCTCCGGGGGATTTTTGCTGTTGGGAATCATTTTGCATTACAGATAATGACGCAGTCCGATAACGGCTTATATGTGCATCGCCATTGAGACTAATCATTTGGAATGCACATTTTTTAATTTTCTTTGTGTATGTGCAGATAGGTACTCATGACTCGTGTTTCAGACGCATGCAATACCTTGGCCACCAAAGAACAAGTAACGTGATTCGTCATCTGTAAGACTTATGAGGTATAATCATTTACCGTTGAAGATCTGTTAGCACAAACGCGCTTTCTAATTTCTCATTCGCAGCACAGAAGTTTTCAATAGAGTATTGGCCTTGCAATCGGTTACAGCGTTCACATCGAGTGCCTGATACAAGATTCTGGTTCCCATCATAGTTTTCTCCTAAGCCTAAAATGATATATAAAACATTAAATTAAACATAAAAGCATCACATTTCCCCCTTCTTTAAGCTATGTTTGATGTTCGTTACTCCTTTGTATTATCCATCCCGTATAAATATGGGTGCATGGAGTAAACCCCAGAAAACTGCAAAACATACTACCAATATTTACGTAGTGTCATGGGACAGCTACAGGTGGGTTTTACAATAAACCTTAAAGAAATCCTCCTCAAAGAAAAGAGAAAGAAAAATAAATTCGTATGACCTGACCGATGGTTTACCTATGCAGATTTGTAAAGAGCTAAAGAAGCTAATTAAATGAAAATTATTTAGTATTTTATAAATGGATCATTATATTAATATGTTAAAAAATAAAATAATTAAAAACGACCGCATGAATACTTTCGCAGAATAATAAGATGGAAAATTAAAATAGTGCAGATCATTTCTTATAGTATAAGGTATTTCTCCCATTTTCTTAGCGTGCCTTCGTGGTGTAGTGGTTCTGCACGCTGGGCCGGTATTCTAAAGGTCCGTGAAAAGCGTTGCGTATTTTTCAATCACTCTTGCTTCCAAAATAATCTTAATGTCTCTACACTGGCTCCCGAACTAAAAGGGTAGTGGATGATGATTCTCCACACCCAGGATTTGGCGATTGTGCCCCCTAAAAATCCAGTCGCCCTTTAAAAAAGGGAGTATATAAGGTATTTCTCCCACTTTCCCAGCGTGCCTTCGTGGTGTAGTGGTTCTGCACGCTGGACCGGTATTCCAGAGGTCCGTGGCTCGATTCCAGGCGAAGGCGGTTGCTACTTTTTCATCTCTCTGGCTTCCAAAAAAATCCTAATGACTCTACAGTAGTGCATTGCTTATTAGGAAAATTAGAGATAATCACGTGCTCAAACGTTTAAACAGATTCTGAAATATGCTACAAGTACTTGATTTGTCATGTATTTAAAACATACAAACTAAAAAATGTATTAAATGCATATATAAGTTGATTAGAAAATGTATAACAATTAATGTATGCATATCAGCTAGGATGTACCATTACAGTGCAAAGTTATAATTGTTTTTTAAGTAAATCAACGTAAAGTTTAATTCCTTATCCCCCCCCAAAAAAAAAAGAATTTGAAAGGTAGATGACTTGCCAGAAAGCTTGTTAATATTTTTACATTATTGTTATTTATGCCATGGTGATTTTATTCATAAAACTCCTTATAATTTGCATTTTCACAGGTCTTCAAATGCCGAGGTGCTATGTGCGACGAAACACACCAAAATGTAGCAGAAATGGCTTTGGTGCAAGACTCCAGCATTTCCAAAGTGATCAACTCTGTTCTAAGCATTGGCGTTGGACTGGAAGCATTGCGACAACACCTTTGTCCAGGAATCGACCATGGACTGTGTTCAGCAATGTCTGATGGTCAGCAAATTAGAGATCTGCTCTTTAATTTGACCCGTGACTCTTCTTTCACCGGAGCGGACGGGAAGTTACTCAAGTTCACTCAACGACGATTTTCTGCTGGTCTCTTGGATGTCTTAAATTTCAGACAAGTTGGAAGCAATGCACACGCCTTTGTCAATGTATGTACCATAGTCTTCATTTGAGCTTTTCAATATCACTGAAGTACTGTTATTAGTTCTTTTTCGTGGCAGATTTTAGAAAATGTCCTAAGAGGCTAAATGTTTTTAAAGAGCATATATAATTTAGAAATTTTATTAGTTTCTTTGTGAGGTAATTGTTGACGGCACGCTCAGTACATTTGGTTGTCTTCTAAATGCAGCTTACGCACGATAAGCAGATAACGTAATAAGATCAAAGTTCTTTACTTCATTAAAGGGTAATTGAAACTGGAAATACGAGAAATGCAATTAAAATGTGGAAACATATTTGCTTCATTAGCTGTAGGAAAGACAAAATAGCGGACGGCGATACAAGCATTATCAACTTTCTGTCTGTGGATGCGTGACAAGTTACCTAAGAGAGTTTCTCTAAGGTTCTGTGGTGTCCGCCGATAACATCGCGGCAAAAACATCGCGGACGAAAACCTCGCGGAGAAAACAACGCAAGGCGAAAACATAGTGCTACAAAACATCGTGGGAGAAATCATCGCAAAGAGAAAACATCGCAGTCCTAAAACATCGTGGTAAAAAATATCGTCGTCGAAAATAAAGCGCTTCAAAAACTTCGCAGTTTAAAAACATCGTCGTCAAAAATATCGTGGTAAAAAATAAAGTATCTACAAATCATGGCATGACGATAACATCGCAGACATGCTTTTTCAAAACATGCTTTAATAACTGTAAATGAATATTCCCATAAAGATTTGTGAGCGCAAAATGTAAAGAAGGATAATTTTTACTTTCACATTTTTATTAACTAATACATTTTTTCTGAAAAAGTAAGAAGGAAACTTAAGCATAGAAAATTAAATGCAACTTATAGATTATACTTTTCACGAAAAATTACCAGTAAAAACTTTATAAAAAATTATTTATTAATGGCCTTTGTTAGTTAACTATGTCGGTTTAAAATTATATTAATTGCTATAAGTTGCATTAATTTCCTATGCTTAAGTTTCCTTCTTACTTTTTCAGAAAAATTTATTAGTTAATAAAAAAATATGAAAGTAAAAATTATCCTTCTTTCCATTTTGCGCTCACAAATCATTATGGGAATATCCATTTACAGTTATTAACGCATGTTTGCGAAAAGCATGTATGAAAAAAGCATGTCTGCGATGTCATCGTCAAGCGATGATTTGTAGATACTTTATTTTTTACCACGATATTTTCGACGACGATGTTTTTAAATTGCGAAGTTTTTGAACCGCTTTATTTTCGACGGCGATGTTTTGTACTACGATGTTTTAGAACTGCGATGTTTTCTCTTTGCGATGTTTTCTCCCACGATGTTTTTGTAGCACGACGTTTTCGCCTTTGCGTTGTTTTCTCCGCGACGTTATCGTCCGCGATGTTTTCGGCTGTAACCATTTAGAAGGCAAAAGTCTCTAAATACACTGATCATTGATTAATTAAGAAAAATGTAATGTATATAGGCAACTTGGCAACAAAGAAAATGCAAACCATTATGAAGAAATGTCGTACGTCTTCTCTCAGTTATACGTGCACGTGTTCATTTTGAAGTTCGCGATGACCATAAAACTCTTCCTGAAGTGCCGCACCGTAGTTAATTTTCTAAACAAAAGATAATCGTAATTCGTTTGAAATGCATTTTTACGTGGTTGATAACTAGGCATTGTAATCGATTGTGAATTCATAAAGCGATACAATTCGTGGAGTATTTTAGTTATAAACTATTAATTAAAAAAACAGAATAGCTATGTAAAAATATGAATTACTGCTAACCCCAGTAGGATGCAAGCGGCAGTTTATTGCAGATATTAGTTAATTACTGCCCCAGTATTTGCTAAAAACATATGTCTGTCCCTGTGAACATTTTTTCTTATTCTTTAAAATAAGAACAATTATTCGCAACATTTGAAATTTAATAGATACGGCTCTTTCTGTTTGCAAATATCATTTTTGCTTTTTCAGTTTTGATATAAAAGTTTGTTTAAAACATATTACAGGACTCGAATGGTTGGTTATAAATCTATGCTTACACTTTAAAATATTATCCAAATAAGGTAAATATTTGAATCAGGGGTTATAAAGTTTTTAAAATTATTCTGTAACGGATACTTCTGCCTGCGTCCTTAATTGCTATACAAGTAAGAAAAATTAAAACGCTTTGAAAAAGCTTTTTTTCCCTTAACATTTTTCAGAAACGTATTTTTCTGAAAATTTCGAATAGAATTGAGTTTTACTAATTACCAGACTTTATTATTTTATCAAGTTACAAATGTGCTGCTCATTAATGTAAACTCAAGTTAAGGTTTGTTTTTTTATATCAAGGTTTACGAAAGGACTCGGTAAATTTTAAAAGCAATGTTTCTTTCAGAGTTTCATATCTTTTTCAATTATTTTTATTTGCGTCCCCCCCAACTACATGTTCTGAATTTGCATCATGAAACGAAATTTACATATATTAAGTTCTTGTGTTTTTAATTCTGCAATGTATTTTTATTTATTTATTTATTTCAGGTTGGCAAATATTCTCCTGACGAAGGTTTATTTCTGAATTTCAGTAAAATAAGAACTTATAACGAATACGGGAAAGAAGTTAGTCTTTATGACGTCAAATCTACTTGCGAATCCTGCAAGAAAGAACCTGCAAATCTGTTCACATCCACAATGCAGATTGTTCCAAAACAAGACTTCGCTGTCACTGTTTTGATGCCCGTCCACAAGAAAGGTAGTACTTTCTTTACCTGTGGTGAAATGAGAGATGAAGTAATGTTCCACCACTTGACAGCCATCGCCTTTGCCATTGACAAAATTAACAAAAATTCGACCCTTATGCCTGGAACCGAGATGGGGGCTATAGTGTTCGATTATTGTGACAGGCCACAAAGAGGCCAAGATCAACTATACAACTTCTTCTCTAAAGACAATGGTGAATTGTCTAATTTAAGAATTAAGCCGAAATCTATAATCGCCGCAGTGACTTACGGTACAGAACTTTCTAGAGAATCTTCTCCCATATTAGATTCAATGAATATTATGCAAATCGCAACACCTATAGATAGAATGGAATCTTTTGAGAACAACGATATATTATACACCGCCCCTTCGACAATGTCTCAGATACAAGCTCTTCTAAGTATTCTGAAAAAATTTGGCTGGGAATATGTTAATGTTGTGTACAGCAATACTGACTTTGGGCGGGCAGGTTATTACCAATTTTCCAAAGGCGCAAAGAAAAGGGGCATTTGTCTTGCCAATGTAGTCATAGTTGAGCCTGAAAGTGAGAAAGAGTCTTTGCTGACCAATCTTCAAAGTGGCTTGAATCGCGATGCTAAGATAGTAGTTTCACTTGTTGATGACTTGCCAGTAGTTCAAAAAATGATTACAGCTATAAAAATAAGCAAAGTATTAACAAAATATGTTTGGATCGGTACTGAAACTTGGGGTAATGATCCAATGATTTTGAATAATCTGAAAGACGCCCAGTTCGATGCTATAACGCTAAAAATAGAGAGTCAGGATATTCCAGAGTTCAAGAAGTTCTACGAAGGACTGACATTATGGAACCACTATCCTATTCCTGACGCATGGTTTGAAGAATTTTGGCAAAGTCGTTTCCAGTGCCAGCTTACCAATAGCGTTGGTGTACAAAAGCAATACACTCCCATCTGCACTGGCAAAGAACGCTTATCCTCGGATGAACTCTCGCATAATGAACATATTTATCAAGCTATCCAGACAATTGAATCTATAGCACAAGGACTACATTCATATCTTAACCAAAAATGCCCCTATGGTATGGCAGCAATGAATATCGATGACTGTGGTACTGATTCGAGACTGGAACTTCAGAAAGATATTCATATTGCTCTTCATGGTGATTATTCAGAATGCCAAGAATGTGGATCTTCAAGTACAGTATTTGGATATGATGTGTTACAACATTCCGTGGCAAGAAATGGATCGAATTTACACATTCAGGTATTAATAAATTCTTACAAATTCTAATGCAGGGTTCTCAAAATATGTTTGCTAACAGATCTTTTTAGGAATTTCTCAAATTTTTTACCGACCATTTAATTACATAATTTTGATAGGATTAAAAAAAGCATTTATGTGATTTTTTAGGTTATTTATTTTAGAGTATTTATTATTTTTTAGGTTACGTAGGTTAGATTTTAAATTACGTTTCTTAATTTTGTAAATTCTAGTTCAACTCAATATCCATCGAAAATGAAGAAAATAGTAACATTCTCTGAATCGAAAATACCAAAATTTACGGAAACAGAACAAAATATTATTATTATTATTATTATAATTAATAATATATATATATATATATTATATATATATATAATATATATAATTTATTTACTAAATAAAATTGATTATATTATCTCCTAAGATTAATTATAGTATAATGATCTGAAAAGAGTGAATCCATACTTAGTAAGTTCTATTTCGAAAGATGTTTTTAAGTAACTGGAATGTTAATTGTTAAAAATGTTTAACGGGGACTGGAATTAAATCATGAATAACAGTTTTAAAAGGAATAAATTAAGAATTAAATGCAAGTAATCATTGTCATTGATCGGAAATTAGTTGACTTTTCAAGGGTAACAAACCAACTTCAACGAACAATAATTAAGAAATAAATACGAAGGTGCTTCGTCCTTTACTCGCCAGCGGCCGAGCGGTAAAGTCGCTGAACACTGGTAGTTCGGTTCGAGGTTCGAATCCCGCGAACGGGCTGGCTGCATGGGCGTTTTCGTGGTTTTCCCCATGTGTAACGTGTATACGAGCCAGTTTCCCTTAGAAAGTCCTCCACGAAGGCATCCCTTAGGCAGATAGCCTTCGAGGCTTTGCCATAATTACACACACACACACACACACACACGTCCTTTACTCGAGCAATAAGGCGATGCCAAACCGGCAATTCAAGTCAGGCCAAACATTTCTGTGAATAGAAGGGATTAAGAACCAATGCAGAGATCCAAAGAACTTATTTCGATTAAGTAATTTAGCTAATTCAGTTTTGAGTGAAAAGCAATTGCAGTAAAAGTGATATCGCTCGAGTAAGCATTCCCCGATATATATTATTATATATATTATTATCCCGATTATATTATTATATAATATCTATATACAATTCAATAATAAATTTAGCCCAATTTATCATATCTAAATAATGATTTAATATATCATATATCTCAAAAGTAAAAAGGAAAGAAAATAAAAACTTACTTCGAAAAGATAGTTCTAATTCCCTTCCAAGTTTTTTTCATTTTATGTTTAAACAACCGCTAAAAATGTAAGGCTATTATAAATCATATCCGAAATAAACTTTCCAAAGTGGAAGCCGTTAGTCTCATAACTCATTTTATTTCGATTACTTACATTTTTTACAGCAAACAAAAATATATTACAAAAATTTTTTCTTCCTTTTAAACACAATATAAATATTTAAGATAAAAATATGAAAGCAAACTTCTAAATGTAATTGATTGTAACCTCTTTTATTTTTTATTTAATTTGGGGACTTTATATCTCTATCTTAAAAATAGCGCTATAAGTCATTCAAATTAATCATGCGATCCTACGTAAGTATAACGCAGATACCTCTTGTCCAATGAAATAATTGTAAAACAAAACTTTTTAACTCGAAGTGAAACTTTTGACTCCCTCCCTTCTTCCTCTGAATTGATACGTCACTTTTCGCTTTAACTTCTGTGGTGGGTGGATGCTTCGCTATGCTCGCTTCTACCACCATAGTATAAAAAATATAAATGTTCTGGAAATAGGCACATTTAAGTGCCAAGTAAATTGTGGCCATAAATGTGAGTTTAAAAAAAAAGAAAATTAATTTATCTCGGCTTGTTCCTCTTTAATATGGATCAAGTATCTACGCTTAACAACATTGCTGCGGTTCTACATCTCAGTGGTCTTACATCCGTGCTTCCAAAATTGCGCTTGCATTACCTATCTTTTAAGTGTAATTATTATGTATTTATAATAGGATAAAATTAGTTTTAAAACCAAATAGTTACAATTTATTTATATATATTATATTTAATGAATTTTAATATATTTTTTTCGTCAAATCCAGTCGACCCTTCTCAGTATCACATCGACCACTTTAGAGAGCCCTACCTTAGTCATATCGATATCCCCTAGAATTAATTTAATCAATGATATTAACTAGATTTGTTAATAGTTAGTTGATTTGGAGTTAAAAAAGGCCCAGTTGTTAGCCTGCTTACACAGAAACTTTCTTTGTTTGAGGAGGGCAATATGATAATCAGATAACATGAAAATATGCGTCTGAAAAAATTGCTGTTAAGTACTTGTCTATGAGACCAGATATTTGTAATCTGAAATATAACTTGTAATCTGAAAAATTTTCGTCAATTAACAGAAAAAATTATTTATAGTGAAAGTAATTCAAAGTAAGAGCTCACCATTCTTGATTTGTAAATTCCTAATCAAGTGCAAAAAAAATACAGTTTTAACACGGAAAGATCTACTTTCAAGCTTTTAAATTACAAAGGAAAATAACTCTGTGTATCAATGTTTATTTAGGAGGTTAACATTTACACATTTCACTCAATTAAAGAAATTCATCTTTACAAACAAACAAAGGCAAATACCTGCAATTTGTATTATCATATTCGCCAAATTTTACGAATTTTTCGTAATTTTGCTCAGTTTAAAAATTTGCTCAGTTTTTCTATCTCACAAAATTCATTATTAAAACAATTTCGCCATTTTTTTGTAAAGACTGCAAAGATCCTATGAATTTGGCGATTTATTGCCAAATGTGTACTTCAAGCACTTATTTTTGGAAAGAATTCAAATTAATTGTATTCGATTGTATCAAAAAAACGTTTTTTCCTTTTGGAAAACGAATGCGAGAATTTTCTTTTAATTTTAATTTTTAAATTAACTTATCTCTAATGCATCGATAGATTTGTCGACTTAGTGATGATCTTTTGAATATATTAAGAACAATTTGGCTACAAAAGTTTTGATTTGATGAATGCGAATTTCATGGCGGATTTCTTAATAAACGGAATAACGTTGTAAATTTATCATTAAAATAACTCTAACATTGAAATTAACGTCTTTTAGGAAAGAACGCAGCCCAAAAGGGTGTTGGCCCGAATGGGGGGGGGGTCTCTTAGTCTCGAAATGGAATTTTGAGTTGTCCACTATGAACGGCTGTATCACTTTTCAAATTCTTGCCGCCAAATATTATCGTTCTGTATTATTTTTAAAGAAATTAAATAATGAGGAATCTGCGTATTTGTATGTATGTTCTTCGCATTGTAAAAAGACGACGGTACCTAGAGCCATCAAATTTTGAATAAGATAGTCTTTTATCCGAATATCTGAACCTGGAAGCCCGAATTTTGAATTTCGAATTTTAAAAAACTTTAATAAGTTTTTGATTAATAAACTCAATGATTAGAAAGCGAGCAGTGGCAACATTGTACAGAATAAAACGTTTTTATCTCTAGTGTTCAAGACTGTCAGTCGGAAATTCTGATTGGATTGGATTATTCAATTACGGCAAAGCACACGAGGGCTATCTGCCTAAAGGGAGGGATGCCTTCGTGGAGGACTTTCTAAGGGAAACTGGCTTGTATACACGTTACACATGGGGAAAACCACGAAAACGGCCATGCAGCCAGCTCGTTTGTGGGATTCAAACCTCGGACCGAACTACCAGGGTTCAGCGTCTTTACCGCCCGGAAGTTCTGAAGATATTATGTTTTTAAATATTTTGTGATTTTGGTTGTTGAATTAACTTTTATGTGGCCTAAGTGGGAAGAACATGATATTTAATTAATAAATTTAACACATAAAACGTTAATAGTAAATAAAAAGACAAAGTTTTGCAAGTCACTTAAAGGTTGAAAAAAGAGAAAAATTTATACCAAATTTAACGCTACATCGAGAATCCTAAACTTATGTTATTGTGAATATTTAAAAATATTTTTCGTTTTGCTGTTGAATTGCATATGGCGTAAGTGCGAAAAGCCTCATTTTTCTTCAAATAAAGCTAAAGAAATGGGTTAGCAAGATTGAGTTGAAGAGCAGACTGGTAGACTGCGAGCTCAGCGACAGTGTAAAAAAAACTTAACAGACCCCTTTGGGCGAGCCGTTAAAACCTGATTCCTTTCAGACTTTACTTTTTTTTTTTTTTTTTTTAATTATACTATTTTCTTTCCCTCTGTTTTGTTTTAATCTTTCATTTTGTCGATTTTTTATTAATTCTGAATTTTAAACGTGATTATAAATGTTGTATAACATAGTTTCCGAATGTAATAAAAGCAGAAGCATTACTGTAAGTATATTAAAATTAATTTCATTTGCCAAATTTTCCATTTTTATGACCAATGCTTTTCCTTCGGTAACTATTTTAAAACTTTCATGTCTGTATCAGTTTCCTGTGTAAAATTCATTTCACATTTTTCTCCAGATTTTTTCAGTCTTGTATTTTATTCGGATGTTGGCAGGTATGCTCTACAGTTAATTAAAAAGGATATGCTAGGTGATTGCTCTGCAACGTACTGGAGAAATAAACGTGTTCTCCATTGTGACCTAGCTGATATACATCATCATCATAAAATTTCTTTCGTCCTTCTTACTTTCAAAACCATACATCATAGCTGTATACTACAAGCTAACAATAATGTTTTAAATAAGCCAGATATTTCTTATTAACGTAGTTTTAAATTAAAAAACTCAGTTTCGTTAAATTTACGAGCTCTTAACTTTTTAGGCAGTCTCCATATCCTATAATTATATTCAGTAAAAACTTATTTGTAAAATATAAGTTTGACTCTGGTGAGACCAAAATTCACCATGATACTTAATTTCGCAATTTGGACTTCTGCCATCTTCTTCGCTATTCCTTGAGTGATGAGTAAGAAATAAATTAGAATAACTGGGAACTGATTTTTTTCTCCTTTATGACATTCAGTTATATTCTCTTTTGATTTACTAATGTATAACGTTCTTTAGTTTGAAATTTTGTTGTATTTGGTATGCGACAGCACTTTTACATAGGCCGTAAAAGCTGAAAATTCGTTAATAATATTCATATGTAGTTTTATTACTCTAGGATCATAGCCATACAAAAAATATATTTTTTTCCACTAAACTATGACCATATTGATTTTACTAAGCTCTTATACAACTGAAATATAGTTTCTTAGTAACGCTTTTTTTCAAATAAAATATTTAATTAATAGCAATAATCAACGTCAACCCTTGCCGCTCATTTTATTTGAATTAACTGGCTCATTAAAATCATTCTTATTTATTTGTTTTTTTAACAATGTTTCCTAAATTATGAGAACAGCTTTTTTATCACTTGCAGATTGGAAGCTGGAAAGATGGTATTCTGTTCATAGAAGATGCCAAAATTATGTTCTCGACAGAAGATATACCAAAATCGAAATGTAAAGAAGAATGCGGCAACTGCATGACTCAGCTGGGGAGCACACAGAGTTATTTGTCCTCTGAAGAACCCATCTATGCAAATTTCCAGACAGTCTGGGGCATCATTGTCACAGCATTGTCTGTCCTTGGAATGGTACTAGTCATCATTTGTGCCTTGTACTTCCTGATGTCATTCCCGATCACTGTTGGTACTACGGTAAGTTCTAGAATATTTTTCTGCTGTATAATTGATTAATAAAGATCATTTCATCGGTTTAAATGCATGATAAATTCATAATCATCATAAAATCATAATCATTCTTTTTTAATAAGAATTTTCAACGACATACATTTTGTAATGAAGTTACGAAATTATCTTGCGGGAATTCCGGCATTACCAGGCTTTACTGTAACTTACTGTACTTTAGTAATTGCTCCGCCTCGCAGCTTTGGTGTCCTTGAAGGTAGTGAGTGACCTTTGCCTTCTCTGCGGACATATGCGTCTGAAATGTTGACTGAACTACTTACTGCTAACTCTTGACTCATTTATGCTTTAAATCCTTCTAGAAAGAATTCTCTCACGAAAGCTTAAAGTTTTATTAATTTTAAAAATTTAAGAACTGCAATTCATATTTTATCAGTCACTTTTTAATTTTTAAGGGAGGATTGCGTAAGCGTCAAGTAAGTAAATAAAACACGCGAAGAGATGCAAATTGCTTAATTTCACTAAAATACACTCTATAACATAAAAACCGAAGTTATTAAAATGGGCCGAAATTTAGAAATGTGACGTACAAGTATTGAAAACGAAACACTAACAGTATTATACTCGTAGGAATTGAATGTTTTATTCAAGAAATACAGCAGCAATAGGGAAAAGAAAAATCAATAATGCTTTGGCCCACCTCTGACTCTGATGCAAGTTGTTATCCAGCTGGAATTGGTTCGTAGAGTTTGGTGGATGTTCTCCTGTGGGATTGCTTGCCATACGCGTTCCAACTGCCAAGTCAGATCAACGCGATAAAGAGACGATCCGAAACACCTGCTTATCAGACCCCAAAAGTGCTATATTGAGAAGAAATCCGGCCTGGGAAGTGTTGGAGAAGCACGAAGAAAAGTAGTAGAAAGGAGCGTCGTTTGTACGAGCAGGCAATTATCTTGTTGAAATGTAAGTCCAGGGGTTTGTGAAAACAAGGACAACATTTAGAGCCGTAGAATCTCGTCGACGCACCGCTGTATTGTAAGGGTGTCATGGAGGACAATCAACTGAAATGGCACCTCATACCATAACTCTTGGTTATCCGGCTGTGCGGATGACGACATTCAGGTTATATCCCACCGCTGTCCTGAAAATCTTTAGACACATCTTCGCTGGTCGCCGGGGCTCAGTTCGAAGCGTTGTAATCGACGATATACCAGGTCGAATGCGCATGCGCAGCGGTGAGGGTAAATCGGCGCAATGGCCTCCGTTACCTCAGTTGGCTGAGTTCCTAAGTGGTCATTGCAGTAACTACTGTTTCGGTTACACGTCGGATCGCTGAAATCGGGGGAAGGAGGAATCGGGGAACGATCACGCTGTTCTTGTATTCTGTCGTCGCTCTCTGTCAACTGCTACCTTCTTTACGCTCTGTATGGCCATGATTCACTCGTTCCTGCCAATATCGTTAAATGGTAGCATGATTTCGATCCCAAATATCTAGCTATTATGCGATTTGTGCATCCTGCTTTAGTCCAGTAGCGTGTCCTCTCTAAGATAGTGCCATCTTCTCATACTGTTCGTGAACTCGTCTTAAAGGCATTGGCGCAGTCCACGTGGGTCAATGGAACCACATTCTTATGGAAGTCATGCCTTAGCTTTGGAATATTCTCTGTTTTATACACCATCGGGATACTCCGTTGCGAGACGCTGGAGCTCCAGCTAGTCATTCATTGGCTGCCAGCAGTTAATCATTGGCATAGTCTATAATAATGTATGGACACGTAATTTTGTCTCATTCGGATAATTCCTTTTCGGTGCATCGTTTTCCATGTTATAGAGTGTTTATAAGAGTTTTGGTTTTTAGGAAAAGCTTTAGAAATCAGTTGGTGTCAGACCGGCAGAATAGAATGAACTTTTAAGCAGATTATTTCCACAAGTTTGAATGGGCACTATTACCTTATCCATTAGTGTGTTATCACACACTGAAAAACTACTTTCTGAAAAGCTGCATCGGCACTGGCCGTGGTGTTCTGTCTAACAACGAACAGAAAAGAGCATTAAACAGAGATTTAAAAGAACTTCCAAAGGCTTTAAAAAGCAATATTATGTTTTCAATTGGTGTCACTCACTGTCAAATCTTCAGAAGAAGAAATGCACTGACATTGGTGGTGGTGTTCTCGTTAATGGCGAATAGAACAAAGCGTTAAGCAGAGGTTTTAAAAGGAATTTTTGCTTTGCCTATTTGTGTCACCACGTATGTCTGCTTCTGAAAATGCATCGACATTGGTAGTGGTTTTCTGTTCAACAGAAAATATGAAGTGTGCGGCTGTCATATTATGCCAGATATTACCCGTGTTATAGCGTAATGGCAGAGAAGCCTTAAAACTTTGCCAGGTGTTATTGTTATATGGAGTTATGACGAAAATTATTGGTGTTGTAGTCAAGCGTTATAGTTGTAATGATAGTAAGATATTTACAGAATTTTAGTAATGCACTCTATGTAATATTTGTAATGTATATTTAGCATTTCCCATTGAAATTGCTCTATTCTGATGAAATGGAACATAATGGAACACTAGCGTATGCATGGCTCACTATAATGGAACGTTCCAGCTGCTTTCTTGTGTCTCATGTAGGTGAAAGCATGCGCTTTTAGTTTGTTCTTAGGCAGAACTTTTGCCGCGAATGAAAATTTATCTTCGGGCCAATGGATACATCTTTAAACATTAATAATAGAAATGAATGAAGTAGTGTGTGTAGCGACCATTCTGAATTTCTTTAAAATGGGAGTTCCTTTTTTTCCGAGAAAAGTACCTTCACAGACAAATATGCGCGCTTTGTTTACACAACTAATGCATCACTTCACAATGCGAGTTAATAAACGTTCTCTTCAGAATTGTTAGGGTTAATACTTTCAGTTTCTTATGTGCATTCATTCTGTGCAAAATCAAAATGTATTCCGAATAGTCAAGATGACAGAAGATTCACCTAACGGTTAATAACATAAATTTACTTTGATCCCAGCCGCCCAAACGATATAGTGGTTAGGGGATACCGAATGGCCCGTGTTGGAATCAAGGAGAAGACATGGATGTTTGTAAATGTCATAGTGTCTTTGCAGCATGGAGCCCTCTAACTACATGGCGAATCGCAAATCCTCTCGAGAGCTCTCCCTTGGTAGGGAAGAGAGGTGGAAGACCCTCCATCAAAATTGGAGCGGAACTGAGTGAAGTCGTACTGTCACCAGCATGGGGTTCAAGGCTCTAGCCAACGACAGGCAAAGTCTTGTTCACCTTGCAACGGTGAATTTCGTGGGTGGGCTTGTTCTGATGTTACTGTCAGACAAGCGAGATAAGTCACAACAACATCTGGTGCAGAGCAGCAAAATTAATGTCAACTATTTTCAAAATCTTGGAAGATTCTCAGATATCATTATATTTTTCGTGCACATCCCTTACTTCATTGAATTACGCTATTGGCATGCACAAACGGGGACACCTGCTCACTTTACACTAAGTGCTTAATAAGCACAGGATTTCTCTTAGAAATATTAATAGAAAGATAAAATTTTTCGTTGATATTCTGAAAGCACAGTATAAATGTTAAAATTCTTAATAGCCAAAAACAAAGATGTATAAAAGTTTTCCTGGAGTATGATTATCGGGTACTGTAAATATGTTTTGACGTTCGTATGTAGTAATTATAGTATACTGTATTGCTTTTTCAGGTACTCGGATATATGATTCTGTTTGGACTTCTGCTGCTGTATGCAGTCAACTTTGCTTTTGTGCTTTCACCTACGGAAGGAACATGCGGTATTCGCAGATTTGGTCTCGGACTGGCATATGCTGTCATCTTCTCGGGAATGCTGGTGAAAGTTATGAACACTTGGAGACTCATGGGCTACAACGGTAGTCGTATTCTTAGTGATGGTACACGACTGTCCAGTCCTGCTGGTCTTCTCGTAATTGCAGTTGGATTAGTAATAATTCAGGTATGAAAGAACTGTGAGGTTTCTTATTTGAATATATGTTTACTTATTTCAGTGTATTAGTTTACATATTGTATTTTCCATAATCTTAATGTTTCCCTGGAGGAATACATATCTATCAAAAGATACAAAGATTTGGATTTTATAAACATGCCAATGTTTCTTAGGATTCATAAGTTATCAATAACAGAGTAATTTTTATCGCTGTAAAAAATGGTGACCGGAAAAATGCCCACAGGAATAATGCTCACAAAATAATGTTCACAGGTATAAATGCTCACAGGAAAAAAGCCCACACAGAAATATGCCCACATTGAAAAAAGCTCACATGGAAAAATGCTCACTTAGAAATATGCTCACACAGAAAAAAGCTCACATAGATATATGCTCGCATGAAAAATAAGCCCACTGATAAATAAAATACGTAGAAAATCCTTACATTAATCAATCAATAATTAATCGATTTGAACATCGTACACCTACTTGAATTTTTCAAAGAAAAATTATTTAAATTACGAAAACATCTATGGTATATGTATATATATCAAAAACTATATAACTTATGTGTAGATTCATTTGCTATATAAGATTAACAAATGGACTGTATTGAATTAGGAAAAGAGAGAAGGAAGGAAGAAAAATGAAATAGAATATGCAGTGAAAAATTATTATAATTTTAATTGTAAAAAAATAAAATAATAGTCAATATAAGTTACACATTTTATAATATAAACATTTAGAAGAATAACAAATATAAATAATTATTTTATTTTAATTACGTAAAATACCTTATTATATATAAATCATGAATATATATTTCAAAAAGTTATAAATACACAAAATTACTGAATATTAGCTAATATGTGTAAATATCTAATTTTATCATCGATTTCATCATAGTTACTTACATGATTCGCGATTACTGAATATAAGTTTTCATATCACCTGGCCAAATCAATAATTACCCACAAGGTCAAATTGCTTTAAGATAATCCTGTAATGCAAAATCCAAAAGACACAAGTAAATATTTAACAAGAGAAGGCAATTTTGAATCGGACAGGATCGCTGCTTTAGTGAAATCCATAGGAAAGGAAAATTTTTTCACCAGCTCCATCATCTCTATTCATTAGCCATTAATCTAACCTGTAAAAGTATTAAACATTAAAAAAAATACATTTTCATTGTGTTGATTATATTTCATAATGTTTAAATTTAACATGCCTATCTATTATGAATCTAATTTTGTATATCATGAGCATTATTAATATGGAAGCAATAAAAATGTTCTTTCTATTGAGAACAGTGTGCATATACTCATATCACCTTTTTTTCCCCACCCTCGCAGATTGTTTTATCTGCTGCTTGGCTGATACTTATGCCACCCAAAACCGGAGCTTTCGAACAGGTGTGGCGATGTGCTCCACCTACCACATTTGAAGAAGGTCTTGTGGTCTCCCTCATCTACGTCATGCTTCTCCTGGCTATAACAACCCTCTTTGCCCTTTTGACATGGCAGTGCCAAGATAACAACAGAGAATCTAGATGGATATTAGCTTGTGCCATTCTTGTGGCCGTCGTATGGCTGGCATGGACGATTCTATCTACCCAGTTGTCTCCACACTACAGAGATACCACTATAGCAGCTGCCAATCTCGTGAATGCCACTATCATTATGATATTCTTATACTTGCGCAAAGTATATCTTTACAGCAAGTTATCGAGGCAAGCCAGAGATCAGGACCTCAAGGCCCATCTTCAGCCAACTACCTACAGCCACTCTTTGTATGGTTCTTCCCAGAAAACTTTCTCCACGTTAGCTCCTGTGCTATATGGTAGGTACTATTTGTTGCATTCTGGAGGTGGTCTTTGGTGTTATATGGATGATTTTCCTATATATCGCATATATGTCATCAGAAAAACAGTCTTGTACATAAAATGTCTTATGCTGTATCTTATGTCTCATGTAACTTGTTTTGCATACTCAGGGTTTCTACAGCAAACATAAAGTAAATCATACTATAATGTAAAGTAAATCCTATTATAGAGAGTGAATCATACTATAACATTAAAATTTTAGCAAGTAACTGGCGAAAAGACAAGTCAAATTTAATAAAAAGAAATTTGCTTTTGATAGAGCTGTCAAATTACTGTTTGATTTAATGCTTTAGTGTAATTAATTAAAACAAATTAATTTCACTACAAGAAACAGAATTATTTATAAATTAGTTATGGGACATTAAAAATAGAAAGCAGTTTTATTAAAATCAAACTGACTATTCCATTAAAAGCAGTTTATGTTGTTTTCTATTATTTACCAAAGGAAATATTTCCGAGAAAAAAATTATGTACAGGATTAAAGTAAAAGAAATAGATAGGTTAAGTGCTCATAAAACTGAAAAGTGTTTGTTTCTTTATCAGGAAGCATTTAATACTTTTATAGAGAGTCTTCAAGTTTACCACCTTCTCTATTTGTCTGTTTAACAGGACAACAACTCCATGTGAGCTTTCTTGATATCTGTCGAGGTAACATAGTAAAAATTTAATATTTATCCTAAATGATGCTCCCTTGCACTGGTACCAGGAAATTAAAATTTACTTGGACAGAAATCTGGCTTGCTATCCAACAAGCATATGGTTCTAGTATGTTGGCCATCGATAAGTCCGGATTTAAAACCACATGACAACTTTTTTCTAGAGATACATCAAGGGTCGAATTTTTAATCCTCCCTTTCTCTCAAGTTTTGGCGATCTTTAAAAAATATATATATATATATATATTATTTCAATGCAGCATCAGCTATACCAAAAATTTCTGTTTCACTTCTTCAGGTTCACAAGCGTCTCTAAACACAAAGAAATTATACAATGGACCATCTTCCCGTGTTGAACTCATAAATTGCCCAGAGGACAACAAAAGTGACAGTTCAGGGTCTGTCCAGGTGCAAGCAACAGATCTTTATCCTTTGGACATGTACGATGGAGGAAGCCAGTTCCAGCCAGTTACCTCACTCTATGGAAGCAATCATACTCTAACTTTTGGGAGGTAAGTTTTCCCTTCAAAACAATTACAGGAGTCGAAAGACAACTTCAGAACTAGTTATTAATTTACAGGGTACTAGAAGTTAGCCAATATTCTCTGAAATATTTTTACTACAGTTAATTACTGCCATAGATTTTAAAAGCCTTTACTACATTTCATTGTCATTAACAGCAGAACACAAATCCAAATGATAACTAATTCTCTATGCAACTCCTCAAACTTCGTCGAGAGAATCTTTTAAATTATTATTATTTTTTGCCCCTCAGAGGCAGGGAAGTAAAATCATCTTCAGTAATATAAATGTTAAAAAAGTATATCAATAATGGGTGCACTTATTAAGAAAAAGGAAAGAAATTCATTATTTAGCCCACTAACCTCATAAACCACAGCTTTTCATTCTTCGAATAAGAATGTCGGGGGGATGCTTACATCTGTTGCTGCGATTCCTCTTCCCCAGAATGGACAAGAATCTGAAAGCCTTCACAAGTGGTGTAAATAGGCCATGCAGGGCTCACCATATAGAAGTATTCTTAGACAGTCTGCTGGATTGAGTACATACTTTAACTTTGAAAACAGAAATTGGTCATTAATTTTGATAAAAAGGATATAGGTGCTTAATAAACGTAATCCGCTTCATATGATGATCATTATGTGAGGTGTTTCCAATAGGTCACTACAGGATTAATTTTAATTCTTCGTCAAAACTGAATTAAATCACAAAATATCATAAAAATAATTAACTACCAGTGTTCAGCATCTTTACCACTCATCCACTGGTGAGCCCCTTTAGTTATGGGAATAAAACTTGACGAAAATGAAACGCATGCTTACATTATAATGATGACAGGCAATTTGACTTGCTTTATGATTCCGACTTCTCTTTGTACAATCTATTCTTTCAAGAAATTTGTACATTCTTAGTTAAATCACCACATATTTTTTGCAAATTTTGATTACTATTGTGTTTTCTTCCATCAAAATGAAGGAATGATTTATTGCTATTACATCTATTGTAGATTTTAATAAGATGTGCCAGTTTTACATTATTAAATGAATTATTTTTAAAATTTGCACTAAACTCATTACTCATTATACTTTCCAGGTAACATCATAGCAGCAGATAACAAGTATTATACAGCAACATTCCAATTTTCATTGAAGAATGCATCTGAATGTGAATGAAGCCAATCAAGGGTGAAGTGTAAAATTACACTTATTCGTAGAAAGATCAAAGATTTTGCAAATCGATGTATAAAATGTGTTTTATTGGTCATTTTCCTATTATGTCTGGAAAAACCTAATAACAGGGGCATATGATTTTAGCATTAGGCAGCTAACTAATGGAAGCAAATATTGAAAATTTTAATTATAAAATCAACAACACGTCCTTATATAGTTCCTTAGAACTATTTTTTAAATTGCTAGATGGATTACATCCTGCATAACCATTTAGCTCATTTATGAGTTTATTTGTAAAGTTAGGTATAACTTTATTGGTAGAGTAATAGTATTTTTTCTTTGTCCATGTGGCTAAAATTTAAATATGCCCCTGTTTGCTGAATGAACAATCAAAATAATACATGTGGGAAAGGTTTATCAGAAAGAAAATTTTGTTTATATTATTCAAATCAAAGTAAAGAGAAAGTGTACATAATGTGAATTATTTTAATTAAGAGAAAAACAAGGAAGCCAAGCAGCTGAAGTGTAATTAATGATCATATCTCTTGAGAAATACAGAAGAGTACCTGTAAGATTAACAATCTAAAAACTGAAAATTTTGAAGTTTTAAAATGATTTTTATTACTTTATTTTGAAATGGCATCTTTGAGAGTATATAAATGAATTTCAGTTTTCAATTATTTCAGCTATCGAATTATTGATAAAAGTTAATGATAATTAAAATAATTTACCATCCTCAATTTTTTTTTTTCATTACAATTTTTGTTGTTTGAAAATACTTGTCATTATAAGCTTATGCTTTATATGGATTATATTCAACAAATTCTCTACTTTATTGGTAGTTTAGTTGTTATTTTATGTTAATATATTGTTTTTTTACAGAATATTAAATGTTTATTTCAGTATTTGATAGCAACTTATGTTTTCCCAAAATAATGAAGTTATATATACACAAATATAAATGATTAAGAATTCTTTAGCAGGAAACCTAACAATCCATACTCACGAATCTTCATAATAATAGTACTCCTTTGTACTGTGTCTCAAGATTGCATATGTAAAATTAGCAGGCTTTCATGTTTTGATTTTAAATATGTATTACATATAACTGTATGGTTAATTACCATCATATGAACATTATAACTATTAAATTGATTTTATTAGACTACAAATGCTACGTTTTTCAACAAGGGATGAAAAAACAGGAATCTATACTGCCAAATACATATGGAGATACAGATAAGTATTATAAAATGATAATCACTGTTATTTCACGTATTTAAACTACTCACTTTGTAAGTACCCGAAACACTCTCCATGAGATCCATATTTAGAAACTCAGTTTTTCATTTGTAAAATTTTGATTAGTTCAGAAAACTTCATTTATGTACTTAAATATATTCAAATATGTACTTAGATATAGTGACTAGTATATCAATTTATGTACACACCTCAGTAAAGTGTTAGAATGTTACAGTCATTTTGTTGACTGACATGTGTTTCTAATTCAGTCTTGATTTGTTTTTTTCTTCCAGTTCTTGAAATTCAAAATATTCTTCATGCAGCTGTATTAATTATTGTAACAGGGTATAAATGAATCTTGCAATATGTCCATAGCTGAGATATATTAATTCAAAGATAAATTTGATTTCAAAATTAAAATAATGATAATTATTTCTAGAATTCATGAAATAGTTTCAAACTTTGGTATTTTTTGGTTAACAAGGCATCAAACATAAATGCTGGCATGAAATCGAACTAATTAGATAGAGCATCTCTATTGATGTTTACAGAAAAAATGAAAAGAATGGTTATTTTATTAAATCCAAAATGAATACAAAAATCAAACACAAATACAGGAATTTTCAAATAAAAATACATGCAACTATTCCAGTTGACAACTGTATGGTCATTAATTTCTATAGTTGCAGTTAATGGAATTCCTAAATCAAACAGCAATCAGAGAAAAGATGTACAGATCTTCAAACCAGTATTCACTCCATAAACCTTTCTGGTCTTTCACTGTAGTGCTATTTCGGTGCTTTGATAGTGTTAAAGTATGGTTTCATTTTTCAGTTTCTGGAGTCTTGCATTATGGATGATATACCTTTGAAGAATTTTTAACTGCAGCTATTTGAAGCATTTGGTAATCACCAAATCCTGTAATCCATACTGATTCCTTCTTCCTCTTACCAAAAGTCCATACTGAAAATCTGAATCGATATACATTCTTTCCCTAAGTTCACTGCATAACTACTTGTGATATAAGTTAAATAGCTTACCACATTTGACATGCTGGCACACAATTACAACTAGTGCCCTTTTAAGTGGAAAATACCTAAATTTTGTATTATTCTTATTTTGAAGTTAGAGGAATTTTTATAAGTTTCAAGCAGTATTACAAATTTTTAGCTAAAAACTATAAAAATTATGTATTCATATAAATGTCAAAATTTTTATTTTGAACCTATATATCATAGCAAAGCACTGGATAAAAATGTGGTTCTCAGTTGAATAAAAAATTGTAAAAAAATAAATAAATAAATCATTTTAAACATGAAAATATTTTAAATTTTATTATAATACTCTTTCTAGCTCTGTAAATCAGAACTAATAGTCATATTAATATTAACTCTACCCCCACCAATATTAATTCTTTCAGATACTAGTTCTGTACATTTATTTTATTATCTTTTTGTTTTCTTAACTACGTCAAAGAATTTCCCAAAACTTAAATTTGAAAATCTTTTAGATGTTTTTTCCTCTACATGACCTACTATGACTAATAATTATTACAAATTGCTATTATTTTTTTTAAAGAAAAAATGGCAGTCTTACAAATCTAGTGCTACTTATGTGCAGCAGAGAAAATACTAGCCGGTACATTTGTGAACCAGGCAAAAATAATTCAAAACAACTAATAAACTACAAACAAATAGTACATATCTGATGACTGGGAATGCCCACATTTTCATTTTACAGCAAACACAGCTAAAGAAACCATAGTATTTACCTTTGTTACAATAGGTAACTTTTGTGTCATAAATGTAAACACTTATGTGTGTTCATCAATTACTTCTAACCTCCAAAATAATATTCTTACTACTTGACCAACTTGAAAGCCTACTTGAAAAAATTACCTACTTGAAAGCCAAAAGTGTGGCTCGATACAATTTTCATTTTTCTAGAATATTAAAAAAAGCTCTCAGATGGTTTTTAATCTTAGAAATACATATGTGTACCAACAGAAATAAAAATTCATGTACAGAAATTATCCAGCTGAAATTATTAATTTCTGTAGAGTGGATAATTAAAAATAAAAAAGCGATGAATTCAGTTCTTTCACTGTTGATATCTACAGAGCTAGTTTAATTTCATAAACACACATGATAATTTATAACATTACATTTTTCAGGTTTATAAATTCCGATTTCACAAAATTTGTTCTACATCTAATATTTTTCATTACCTACCTATTTATGTTGTATAAAATTTAAATTTTGCCTACCTATTTAAATTGTATCCACCTGTACATATATTCCTTACCCTTTCAAATTTATGTATTGTAAAATAAAACATATCATTTAAAGAATAAATAGTGATTTTTTTTCATTTGATTTATTATGAATATGTTTATTGAGATAAATACAGCAACTACTTAAATATTTGTGATAGACTAGTTTTTTATACTTTCTGTAGTTACACACCTTGTATGTGTTTTTTGTACAGAAATAGTGTTGAAATGTTATCACAGTCTCATTGTTGAACATTTTTTAATCTCATTATAGATGCTGTAATAATTTTCTGATGGAAAATTAAATGCCAAATGTTAGAAATCAAACTCCAGAAATCAAATTTTCCATACCAACGGAAATTTTTTAAAAATTATATGCAACATATTGTTAAATTATATTGAATGTTGTAATGGGGGAATAGTTACAGGTTGTACAAATTTTACCTGTTGACTTTGTGAACAGCATTAAAACTATTATGAGATGTGTAAATAGTGATGTTTATGAATAAACTTCTTTACAGTGGATTTTCATGTGCCCCCTATATATGAAATACAACCACCATTTTGAACTATTTATTTCATATTACTCACAAAAATAACACATTTCAGAAATTAATACATTAACATTTTCAGAACTGTAGTGAAACTTCCAAGAAGAAAAGGACTAATGGAATGTACAAATAAATAAAAATAAAAATTATGTAACTGTTCAAAGCAATATTAAACATATACTACTGGTAATTAATATTTTCACAATTTTTAATATTATCAGAATGAACAAAAAAATGTGAATTTCAGCAGTAATAATCAACCTGCATTTTTCTTTTATACCATTAAAAACACTGTATCATACAAATAATTTTTGAATCTCAAGTACCATTATTTTGGAAGTTGATACTATAACCACCAGAATTTGGATCTTTCACAACCTTGAAATTGTCAGTTGAAAGTCCAAATGGCCTTAAGCAAATATTTCCAAGATCTTTTAATTTACCTAAGAATAAAAGAAACTGACAGTGTTACAAAAATAAATAGGCAGTGTAATTAAAATATCAAAAAATAAAAATGAAAGGTTTCAGATTTTAAATTACATCCAAAGGGGTGTTTTTTTAACATTTTGTGCATTACCTTTATTTATTAAATATCATGTTCTTCACACTTAAACCATAAAATTCAGTTCAAGAGCAATATTTCAAAATAATTTTTAAATGAGCATATCTTTAGAATTTCCAATACACAGTTCCATGCACTATAGATAAAAAGGATTTTTTTTACCCTGTAGAGTATTGCCATTGCTCGATTTTAAATCTTTGAGTTTGTTAATAAAAAATTTGTTAAAGTTTTAGAAAATATGAAATCGATAATAAAACACATTCCAAATTTGGGCTTCCAGATGCCCATATTCGCAGGACGATTATGTTATTCAAAATTTGATGGCTCTAGGTGCTGTTGTTTTTTTATTACAATGCGAGAAACATACATACATTTAAGCAGATTCTTCATTATTTAGTTTCTTTAACTATAATACAGGGCGATAATATTTGGTGGCAATTTGAAAAGTGAAACAATGCTTGTAGTGAATCAACGCAAAATGCCAAAACGGAATTAATAGTCCTTCTGGGCAAACTGCCCCTTTGGATAAGCAATGGAATCTAAATTATTACTTACCAAACATTTCATTTTTTAACTTTTCATTCCTTTCAGCTATTTCTGCAGGTAAAACCTGAAATAAATTTAAGTTTGTGTTATTAACTAATAAAAGCTTATTATCATTTAAAAATAACTATTTATTATTTTGGCATTGTGATTTTAAATACACACCTTATTTCTGTATAATGGCTTACCAGTTTAAGATGTAAACAAAGGCAATTAAAAAGACTCTCTTAAAGATTAACTTTATTCCACATACAACAATAAAAACACAATAGTAAGGAAATGGTAAACATAGGCACCATGCTTGTTCAAACATTTATTTTTAACACCATACCAAAATATGATGCCGGAATAAGCCTTACCTCAGCACTATGTAATGTGGCTGACAGAATGGTAAGCGATTACACCAATTAGAAGATTTTCTAAACAAAACAAATACTATCAGCATATATCAGGCCAGTTTCAGAAAAAACAGGTTCACCATGGACCAAGTCATAAAACTGACACAATATGTAAAAGATGGATTTCATTAAAAAATCACCATCCTGGCATGCTTCATACATTTCCAGGATGCATATGTATGCTGAATAAGTTAAGTGGTCTAAGCTTAAATGGTAAGATGTTTAACTGGCTTAAGGGCTTCCTTGCCAGTGATTTTTAAAGTTAGATACTGCAATGTGACCTCAAGGTATCACCAACAAAAGAGGAGTCTTCCCCAAGGTGAGTGAGTGAGTGAGTGCACCACTGTCTTGAGCTGCATACTCTTTAAAATCATGATAAACAATTTGATAACTGAATTGAAAAAGATCCCGGGTATTGATATTCTGTGCTACATTGATGATGTAACAATTTGAGCCACCAGTACAAATGTACCTATCCTGGAATAAAAGTTAAACCTGGCACTTGAGCATCTTAAATTATGGTGCACATAAAAGAACATGATTTTGAGCAAAGACATGACCACAGCACAGCTTTTCACTTTGTCAACAAAAATAAAAAAAAAAAAAAAAAACCATCAGACAGACCTTCAGTATCATGGCTCGCTAATAGCTAGGGAGCCTAAAGCCAAATACCTGGGAATATATTTCCATGGTTTCCAGAATGGACTGGGCTCAACACATCAATGAGTAGCCACTAGGGCCATAAATACTCATGGGCATACTGAAAATGCTCGTGAGTATAATGCATACTGAAAAGACTCACAGGGACCAAATCGGGTGCGACGCAGGACGTCCTTGCTACCACCTATAAGGCATACATAAGGCCACTGATGGAATACAGATGGGAAGCATTTTCCACAGCTAGCAAAGCCTTAAAAAAGAAACTAGACTCCACTCAAGTCTCTAAAAATAATCTGCTGTGATATGAAATCCACTCCAATCCCCTCCTTTGAATGGCAAGCACAAATAAAACCTCTTGATAGCCCGTGAAACAAGGCAATGATGAAGCACTGAAGAACTTTTGGGAATGCTATTATGCACCTGCAAGAAAGAGACTCAGGTCTCAGAATACACTGCTGGCCCAGGCTCAAGCCCTCTTTCAGAACTATAACCTAGAAGCAGAGCAATGCCTGCTCTTTAGAACACACACGATCAGTGTTTAAACATCTGAGATACGTTCTCGATCTCTCTCCTGGCTTAAATAAACAAAAGGCAGACATCTGTCCATAAGTCCTGAAAGCAGTTGCACTAGAAATAATTGCTAAAAAATACCCTCAGCCTAAATGGATTTGTATGTACACAGATGGATCAGCTATTGGCGATAACAATGCGACTTTTACATTCTCCTTGCCATAAAAGCTTTCCCTGTTGGAAACAATGATAAACTTCAATTGGAAGGTTCAACTAGTTATAAGTGAGACAGAAAATTTCTTTTACTACCTACACATCAAACAAAAAGCAGTCTTCCGATCAGACTCAATGACTGCAATACAAGCAATCCTAAAGGTTATCCTATTCCCCCTGAAGAACAACTTGTAGTGCAATACCAGAAAAGATTCTCAATTTACAGGAAGCAACAGATTTTCATGTACTATGGGCCCCAGAGTACTGCAGAATCACAGAAAATGAACGAGCAAACAGACTTGCAAAGGAAGGATGCTCTATGCTTCAGCCTACACACCCCCTAACATGCAGATCCATATGCAGTAAAATTACATTAGCATCATCCACTGTCTTCTTGAGAAGACAGTGGATGATGCATGGAGGGCAGCTGCTGTTAGTAAAAGATGGAAAACGGCAATAATAAGATCCATTCTCAAACATCTACCCCGAGAATTCGCTGTGGCCATCTTCAAATTGACCACAGACCATGACTATATCCAGAGTTGTCTCCATAAAAACAGCATCATCAGCTCCTCCACATGCCCCTTATGTAACTCAGGAGAAGGGAATGCTGATCATCTCCGCACCTACTATGCTCTGGAGGTAGAAAACCCGAGTGGGCATAACGGAAAGTAAGCGTGGCATCACATGGCTGACTTGTCAAAGACAGGCTTTGGCCATCTTGTTACAAATAATACATTTGAAAAATTTCAGGAATTTTCTGCTTGATGTGCAACCTTTAAACATAGAAAACAGTAAATTTTGTCTTTAAAAATGTTTAGATGCCCAATATATGACATTTTTATGTTTTGAAGGAATTTGTGCATGCTTACCATCGCAAAAAATGCAGAGCTTATCTTCATATGCAGTAGTAGTCAACAAAGTAGCTAAATACACATTTTTGTTTTTATTTAGTTTACTATTAATTTTTATTTAATGAATCATCCTTCAAATCAAAACCAGTCATCGACAAGTTATTTCTCTCTTCTGATTCCACTTCCATTTTCTAAAATGTAAATAAACTCTAAAGTCTCTTTTTCAGTTTGCTGCCAAGTTCAAAACTTGAGTTTTGCTGTCAAGCTCTAAGAAAATACTTGGACATGTAAGATTCAATCTCAAAGGATAAAGTAATTCCACTATAAATCTTCAGTACAGTCAAAAGTCGTTAATTCGGACACCCATAATCCGGACCTCAAAGCTACAAACTTTCTGCGCATGCGTAGCGTTCACGCATGAGTCACGTTCACTCATGCGCACAGGCATTTACGAGTGCATGTAAGACCTTTTAAGACCTTTACGGCTGCGAATATGTTTGTGTGCATGCGCGTTTAATGTGTAACGGACGGTATAAGCTAAGCTAAAATTATCTAATTCAGTTAATGTTGCAGAATGCGTTGTTCCTTAATCTTCGAATTGGATCCGGCTTATTATTTTTTGCAGACTGTTAGAGCAATTTCATAAAAGTAAGCTTGAACTTTCGATTATGTCAAATAGAATTTCCAATATATATTTACTAATATGTAATTTGTATCTACAAAGCGAAAGTATGTTTCAAAATCCGAAATCTGTTTATCAATTTCACGCCGCGGATTGGAAGTTGATCTGTCAGCACTATCCTTATCTTCAGGGCAGATGTTTTTATTTTATTTGGCTTATAATTCCTTACTAACTGTAGTATTTCATCTCGATGTACTTGGTCTTTGATATGATTTAAATCAAGTTCCTCGTCATTATAATTCGCTTCCGATAGTGAAGAAAGTGACCCAGAGTTTATTGAAAACGAAAACATTTCGATTGACAAATTAGTCGTTATTTTCAACACAGCAATTATAGGACTTGAGCAGCGGAACATTGTAACTAAACAAGAAATTATGTCTATTTAATAGAAATTAAGAGAAAGTATTATCACATGAAACGAAGCAACTTGCATTGAAAGAAATGTTTAATAAAGTAAACAAATAAATATTAAGCTTTTTCTTTTTGTAAATTTTGATACCCTTTAGATCATAATTGTTCTTTATTTCATAAATTACGGTTTCATATTTTTAATTTTGTAATTTCTGCATGCCATCTTACGAGATTTAAACTGATGATCTATAATCCGGAATCGCCGAAGTCCTGACGAGTCCGGATTAATGACTTTTGACTGTATAAATTTCTATTTGTAAGTTAACATGACCCAAATGAGTTTTTTAAACAATCAATTGCTTTAATTATCACCAGCTGGCAGAAAACTTCCAATAACCTATCAAGCTCAACTTCTAATGAAATTTATCAGACTTCACTTTAAAAAAAAAATTGCTTTCATAAATACTCTTTTTACCATTGCCATCTAATTTCCATAACTTTAATTCAGACAATTTAAAAGATCTTTTTTCAATAACAGCATTTTCAACAGAACTCAAGCAGATTCACTGTGAGTTAGATTTAGAATACTAGTTACAGTTTGTTGACTATCAGTAATTCTCCTTACTTTTATTTCAATCTTTATTGCTTTATCATAATAATTCTCAATTACAATCGTCCTTTGTTACAACATACTTTTGAATTCTGTGTCAAATTCTGTTTCAGACAGAGCTTCAAGAATGCTTGTAAGTGTTATTTTTAAATGATCAATTTTTGATTTCAAAACATTCAGTTCTAATTCCTATTGGAAAATGTTAACATCTTTCAAGGCCATCAATTCTTATTTTACTACATGCTTTCATGAAAGCTGCTGCTCTCTCAGTTTTTCTAGATTTCTCAAAACTTCTAAATTAGCCGTAAGTATGATTCCCTTTTCATTGCATTCCCTTTTCAAAAGATTTTTCAATCAACATATTACACTACCAGCATATCAAGGACAAAAATTCACATTTATGTGAATCATTTCATAACAAAACCAAATCAGCACGAATACTAATTGATTCCGAGTACAAACATTTATTATAAAAAACACAGACCAAAAACAGTTAAAGAAAACATTTTTGTTGCCAATCACTGCAAACTAAATATAATTTTAAACTCTGGGATTTGACAATAGGCAGATTAAATGCCTGAGTAAGCTCTGGAATATCTCATATGTTCCTGTATCATAGTAACTCCTTACTTCTCTTTTTATAAGGGATGTCCAGTTCCAAGGATGAATTCTTGAAACAATATGATGAATATAATAGCATGGGGTAGTGTAATCAACATATGAAAGACAGCTGTGTAATTGTATTAACATTTGCAATATTACAGGCTGGTTTCCATGTCACAGTCCTATATATTGTTTATGATGGCTTTACATGTCTCCCGTTCGCTCAATTAAAAAAAATAATAATAAACAAAAATCTAAGATTTAATAATATTCTGGTTATTTTAATGCCAGACAGTCAGACTTTTTCTGTAGTTCAACATAAAAATTAGCAAAAATAATGATGAGAATTATACCGATTTCAGTTCTGTTCGAACAAATTGAACATTCTCAAAGCACTATTGTAGTTTATTCCTGAAAATTAGAATATGAGATTGAACAAAAAGAGATGGGGCTTGAAACAGGTTTTCTATGATACTGACAGGAAGGAAATGGAAAGCCACACCATTAACCATATTGTTGTATTTTTCCTTCAGTAAATATTTTAGGTGATAATATACAATTTATATTTAAAGTTGAACTTACCTTCTACCATCATATTGGATTTATGAAACTAAAGAACTCCATCTCTTTTACTTTTAAGTCATCAAATTAGGGCACTTCAATTTTATTCATTTGTTTAACTAAAACTTAACTCTCCTTTCCAAATGTTTCAAACAGTATAGTTTCATAATTTTCTTTAAACATATCAACAAAATCAAGTTCTTGTTTGTAATAGACAAGATACTGAGCCTTCATTCATGGGGCATTTATAGAAATTAATCATGGGGCATTTATAGAATAGTGTGTGTAGTTCTGCACATATAAGATGAACATGCAGATCTTTAGTACTCAGGAACATATTTGGTGTAGAAAATCAAATGCCCCAACAATGGTAAGCAGTTGAAGAAGAAAAGTTCTTCAACTGCTTACCATAGTTGGGGCAAAAGTCACAATACTGAATTTTGGAAATCAAAAATCGTTTCTTCCACTAATTTGACATTTAATCTGGATTTTCTAGAAGCTTTAGAAATCTTTTAGCACAAGAATCTGGTTAATAATGTAGTCAGTCTCCTTTCCATTTCTATTCAAAGTGGCAGAAGTTGTTACGAGTCCCAGTTTAGTTCGTTTGACCACATATTCCAACTTGCATGTGACTTGTTACAACTTCTGCTGTGTTTATTGCAATAACAATGCCTTTGACAATATTGGCCAAATTCCAAAGAAAGCACAGTCAGCAATATTTTCATCTTTACCTGAGCTAATTTCTATATTCAACTACTTTTTGTTTGTTTTAATTTGGACAATATTATTTTCCTCAAGTATCTGAAATTAGGCTTGCTTTGCACTTATGTAAATAACAATCTTTCTACTATTTTTTCCTTATATCTTACATATTTTAATTTATATGACACCATACATCTATTTTATGGGATATGATATGCAAAAAGAAATTTTGTACAACTATATTCATTTGAAGAGGAGTAATGGCACTTTTTTGAAATGAAAGAAAATTGCCAAGCACAAATTGTGTAGCATCAAAAAAACTGTTAAGCAGAAAATGGATAGAAATTAATAAATAATAATAAAAAAAGAGCAGCATACAAAAGTAAAATATAACAAATATATGCTTATATTTATTTCTTGCAAACAGTTTCTCACTTACACTTATTTCTTCCGTATAATGATTTTTAAAGGGTATTGATATGTACTTATGTATTGATATTACAGAAACTCTACCAGGTACAATTCATGGTAATGCTGAGGCATAATACTATTCCTTCCAAAAAAGGGCTTTTATCTCAGATAAAGTATGCAGGAATGATTATGAAATGCAACCATATATCACTGAATGAAAGCATTTCGGAATGCATTGTTATGTGTTAACGGAAAAAGAAAGGCATTCAAGTCAGAAATTGTTTTTATGGTTCCTGGGCTAGCACTTCTAACAGCACTAAAGTTTATTTACTTTCGAGTAGATTGTCTATAAAATGGTGCAAGAAGCAGTTAAAAATGTGTAAAACTATTGTGACTATATCAGTTATAATGCTCATGTAAGGTGTTTAGTAGGATCGGTTTTTAGTTCAAAAACTACTTCGGCAATTAATTACAGAGGTGACAATTTCCTTTCACATTAGTATAAGACAAAAATACCAAAAAATAAATAGTATGTTTAAAAATGCATGTTTTACCACATAAAACTACTTCTAATTAAATTATTATTATTATTCCTATTAAAAACCTCAATGTATCAGTAAAAGTGTTTAATAATGACTACAAAAGCTCCTACTTTAACTTATGTTTACACGTGGTTTCAGTATGTCAACCAAGAATATTTTACCTCATTTTTAACATATTACAGTTTCACTATTAAAAACAGAAAATATAAAACTACGTAAAAAAATCATAATTACAATGCATAAAGCAAATATATTAAAACTAATGGAATACGATAACTTACTGCACATGCTTGCCTTGCTTCCACATTATTACGATCAAGTTCCAAAACTTTCTGATAATCTTCAAGACTATTATCCAACTTGTCCATCTTACGATAGAGTGATGCCCGCCGTAGAAGTGCTTTTAAATAACTGGGATTTAGTTCAAGAGCTGGAGAATAGAAAATGTATTTTACTAAACAATTCATATAATAGTAAATAATTATAAGCTGGTATTTGTGGATCTTTGGGCAAAATTGATAAAATGCCTGCAACAATAACTTTAATAATGTCTAATATGGCAACCCCTTTTTTCCATGTGTTTTCTTCATGTGTACCTCATCTTTCATGAGATAGCTTTTCATGTTCAATTATTGGTTATAGTGATATTCCATCTGTCTTTCTATATTGTATTTCATCAATAAATATGTTACCTGTTTTCGGTTTGCCATTTCCTGAAAAAGATACTGTTAAAAAAATTACCATTCAAGAAGCAATCATGCAATGAAACTTTCAATTATGAAAGCAATCATGAAATGAAATTTTACAACAAATTTATATGGCATTGGGCATTGTACATTTAAATAATGTCTAAGAATGAAAAACACTAGCAACACAAACTGGTTTCAAGGTCAAAAATTCCCTTTTTGAGCATTTTACATTTATTGTTGGTTACAGGACATGATATCAGTTTGCTCAAAATACTTGACCAAAGGCTGAACAGAAGAACCCAATAAAATGATTGAAATAAAGATCTTGTTTTTGCATGAAGAAAAAACAAATTTGAAGCATTTTAATCTAAAACTAAATATTCAAAGGTACATGCGGTAAACAGAAGACTGCTTTATAGTTAAAGTTTCTAACAAAGATACTAAAACATATTTGCAAAATATGAACATCTGGAGTCCCATCTCATTAAATTTATGTGACGAAAGCACAAAAGTCAAGAAAATCACTTCAAAGCTATTCTAGCTGCAATTGTAAAATTATACCTATAAAAAAAATCTTGTGCTGGAGCTTTTATGGTGGATTAGTTGCCCCAAAGGTCCACAGATATCCTTTTACATAATACATATTCATTACACTTGATATAAACACATGCTCAAAGAGATCAAATTTTAAATAATTTTTCAAAATGAGAGTTTAGGTACTTTTCTCCAAGCATGCTACTTGAATGAATAGCTGAGAATCTATCATCAACAAACAGACGAAACACAGGAATCTGTGCTCTTAACTGTTTTCATTTAAATGCATTTTCCATATTTCCTAGTATTTCAAATTATAAAAAAAGAAAAACATGCATCTTCTCTCACGCAAATATAAGAGAATTATTATCTAAAAATCATTACTCAATTTTTACTAGCATAAGACAACTTTTCTAATCCTTAAACTTTTGTCGAAACAACAATTTTGCAGGCCTGTAGTTCTGGGACATATAAGCAATGTAAAGTAAATGTCCTCTAAGATGACTCCTTACAGGTCTAGGTAATTTTGTTTTTTAATTTGAAGAAGTTAGAGTTGTAATGTTCAATAAAGGTCTTTATTAACATTCTCCGAAACATTGGTCTATATGAAAAGTGGTCAACATGACTGGGTTTCATCGTAATGGAAATTATTAAAAAATAACCCTTCAGTCGATGAATTAGATTTTTCTAGAGTATTCATGCATTTCTTATTCAATTATTTATTTTAATCTTAATTTTCTCAAATGATTAAGAATTATCTCAAGGAGTAATAATGAGGAAGCAAAATAAGAGTCTTATTCTCCCCTCTTTCTGTTAGAAGCTTCTTAAAATGTTTCCTCACTTGAAAGCAAAATTCACTTCCATTTCCAGCTAAGCAACTGTAAGAATTTGCAGAATATCTATGCTTTAAAAATGAGATGTCAAATCAAATAATGTCCTAAAATATACTAAGGATTTGATTAAAATGTCAATCTAAATTTCCTTTAACTTTGAGCTGTATAAATATATATTTATATGCATGCTATATTTAAATTGATGAGGCAAATTAAAAAAAAAATAGTAGAACACCAAAATAACACCTTTTTATTAGTCACATAATTCATGCCAAAAATGAAGCATAAGAGCACTAGAGTGTGTTTGATAATGTATTCAAAGAGATGACACATGTTTACAAGAATGACACAGATGATGAAAAAATAATTTTAATTGCGAATAGTTCTAATAATTGCTTGAAACAACAACCATTGACAAAGAATGGCAATAAAAGTACTGGCAAAATTTACGAAATGGGACACATCACACACAGCCGCAGCACTGACCAAAATTATGATAAGTTCTTAAATACATTTAAGGAGAGTCTCATATATCATCTACCTTTAGATAAGAGAAAAGAAACTACAATACAACAGACCACATGATCGTGAGAGCCTAGGTATAAAATTACTTCGTCAATCCAGTGATTTGGAAAATTGACATCCAATTGTTCCTCACATTTTATCAAAAATGACAGTTTGTTCATTACATCTTATCAAAAATGGGCAAATACTACACTATGCTGGAACATATATATGTCTGTTGGAGCATATTCCAGCAAATATGCTAAGATCTCCTGCAAGAAAGCACAGTCCTTTTTCCATCGAGCCAGAAATGTAAATCAAGTTTTTACTAATCTTGTACCGAACCATCAACTCAGTAGCTTAAGTTGCAATACATTTATATTAGAGAAACTGCAGCTTATTGCAAAATATACTTCCTCTAAAACAGTGACTCTTAACCTTTTTTGTTCCATGTACCCCTTTCACCATTGCTAGACCATGATTCCCATTCCTTGTTTTTCAAAATTTGAAAAATACATATATATTAATTTAAATTATTTTTAATGAGTTTTATAAATTTAACAAAAAAAGATACAGAAAATATTGATAAATGGCAAAAGCTTAAAAAAAAGCAATTTTTTATACTCATGAACTTAATACTTAACAGGTAAATAAAAGACTGACCTCATTCACGCCTGAAACTATGAAATTCCCCCCCCCCCGACTAAGAAACCCTACTCTAAAATCTACAACATTAGTCGCTTCATGCGCATGATGTATTAATATTTCTTTCATATTAGTCTGAACAAGCTTTTAATAAACAATATTCCATCAATAAGATCTTTATTGACTATGCAGTATATTTCAGATTTAATGGTAATATCCTAAAATAGCAAATATTTAAGAGAATTTAATCCTGAATTTAGTGTAAACAATTTTTTAATAAATCACCGCTCAGTTTTAGAACCTTTTAGAACACCAACTAATGTAAAAGAAAAAAATAATGTGCAATGTCTTCATGCATAAATATGCTCCATAATTAAATTTACTTGTTATTTTATTTAAATTCTGTAACATTTTATGATTTTTATTTTTATAAATTTTAAAATGTTTGTTATTTGTACCTTTTTGGTAAAACATAAAACATTTAATTAAACATTTAATTTTACTTTTTATTAGACAAAGTTACTTTGTTAAAATTTTCACAGCTTACCACTGATACTGTGATACAGAAAATTGTGCATGTCATAATAAGCATCACTAACATTAAAAAAAGCAATATATTTGTTGAAACAAATCTGAAGAGCTGCACAGTTTAAAGGCACAATATTCAAGTCTGGAAAAAAAAAAATATTATTTAAACACACTCAGAGAAAATACATACCTTTATTGCAATCTAAAATAGCCTCTTCATTTTTTTCCTAAAATAAAAATATTAAAGTAACTTTAATAAATAGCAAGATTTTTTTCTAAGCTTTCAGTGTAAGCACATATTGATATACCATTACAGTAAAATATAAATTAGATAAAAAATACAATATTTATACTAATAATTATATATTTCATGCAAGTCCCATAAATATGTTATGTCTCAATTTTAAATTATGAAATCCCTTTTTCGTTTACTATGAATATACACATTTATATATCATTATAGTAAAATATAAATTAGACAAGTATATTTATATATAATACTTAACTTAAGCCCTGTAAATATATTTAGTTACTATCTTATAACAAATTTCATCCAACTATATTTTGTAGGTCGGTAAAAAACCATATAATGTGTTTACAAGTTAGTACTTTCCAAATGTTCTTGAAAGTTCAAACTATTCACAAAATTTTCGTTCTAAAATCTTATTTCCATATTTTCCTGGTATAACCTTTTCATCTGAGAAAGTTGGTTGGTTAGTCTGTATTTTAGAGAGCCCCTTGGGTTTATCACCAAGTTATAGTTTCATTATCGCCAAAATTGTTGTTTCATTTAAGGTAACCCAAGTAATTGCATGTTATGGAAACCCTATTATGACATGATTGGTTGCATAATTGTGGTGAATTTGACTGACGAGGATGTCAATGAAGAAGTACGTTGCTTATTTTGTGCTGTACACAGTAAAATGGTGAGATTAATCTGAAGTTTCTGTATGATTTGGAACGAAAGGGGGAAAAAGCATTAATTGACTGGTGTGCAAATGAAGGTTTTTACTTAGTAGTCATTATAAGTGTACTATTTATATGAAGGATATGCACATGGTAGAATGAAAAGATTGTTCAGATGCCTTTGAATGGGTTTGTCGCCAGAAATGCCACTGACAGTCCTGCACGACAAAGGACATTTTTTACTCTTATTTTTGTGAATTTAGGTGGTGAATGACATTGTGAAGGTTAGGTACCCAAAGTTCAAAAACAAGGACTATGACATTCAAGAAGCAGAGTGATCTAGCAGGCCTACTGATGTTGATGAGGCCCGCCTGTGAGAATTTGTGGAAGAAGATCAGTATGCAACCATTTGAGAGTTTGCTAAGGAGACAGACGTTAGTGCTATATCCATTAGTCATGCTATTCATCGCATAAACTTGATGTACAAGTTCAATTGTTGGTTGCCACATGCACACAGCGATTTAAGCAGTTCCATGTTGTAAAGCGATTATATACTTACAAATATGCATGTCTTCTTGAGGATCTGAGCCTGGACTCAATAATATAAAAGCTAGTACAACTAACAATCATACTGATCAACAAGCAATTTTAAACCTTCACAAAGTAAGTAAAACTTGATATTTCTCCTGCTCAGAAACGCCTTAGTGCTTTTTCTGTCAAAAACAGCTATTTTATACCATAGTATAAAAAAATTTCACTGTCTTTTTTAATAATCCTGTACATATGGGTTAATAAGATTACATACATAAGAAATTTTTGCCTTTCTCACTGTGTGCAGTTATCGAGTAACTGTGTACCACCAATAATCAAAAGATCCAAAGTTCAAAGCACAGTAAAAATATTGATGAATTTTCATGTTTTATGCTCCATATAAATACAAAACAGCTCAACAACATAATATTCAAATAAATATAAATGATATATTTTTATCAAATACACATATTCATAATTTTCATAAAAAATTTAAAAGCTAATTGTTTTAAAACTATACTTACTAAGTTTATTTTAGCAGCAGCTCGGTTAGCATACAAAATGGAACGCTCTGACTGATATTTAAGAGGGCATGTGTTCAAAGCTGTTGTGTACAATTTGATTGCTTCTTCATAATCTGATTTCTTAAAACATTCATTACCATTATTTTTCAAAATCACAGCTTCTTCTTTTAATTTCTAGGAGGAAAGAAATTTAGAAAAATTAATAGTAAACTTAATGGTATTTTAGGTAAAAATAACGTGCTAAACAAATACTAATTTAGAAGTCAAACAACAAAAATCTTGCTATTGCGTTATTATTATTATCCCATATCTGCCAAGTTTTCATTCGAGTATTATAGTTATCATGATCACTTTTGTTTATTTTTGTAGTTTATTTGCTTCTATGGTACTTCTCCTCCTAATTCACTTTTGATTCTGTTTCTCATATCAGGTAATATCATCAGTTAATTTTTCAGCATGAGTTAAATTTATCATATTATATGCCATATTTTTTTCTTTTCTTGTTAATATTAACAAATTATTACATAAAAAAGATTTAATAAATTCAGCAATTCTTTTAAAAATTTGTTACCAGAGATGACAACTTTAGTCTGCTACCAATTTGTTGAATTTAAATTTCTAACAGAAACACTTAAAACAACGTTATTAAAGAACATTCCCCATAGCCAGGACATCTCAAAATCGAATGAAGCAAATGAAGAGCAATTTGTTCTTTGGCAGCTTGAGTTCCATGGATTAGTTGAGAATGTTTCGATTTTAAGATGTTCTGGCTATGCGAAATGTTCTTTAACAACCTTGTTCTAAGTGTTTCTTTTAGAAGTTTAGATTCAACAAATTGGTAGCAGAGTAAAGTTGTCATCTCTGGTAACAAATTTTCAAAAGATAAAACATTGCTTACTTTATTAAATCTTTTTTATGTAATAATTTGTTAATATTACCAAGAAAAGGAAAAAATATGGCATATAATATGATAAATTTGACTTGTTATATATGTGGTTAGATGTTTTGATATTAAAAATCTTGGTGGTGTAGATGTATTATTTGACACTGTGTGTATCAAAAATGGTACTTCACAAGAGCTTTATCAAGCTATAAAGGATCTTTTCATGAGGGAAAAAGTTACAATAAGTAATCTCATTGTCAATGGAAGTGATAATTGCATTATCATGATGGGTACTAAGAGTAGGTTACAGTCACTGCTAAAAAAAAAGGATATACCATCAGTATTTATCAGAAAACTAACTGATGGTATTCCCTTATATGAGCAAATAGAAATCGAAAGGAATGCAAAGAAGGTACGGAAAAATGATGAATGCAACAATAACAAAAAATATTCAAATCTAGTACTTAAATCAGGGCTCCCAGGCCTGTTTATATCCATACATATATATATATGTGTGTAAGATAAAACGAAATGCAATAACTGCTTTACAAAAACAATAGGGACCTAAAAATTAGCATTCTAAATTTGGTGATCTCCTCCTAAATTCATCTGTTCTGCCAAATTCGAGATTTTTTGACATTATCTAACGCTGTTTGAAAAGGGTAACCAAAACCAATAACTAACCAATCATAGGTAATTGCATCACTTTTTTTCTAGCTTCCACCTTGCTAATAACTCCTTACTTTGCTTCTCCGTCTAAACAGTCTGTGTCTTAATTTCTTAGAATCAATGTACGTAGAAATTTATATTTAATTATGATTAAATAAGTGTCTGCCAAATTAATTGGATATGTGTGAAAATAAAGACTGGAAATTTCTTCATGTTTTATTATCTTCATGTATATGCCTTAACCACAGCCATGACGGACATTAAAAGCTGTTCAGAGTTCCAGCCATTGTGACTGTGCTTAGAAAATATGACATACACATATATATATATGTATATATATACAGAAACTGCTTGCAAATTATATATGCAGAAACTGTTTTGTTAAACAGTACACAGAAATTCATTTTTCATGTACCACCTTCCTGTAGATTCATTCTTGAATTGACCATACTTATGCAACAGAAATCAATAGCTCTTTAAAAAAATGTACAGGAGGAAAAGAACTAGATGTCACTGAAATGTTAAGCAAAGCAAGATCATCTTCAGTAGTTGTTTAATTTTGGAAATCAATACAACAACTTGGAGGAAAAGAAAACGGAACTGAAGAGGCAAGAAAACTTTTTTTTGTTGTTGTTTAAAGTGCTTCGTACAACCTTACATATAATATAACACACAACAAAGCATACATATAATACATACAGCTAATACAGCTAATATTTATCATCATCTGGGTTGATAAGATTTTTCACAGATATAACTTTTAAACTGGGTTTTTTTCAGTAATTTTTAAGTCAAAACTTATTTCTTGTAAATACAATAAAATTTAATAAAGGTTTATAATTTCCTTAATTGCATATTCTAGCAATACAGATTATAATTTGTAATACTTCAAATGCTAGTTAATAATAATGCAAATGTAAGAGGATTTCAAAATTTTCACAGGGTTCTATCCCACTGGTTTGGTTTGTGTTGCTAACATGTTATGTGAACAGCCTACTCAGCAATCGGAAAGCAATACTTAGCGTACAATGTTTCCTGATCATTTGTGAGATTATTGTAACATTTGGTACAATTTTATATTTACGTGTGCACTATGTGCAGTCATATAATAAAGTGTATTTAAAGTGTTCAGATCACTATTCTGTTTTATGTTAATGAATTAGTGTTTTTTATTTTATAAAACATTTGTAAATAAGATAATTACTTACTAGCCATATCCATAATATTGGAAACTTGTTCCCCATACAGAAAGATGAGTAAACAGTGACATACTCAAAATTTTATATATGAATGGTTAGAAAATTCAGAATTACAGGATTGGTTGATAAAGACAGTAATGAAAAAAGTATGTCTTATTCTTTTTGCTGTGAAATGAAATTAAAAAATGTCAGTCAACTGATGTTATTAGTGCACACACACAAAACATTAAGCATAAAAAAGTGTAAATATAGCTAAGACAAGTTCAACATTACATATGTTCTTCATATAAAATAAACCTAAGGAGAAAAAAAACTAACAGAGTTAACAACTGCTACATTCATTATTGAGTATAATATTCTGCTTGTGCTGCTTAATCGTCTTGTAGAAGCATATAAAAAAGCATTTGTTTGATAGCAATATTGGAAAAAAAAGTCAAACGAAGACAATTAAAATGTCTCGTCTTATGCAAGATGCAAAAATATGCATTTTTAACATATGCAGAAACAAGTTTTCATTGATAATAGATGAAAACACACATACATGTGTATCACAAGTTCTAGTTGTTGTGGTTAGACGTTTTGATATTAAAAATCTTGATGGTATAAATGTATTATTTGACACTGTGTGCATCAAAAATGGTACTTCATAAGAGCTTTATCAAACTATAAAGGATCTTTTCATGAGGGAAAAAGTTACAATACGTAATCTCATTGTCAATGGAAGTAATAATTGTACTATTATGATAGATACTAAGAATTGCTTACAGTCACTGCTAAAAAAAAAAAAGGATACACCATGAGTATTTATCATGGTACATATCTGAACTCTTTCACATTATGTGCTAGTTAGTCATTGAGTCAAAGTAACACCATCAAATATGGAAATATTCACAAAAGATATTTCTTATTATTTTTCCCATAGCAGTAAATAATTAAGCAAGTTCAAGATGTCATATATAATGACGAAAGTATAAAGTACGCACAAAATCCCCAAATTAGCACAAACATGTTGGTTAACCCATGGCAATGCAATACCAATAATTTAGCATGTCCGTTTGTTCGTTCGCCGCCGACCAGGCCTCCGTCCTAAGGTGAAACCAATCGGAATTAATACCTGTCAGCGGAGGTAAAATCTACTTGTACAACCAGCGGCCACCATAACTAGGTGGATTGCCAGATCAGCGACGCTTATTTTGCATCAGCCAAAGTAAATTGTTTCAAAAATTAAAGAATATGTATCAATGACATCTTTGCACTTTGTGCAACATATGTACAAATGATATATTACATAATCAAAATTTGCATACGAGAGCTAAGCAGTTACAACTGCTGCCATCAACCATATATATATACATATAAATATAAGTTTGAAAGTTATTAGAAACCTCTTAAAATCATGAAGTCTTGAATTCATATTTTGTTCCAAATCTTATTTTGTTCTTAGCTAGTTGGGAACGGCCGCACAATTGAATCCCAGGTCAAAGCAATTAGATCATAATTACATGAAAAATGTGGTCACTATTTAAATTTCATTTTTCATAAATTCTCAAGTCTAAAAACCAAAACAATAATAAACAATTAACAAATTACCAAAATTCATTATTCATAGTTAATACGAAAAACAGAGCAGTAAAATTTAATTCAAAGAACATTATCTTTTTATAATGATTCTTAGCTATCTAAATTAATTCTATCTAGGCAAAAATTTATCTTAATTATAGAATGAAATGCTCTCCTAATTAACATATTCCGGTTTGAAATACAATTATTCTCAAAAACTAAGAAAAGAAAAACAAACAAATAATATAGCAATAACATTTAGTTTGCTATTTTAAGACATAGCCTTTAACTGAGAACATAACTCTGGGTAGAGTAGACTTTAAGGTACCCCTTTTATTATGGCGAAGTTGTTGTTTGATTTATCGCCAAGGTGTTATTTCATTTATGGTAGCCTGAGTAGTTGAATGTTATGGAAACCCTATTGTGATGTAATCAGGTGCATGATTCTGGGAAATTTTGAATCATGGGATGTTTTGTAAGCGTTTTTGTGGTGTGTGTTAAAACCGTTTAGATGGATTTGAATGGGTTTGTAGGAAGAAAGGCTCAGATGGTCACTATGTAAAGTGCTCGATCAGAAAGAGTACCTAGTTTGAAAAAAGTCATTTGAGTATGATTGATATTTTGATTTTTGCGTGGCTCTGGGTGTACGAAGTGAACTCGAAAATCATGGTAAGTAAATATTTGCTTTTGGTAGTGCTTAAATGTATAACATGTTTTCCCTTTTTTATGTTATTTTATTGTTTGGTTTAAAATGTATTTTATTGAGATTATGTATTTTTTGTTTGCCATATTGTAGACTTTGGTGCTCCTTTGACTTTTTAAGTGAAAATATATCAATGTGTACATGGACAAAGTAAAGGGAGTGCGCAATGCAAGTTTGTGCAATTCTGTGATTTTTAAAGTGAAAATAGGTCAATGTGTACATGGATAAAGTTAAAAGAGTGTGCAATGCCATTTTTGTGCAATTCGGGGATTTTTTTTTTTTAAGTGAAAATAGTTCGACGTGTACATGGATAAAATCAAAGGAGTACACAATGCCATTTTTGTTCAATTCGTGGGTTTTTTTTTTGAAGTGAATATAAGTCGATGTGTACATGGATACCGAGTTTGTGCAATTGTTTGTCTTGTTATTTTGGCTTTGTGTAGCACCGATTTTTGGCGCAAAAATCGCTGCTTCACAAGCCAAAATAACGAGTCAAAGAATTGCACAAAATCGCCAAGTTTCGCCAAAGAGTAACCTAAACTATACTTTTACCCATAACTCTTCTTTAAAAACAGGGCAAGCATAAGAATTAGAAGTTGAACAAATGTAGTACTGTGTATACGTTTCTAAATTTGATCTTAAACAGTTAATACAAGATGGACCCTCTGTACAGTTCGGAACTAAATTATCATGTGCATGAATGCAGTAAGAGCAAAATAAAGAATTTGTACAATTTCGAATATGGTGGCCAAGCCTGGCAACCATAGCATCTTAAAATTTGAATATATTTACGAAAACTACAAGAATGGAATCCGACATAAATGCGACCCTTATATCCCAGTAATGTCAAAGACTGCTTGTTTATTTGTAGAATGAAATTCTTACTATTGTCTGTGCATTTAAAACTTGTGACAAAATTTTAATTTAAATTAGTATCACTCGGCAAGAGCGCCTTAAAAGCAACTTCTATAGTAGCCTCAGTTACATTAATTAGAATTCAAAATAAAATAATTCGGCTAATCTTTAGAATATGGTAACAGGTAGTTTGGTGACATTTCGGTAAGGCGATAAAGGTTACTAGCTAGGACTTTAGCAATAATCTGAGAAGTACACAGTTCGAATCACAGATTATTTTGTCTCAGAGAAATGAGAGATCATGAGACATGTAATGTGACATTTTCCGGAAAATTCCAATGGGGATTTTAGCTAATAAGCACTTAGAAACAATTTCGCTGCTAAAGTGCAAAATCGCCCACTTATTTGTTTGGCGCTTTTTACAAGAGTAAGAAGAATTGGATTTTTGTCAATTTTCTTTGACTTTTTAAGTGAAAATAGGTCGATGTGTATATGTATAAAGTCAAGAGTGTGCGCAATGCCATTTTTGTGCAATTCTGGGATGTTTTTTAAGTGAAAATAGGTCGACGTGTACATGGATACCGTGTATATGCAATTCTTAAAAACGCGGCAAGCAGTGGGCAATTCTACACTTTCTCCCAATTTCGCACCTAATCTTCGTCATGATTAAGCACTTTTGCTGCATAAAAGTTCTAGCATAAGCGTAATTTGGCTAGCAGATTGCTGGAATAAATTTTGAGTAAAAAAAAAAAAAAAAAAAAAAAAAAAAGACATGCCTTTACTGGCATCTGAAAAAAACTAGCAGGTTGCTGTAGCAGGGTTGGTCACCAAAGTTTTGCCAAAAAATCGCCTAAGTTACCATAATTTAAAGATTCACCAATAATTCTATCCATATGCGATCTGGGTACACATGCCAAAATATTGGCATCTGAAGAAGATGATATAAATTAAGACACAATAACACGCCGAATAAATACTAATTCAGAAGTCAAACAACAAAAATCAGCATTATATTTACAAAATTTTCACAGGACTAGTTTCGATGGTTTTACCGAACCACCATCTTCAGCTGCAAAACCGCAAATGAGCAAAGCTGTGAAGATGGTGGTTCGGTAAAACCATCAAAACTAGTCCTGTGAAAATTTTGTAAATATAACACTGATTTTTGTTGTTTGACTTCTGAATTAGTATGATATAAATTGTTTAAGCTGCTCTTGGTGCTCCTGTGTATCACAACCTATCAGAAGATCCTTTGAAGGAGTTAAAACACATATTCATAATGTGGATTCCTGTATTTGATACATTAATTTTAGCTAACTTAGATTGAAATTCAGCCAAAGTATTGACTGGTTGTGATGAGGAGACAATGATAACATTATCTAAATGATGTTTAGAAGAATTACCAATCACAGAAAATTATTCTTAAACGGAACTTTTCTGGCGTCTTCTGTCAAAGAAACTTCCCTTACTGGGATAAGTATTTGTGAAATTTTATCTTTTCTGTCAATTATATCTGTCTGAATCTCCTTATTTTTATTATAGGAATGCAAGTCCAAATATGCATAATTATTCTGAATGCAAGTATCTGAGACAGCTATTGAATTTATTTGGGAAAATTTATCTTCATAATGTATTGAAATGGAATCTGTATTTGTCACTTGATCAGTCAGATTATCTGCTTGTGCAGTTCTTTAGCATGTGTGGTTGCTGGAGTTTTGCCCATTCTGAAAATTTGGTGACTTGCACTACGGTGGCTATGATAATATGTAAGTACCTTTACAGAGAGCAATGGAAAATCTGAACATTTTAATTGTACTATCATAGAGAATTCTAGAGCTATGCTGATTAATGCAGAATTACCAATAACATTGGAGTCAAAGTGCTAAGTGGCTGTTCGTGTAAACAAAAGCATTCACAAAAAGGACAAAAATTAACACCTTATGAACTATACAAAAGAGTCAAGACAAACATTACTTATCTAAAAGATCTGAATCCAAAGCATAAGTTCATAAAAGATGAGAAAAACATAGAAAGATGGATCTACAAGCACAAAAGGGAACTATGATAAGCATCAAATGTAAAGCACAAACATTTATATTCTTGAACTAAATGAGACATAAAATTTATGGAGCAAAATATCAAACTGGTTTTGTTGAAGAGAAATAAATTAAAGTTCAATAAGCTTAAATATTACATGAATTTATTATTTTCTACAAGGAAAAAGCAAATGATAAGGATCAGAGAAAAGAAGATTACAGCTCTTCGGATATAACAGGTTAAGAACCTCAGAAAAGTTTACTGTCACACCCAGAGGATGAACACAGCAAAAATAGTACGTATGATCCCAGATGCGTCTAATATCCATAATAAACCAATAATTTGTGTATGTGTTTATACAATAGATGAATGGAAATCATTGCTACATCATTAACACCAATTACAAGTGAAAACTTGCTCATTCTATCTGTTAATGCTATTAAAAAAGCTGGAAATGTAAAATTTGTAGTTTTGTAATTGACAATATAGCAAATATGACAAAAAAGAGTAAAGAATTAGAAAGCAATTTTCAGTTTACATCTAACGTTGTTCAGCACATGTGTATAATTTATAGGCCAAAGATTTAAATAGATTTATGTTACTGATCATGCTTTTCAAGTCATAAAATATTTTCAATATCACCAGCTTGTCTGAGATATTTTTAGGAACTGAATAATTTTAGGAATATCCCTGAAATGTTAAGCAAAGCAAGATCATCTTCAGTAGGGATTTCAAGAAAGTTTTTTACTTTTGGAAATCAACACAACAACTTGAAGGAAAAAAAAAAAAAAAAAAAAAAAAAAAAAAAAAAAAAAAACAAAAAAAAAAAAAAAATCAGGGATTTAAAAGGCAGGAAAACTTTTTGTTATTGTTGTTTGAAGTGCTTTATACAAATTTACAGATAATATAACAAACAACAAAACATATATATAATACATACATACATATACACATGCAGATAATACATACACACATACAGCTAATACAAAACATACAGATAGATACACACATGTTAGGCAGATTATTCTAAATTGTACTACAGCCATTTCTTCAGCAGCACAGTTTCAAATAAAAAAAGAGTTTTTAGTTCATTAAAAAACATTTAAAATTTAACTAAATATTTCATTAAACATGTCAAATTTTTTGAAATTAAAAAATTTACATTTATGTTTAGAATGCAACATGGAAAACATTGAATACCTCAAGTTTATCATCCGACAGGTCTTTATGACATTCAGTCATAGCTTCTTCATCAAGTTCAAGCACTTCATCAGCTTCAGATATATCCTTAGCATCACTATATTCTTCATCATCATCTTCATCTTCGATTTCAGTTTTTGCAGATGAAGCGTTTATTTTATCATCAGATAAGGCTTCTGTGAAACCTTTTAAATCAAATTTATTTGTATCTGAAGAGCCTGATCCGTTATCAGCACTATCTGTTAAAATGTCTTTGTGAGAATCTGTACTGGTATGACTGTCTTCCATTTTAAATATTCAATACAATTAATTCACTTATTTATATTCCTATAAAATAATTTTACATTTTAAATATATGAACATAAAAGTTAATTTTCAGAAGTCAGGATTAAATACCATAATGTCGATTTTACTAACAAAGAAACAAAAACAAAAGAATTTTACAAAGAAATCCAGAAAACAGCCCTGATGATGTTAAATTTTACTTAGTTTCTGGATTAAATGTTCCGTTATATTATATATCAGCTAAAAAAATAAACTCAAAATAATCTACACATCGATTTTCATTACTATATTAGAGTAAATACTAAGGATTTCACTCAAAAAATTACACCTACGTTATTTCCCCAATTCGTCTGCAGTTAGCTGAAATGATATAAACAGAAAAACTGCAAAAGATGAGATGTCTACAGCTGCTGCTGAGTCGCAGCACAGTATTAATGATAAATGTTTGAAACATGGATTTCTAGACAAACATTAATATTCTCAATTAATTGCTCTCTATATTCTATTTAATTATTAAAATATTATAGAAAAATATAATATATCCTTAAAAATACTACTTTTTTTTTTTTTTTTTTTCAAAATCTGTATGAAGCTTGGTTTCCATAGAAACAGAGAAACGCTAATACAGTGAGTGTGGTGTAAAGCAGAAAATGAACGAAATTACATTGTCAGTGTCCAGTTGTTAGAAAAATCGAATGATCTAGCTCTGTTTTTCTTCAGAATGAATGATTATAGATTAGAATGGATGAAAGATATTGTTTATAGGTTTCTTTCGATTGATCAGAATGATAGGGCATTTGAAGAACTATTAGAAAGAGATGATGTCAGTTTAAAAACTTTAGACACATTATTTTCTAATTCTAAAGAAACTCAACGTTGTATTTTCTTTTACTTTATTATAGTGGAGAAGGAGATCGAGAAACAAGGCAAGAAAAATTGAATTCTGCAAAACTATATTATTACATTTTTCAAAATTGTGCTGTTATGTAATCGAAGTACTTCTTTTTCTAAATTTTTTATTTCTATTCGCGCAAATTTGAGATATATTTTATGTTCTTAAAATTTTAGCGATGTAGCAAATACATTTGTGTGCATTGCTAATATTAATTATTAATACATTAAATGTAACTATATTATTAAAACTGGTTGTTATGCAATGAGAATATATAATGAAACAAAAGGCGTAATAATATGGATTTTTTTCACTTTAGTATGCTTTAAACTGTTTTGACACTTGAAGACATTCATAAACCATTAAACAATAAACAGCTTTGTAGATTATTCAAAATTGTATTTTTATATTATGAGTAAATTCCATGAGAATGACATGAAAAAAAAAATTCTCTCATCAGATTTAAATTTCATTTCAAATGAAACATTCATTTAATCATTATTTTGTTTTATATTCTTGTGGAGTTTTGGTGTTGGTTTCAGTGGAGAGAAATTAAATTAACTTTCAAGGTGAAATTTATTTCTATGCATTTTCCATCGCTCCGATCAACTTTTCATTTTATGTTTTTCATATATCATTTTCTAGAATTAGGTAACTTCAATTTTATTGATATTTATGAGTGTGTTCATATTGCAGTATTTTTTTGAAGTCCTGTATCAGCAATTTTTTTTTTAATAATTCCATACTATTTGAAATACTGTCTCCCCAAACAGTGTTCAACAACAGATAGTTTTTCAAACTGAATTTTTTGAAATCATAAGTCTGAGACATTGCATAACTTTTAAATAACTTATTTCCTAAAAAATACAAAAAATATTGTAAAGAAGCTTTTTCCTTTTTTGTTAATGTGGCCATTATGGTTTTAGGTCAGAATTAGTGAACTTATTCACCTAAGAATTAACTTTTTAATGAAATGGCTAAACTGTTACTTATTAAGATTTATTTGGAATATCCAAACTCATTGATAATTAATTAACGCGTTGACTGCCGTGGGGGGTCACTGGTGGCCGGCACTCGATTTGGCTGGCTACAGCGCCGTGGGGGGGGCATTGATAACTAGCAACGCGATCACAGTAAAAACATATAATTAGAGTAAATATCAATACAGAAGAAATAATAACCATTGTTTTGAAGAGTAATAGATGACAAAAATTTAAATAATAAATCGCAAAAATGGTCTGCAGCCTCTCAGGGGTGAGTGGTGACCCCCAACCAGGAAAAATGCATTAAACATGATTATATAATTCACCTATTCACCTTATCTTTTGTAGATAATATTTCAACATAGTATGCATTGAATAATAAAAAAATCATGTTGGTGCCATGTTAAAATGCGTGCGGCATTCAACGTGTTAAAAATATTTTTTTTTTTTTTACTTTGGATTTCATTAGTAATTATTTTATGTTTACACTAATGGACTAAACTTATGCTTTAATACATGTAAAATAATTTCATTGTTAATTTTTGTTGTAAAATACTCTAGTCACTTTCACATGAATTGAAATAAATTTTAGATATTTTGGAAGAATTATTAGAAAGTCATGAACCATCAAAAGCTGAATCATCTGAATCTAGTAAAATAGAATCTGATGAGATATTAGATTCAGATATTGCTGATGAAAAAAGTAAGTACATATTATTTTGATTAAAATTATTATACATGAAAGAGGTAGAATATTATCAGTTATACACCTTTAAACATATTTGCATTTATATAATAAAAGATTGTAAAAATCAATGTTCTTCATATTTTATAAACAAACATTTATTTTCTTTGGGGGGGAGAGGCTATTATTATTGTTTTCAAAAATTGACTGCAAAATGGATTCAAAAGGGACCTTTTTTCATAACGTCTGCAGACGTTATGCATGTGCGTATCTCTCATATCTAAAAAGCAATTAGCCATATAATGCTGAAATTTTGTATATGGGACTACTATAACATCTAGTTGTGCACCCCTCCTTTTTATTGCAATCAGCAGAGCCAAGTAAGATATTTAGAACTAATTTTCCACAAAGACCAAAAATTGAAATTCATAAATGTCATAGGTGATTGTAATTATTATTATTAATTTTGCTCCAGCACACACATTTTACATTACTTTAAATTTTTATTTTAATCTAATTAGTTTTAATTTAATTAGAATATTTTAACCCATATAAAGTAAAATATTCTAAATCTCATATGTGAAAATCATATTTTGAAGAAAAGCCAATTTTATAGAAATTTTTAATCTATACTAGGCTTAGTAATAAAAAGTGCCTGGGCCCACAGGGAAAGTTGCAGTGCACAGGTCACAGACTCAGGAAAGCATTTCACTTTCTCTATGGTGGGAGTGAAGAGGTTAAGATTCTTAACTTTATATTTGCTGGAAATGCATAAAAATATATTATTGTTACAATAAAAAAAATTGATGAGTTAGTTCTTTTTCTGATCTGTATTCATCTGCTATTGAAGCTTTATTACTTGCTTTGCTTATTACGAGATTTTAATTTTCGGATTGCTATATGCATCAAATACTATGTTATAGTTTAAAATTAAGAAAACAGGTAATCTTAGATTGGGGTAGATTTTAATTAAAACTCTATCAGTTTCATAAATGATCAGACATGGATTCCTCTTCTTCAGAAGTAAAATATTTTTGAAAAACTGGGAGGAATAAGTAATATATTTGTATTAAATTCAATGAGTGGATCAAAGAGAAAATGAATGTGGCACCATCTTTAGGGAAATCAGAAATGAAATATGTAAAACCTCAGTTCTTAGAATTTTGGAAGAATTAAGAAAATCTGGATTGGAATTAATTAATAATGGCCCTATGAAAATTATCCATAAAGTTTTTTCAAATCATGAACTGATCTCCGCAAAGCTTTTCCTATTCATGTTTCTTTTCTTTTTTTTTTAATGATATTGATTTAAATCCAGTTCTTTCCAGTACTTCAAAATTTTAACATCTCAGATTTCTTATATTTCATTATTATTTTTAGTTCATTTTGTCTTTGTTCCTCCCACTGATTTTGCTATAAATTTGGCTGCTTCTTCTAGTTTTGTGAAAAGTTTTAAAGTAGTTTGCTTCTAAAGAAGGTTCTGTGTATGATTGTCCTCAAAATCAACAGAGTTTTATTCAAAATCTATGCCAATTTATTGGTTGTGTTATTTAACTTTTTCAGTTGTTCTATTTGACTATGTTATAAAGTCAAAAGTCGTTAATACGGACACCCATAATCCGGACCTCAAAGCTACAAACTTTCTGCGCATGCGTCGCGTTGACGCATGCGCGTAAGACCTTTACAGCTGCGAATATGTGTGTGCGCGTGCGCAAAATACGTTTACGAATGCGCGTTTAATGTATAACAGACTGTATAAGCTAAGCTAAAATTATCTAATTCAGTTAATGTTGCAGATTGCTTTGTTGCTTAAACTTCGAATTGGATTCGGCTTATTATTTTTTGCAAACTGCTAGAGCAATTTTATTAAAAGTAAGCTTGAATTTCGATTATGTCAAATAGAATTTCTGATATATATTTACTAATATGTAAAGGATCTACAAAGCGAAAGCATGTTTCGAAGTCTATTAAACAAAAAGTGGAATTGCTGCAAAAAATGCATAAAGGCATATCCTTTGCTTATCTAAACTTTCACGTTTGTTTATCTAAACTTTATTTATCTTTAACGCCGCGGCGCGCAATGAATTGGAAGTTGATCTGTCAGCACTATCCTTATCTTCAGGGCAGATGTTTTTATTTTATTTGGCTTATAATTCCTTACTAAATGTAGTATTTCATCTCGATGTACTCCGTCTTTGACATGATTTAAATCAAATTCCTCGTCATTATAATTCGCTTCCGATAGTGAAGAAAGTGACACAGAGGTTATTGAAAACGAAAAAATTTCTATTGACAAATTAGTCGGTATTCTCGACACAGCAATTATAGGACTTCAACAGCGGAACTTTGTAACTGGAGAAGAAATTATGTCTGTTTATAGAATTAAAGAGAAAGTATTATCACATGAAACGAAGCAACTTAAACAACTTAACATTGAAAGAAATGTTTAATAAAGTAAACAAATAAATATTAAGCTTTTTTTTTTTTTTTTTTTTTTTTTTTTTTTGTAAATTTGATACCCTTTAGATCATAACTGTTCTTTCTTTCATAAATTACGGTTTCATATTTTAATTTTATAATTTCTGCATGCCATCTTACCAGATTTAAACTGATGATCTATAATCCGGAAAAATCGATAATACGGAATCGCCGAAGTCCCGACGAGTCCGGTTTAACGACTTTTGACTGTATATATTTTAAAAATGATGTTAATATTTGTGTTCAGGAAATTATTATATGCATTTTTATATTAGCCAAATTTTCCAATAATTTTATAATGTAAATAAATATAAATGTAAATTCTGTAATAAAATATAATATATAAATTTCAAACTTTTGAATTTTTAATTTTCACAGACCGTTTAGAACAATGCTTTCTTTCTTTATTTATAAGGTACTTAATTTTTGAAGATGATAGTAATTTTATATCGCTGTAAAGTAAAAAAAATTATCTGACTGTAAGTAAAAAATTTATCTACCTGGACTTTAATTTTTAGTTGTGCTTTATATGGAATAATTATCAAGTAATTAAATATTAATATGCTTATATTGCCTTTGGCTTAATGAATAATAAATTTATCTTAAGCTATGTCAGTAATTTTGGGATATAACTGATTTTTAGTTGGTTGAAATTCAGTCAGCCACGTAATCAGTTATAATTCAGTCATAATTAGAAGTCTGAATTTTTAGGATTCATAAGGCAAATACTTTTGCTGTGATTCATCCTTATTTCACTATCTTAATATGGCTGACAGAGATGATACGCAGCTATTTTTGAGCAACTTTATTGACAGTACCTAAAGGAAAACAATACATTTAAAATAAAATAAACAGTTTAGTTCTTGCCATGAAGTCATTGTCTATCAATAATGCCACAGATTCCATGGTTTTTCTGCAGGGGCTTATTTTCTACGTTATCCTCCTTTCATATAGAAGGTTAAGAGTAACTAACAGTTATAATTAATAACTATAAATCCAGAGCTATAGCTAGGGTTTTCAGCTCATAGGGGCAACTAAAGATTTTCTGCCCCTTTCTGTGTGGCAAGAATGGAAAACATTTCATTTTAAAATTTCATAATATCAGTTTGGCGGCGCCTGGATGCTGTGCCGGGGACTGATGTCACCCTTGCTCCACCCAAGCTATGCACTGTATAAATCATTAGGAAATCAGTTTCTTGGCCTTTTTAATACTCAGCAGCATCTTAATAGATTACTGTTATGTTGATGAAAGCATTTTGCAAATAATGCATGAACATTTAGAGATAACCAAAGAACACAGTTTTGTGGTGGTGGAAATCATCTTGTTCAAACTTATATTCCTTTAAAAAATTATTTCAGCATGCCATGAGATTTTCTAGTTTTTGTCCATATGCCCAACTGAAAATCATAATTGTTTTTTGTATATGCAAAGCTATTTATGATCTATATCATTGCACAGGGGAATGCAGCATTAAGAAAATTGTTGTAATAAATTCTGCATACAGGAACAATATTTTCATTTGGCGGTGAGTTTATGAACTAATAGAAATTAAATTTTGTGTTCTTTCTTATACCAAGACTAAAAGCTTTACATCAATGGTTTCCTTTTTAGAAAAATTTGAAATGTGAATTTAAATATTATAGTCGTATCTTAATTATGTAGTAAATCTCGTTTTTAATTAAATCAAAAAAACCTGAACTGATTCATCATTTTTATTTTCATTTGCAGTAACTTATGAAACAAAGCTGAAAGGAGAGTCTTTGTTAGATCTTTCATTATTTTGTATAATGTTCTTTTATTTAATTTAAATAAAAATTACTTTCTTGTAACTTTTATATTGATAGTCACAGACATTCCTGAAGGAAATTGTAAAGAAAGTAGAGCTCCGTCTTTCTTTACACATACCAAAGCTATCATTAACTCAAAGCTATGTATATTTCTTGTTACGAAAATTGGAATCATTACCTACAGTCACAACCTATCAAGAGGCTTCTGAGCTTATGCCAGAGTATTTTGAATTTGGATTCATTAATCAACATCCTCTTGTAGCCTTGAATCAAGTGGTATCTAATGTAAGTAAATGCATTTGTTTTATTTTGTAAAAAAATACTAATTTGCAATGTTGTGATTAAGCCAGATTTGCTATATTTTCTGCATCTAAGCTGAAGTTTTAGGCCCCAAACAAATATCCTCCAAAAAGTCTAATCAACTTATAGGCAAAGAAAAAATATGAAAATGTCTTTAATTATACAAACTAACCATATTAAAGTGTTAGTGATTATGTTGAATAAAAGTGATTAATTATACATTTTCACTCCAAATAAAAGACAAAAAATTATTTATAAAAATTGAAAAACACTTTTATTCTAAGAAAATTTTATGAGGGGCAAGAAAAAAAAAAAAAAAAGAAAAAAAAAAAGAAAGCCTTCTGTGCTAGCAAATTAATTTTTAAAAATATGTTCATAAAATAAAACTTTTTTTTTTAATTTTTTTATTTGTCTTTAAATTATAGAGGTCAGTCAGTCATCAGCATTTGAAATTAAAATATTCATTTACTCCCATTTTTATCTGCTGTAGCTATTATTATCAGATATACAGGAAAATGGGGCCTCATATACTTAAAACATCATTTTATTTTTGTACATAAGATGGTTTACAAATGATACAATTGGATGGAAATCCAAAGTAAATTCTTAATACCTCCTAAATTTTAACTTTAATACTAAATGTTAAAATTGCATGACTTTTCAAACTTTATATAAAACTTTATATAAAACTTAAATAATATTTAATTTTTGAAATAAAGTTTTATTTAAAACTTTTTTTGAATTTGTGAGTTTTATTATGAATAAAGTTTTATTGAAAATATCTGAAACATTTTCTGAAGTTGGTACATAATTCTCTTTAATTGCACTTTTATTTTCTAAATCTTTAATAAAATGATATCCATTATCATTATGGGAACTACTATTATCTTAACTTCTTATAACTAATTTTTAACTTTCTCTTGTTCTTTTCTTAGCTTTTTTCTTTAAATGATTTGCACACTGATTATATAAATTTAAATTACAAGCCATACAAAATCTACCTTTTTCAGATGTTAAATTCTGTTTGTTCTTATATACGTTACTAATTTGCATCCTGGTGGGAGCAAACAAAATTAGAAGTGAATAGAAGGCAGAATAATAAGATAATGAGTTAATGAACTCAAAACTCTATAAACCTGAAGGCTTGATATGTTCCAAATGAGCTGCAATTCTGGCTAAGGAGATAATATGAGATCAAGCTCCAGATGTAACAATACACTGACTACCAATAAGTATTTGGACACCTGTGATAGAAAAGAAAAACTAACTTTATTCAAAATCAATAGTTGGTACAACCTCTACGAGAGGAATTAAACACAAGCGTGGACCCTCCGGGCATACTTTTCACAGTCTTTTGTATGACAGCTAGTGGTATTTCTCTTCCACTCGGCTTGCTTGAAGAAGACGTAGAAGTTCCTTCAAACACCGATTTTGCACGGTAGTGCACCCTGAATTCAGCGATGCAACTCGTCCCAGGCTCTCGATAGGGTTCAGTCTGGATTCTTGGGCGGGCCAGTCCATTCCATGAACTCCATTGGCCACCATAACCAAGCCTTGGTTGACGTCGAAACATACAACTGGCATTGTCGGTCCTGAAAAGTAACAGGGGTCCAACCCGTAAAACGCCACACAACGTAGGAAGCACATTTCATCCAAATAGTGCAGTAGCATCGGAGTGAGCTTACCATTTTGGGGATAGGGTCCCAGCCCATACAGGAAACACCCCCATATTCCCGCCAGCCACCCATTCTTCCGTCCCGCCACTTTACTTTGGCAACAATGCACAAGACGTTCCCCATGTAGACCGCCAGACCCAGAACCCTGCCCGAACGGTAAGGGTGTAACCTTGAAGTCGTCACTCCAAGAACCCGTTTTCCCCAATTTCCAACATTTCCAATCTTCTTTGGCTTTGCACCCACATAAACCAAGCGGTTGACTTCGTGATCAAAGGCTTATGGCAACACGTCATGAACCAGATGTGCTTCCTTACCATTAAACAATACGATCCTGTTGAAACTCCTCGCGAATGAAGGCCTCGTTTATGCGTTTCTCTTCCCCAATTTCTCTGGTCCACTCGTCGTTCCTTTTTCCGTTTCGTTGGTTCTTTGGTCCGACGCGGGGGTACCTCTCGTGTTTCCCTTCACGTTGCCTCTGTCGATTTGGGGTTCATATCGACGTAAGATCTCTAGGATCGGCCATTAGTTGGGGCCGATATACCCTTTTTTTCTCTCTTTCTCGGACCCTCCCCCCTGGTGAGGCGACGCATGCGAATGCTGCCGATCCTAAACCGATCTACACGAGCGCCCGGGGCGGAGACCCGCTTCGTAGCACCACAGATATCGTCATTTGCATAGGTGTCCAAATACTTATTGGTAGTCAGTGTATTCTACTTCACAAAATGAGTTCTGTTTCATGAAACATGAGTTCACATAGTTCTGTTTTCATGAAAGTCACAGTACTGTTTTTCTATCCTGAAACACATGTTCTGTGTATTTATTTCATACCCTGAAACGCTTTTTTTTTTTTTTTTTGTAGATTTATCTCCAGCCTAAGTTTGAAAATAGTTCTTTCTTTGTTTTCTTTTCTTGCACAACACTCTTGATCTACTATTTCTTTCAAATATCTCAAAACTTTTTTATGGCATTCCAAATCAGTTCACTGTATGGTAAATTAGTAGCAATTTCATGAGTTGAATTTACCTTGAAATCAGAATCTAGAGGTGTTTTTCATCATTTACTATTCTGGATATTAAGTCTTTGTATAATTTTTTATACTTTTTATCTGCGCAGCTTTTGAAATGTATTCATGAGGCAATGCACCATGTTACTAAAATATACAACCTGTGAGGTAACCCTAATGTATTTATGTGGCAACGCAGGTATATGTTGCATGCAGCAGCAGATGAGCACTGACAATTAGTATTTGTTTTTCGTGGATTGAAGACGGTCATTAGTATTTGTTTTTATTGCCTTGAGTGCTTTTTCCCCCTCTGGTTTAAGTGAAGTATAAGGTGATGGCAAATTTGGCAATTCGTTGTTAGGTATGCTTTTAGTGTGGGCAAGTAGTTTTGTGTTTATCCACTTTACTAGTTTAAAGAATGTCAGCGTTTTTTAAATTGCTTGGAACTTATTTTTAAGCAAGTTTATACAAGAATGGTTTTGTAATACTAATATTTTGCACACACACACCCCAAAAAAATGACAGCAGATTTTTTAAAAATTTTTGTATGGTTACATGTAGGGCAACTGCTAGGGCTTTTGTTGTCTGGGAAATCTCTGTGGCTCTTAAGTTCTGCTGCCTGGTGCATTCCTAAATTCTAAAAATTCTGCCATCCAGTGTGGTTGCACTGGTTTCATGACTTTAGGCACTGTCCCAGATAATATAAGCCTTAGCAAAACATACTCTACTAATCTTTAATTTTTTTCTTAAATTAAAAAAATCTGATCATTTTCATTATAAAGTAATATGTGATGAACAATTCTTTATACAAGAGGATTGTTTATTGGCTATTACTAACCTATTTAATTAAGATTGATTAAATTTTTGAGAGGACCCCAAGAAATTGTTTTACATAGGGCCCAAGAGTTCTAGTTACACCACAGGAAAGATCCACAAATTAAATTGTCAATCTGTAATTTTTAACTGCATTTGTTTGATTAAAGTGATATAAGCCTGATGAATTACTGTCATGTTTTACTGGGAAATAATTGTTCAGTGATTGCAGCAACATCTTTGTGCTATTCATGGTAAAGCATCTTACACAGAAATGACGCTAAATTAAATTTATATACTCAGAAAAAAAGAAAAATGTCAAACTAAAGGTCATATTGATTTAAAGGTTTGTTGATTTAATATCTATGTTACCGTGAAACACCGAAATCTGGAGAATATCGACTTTCACCGGTGAATGTCAACATTCACATAGTCTATTGGTGCATGTCGAATTTCTAACTGCAAAATAAGCAACATTATTAATCGGAAAGAGAAAAAAACCACCAATCGTACTTCTACATGGAAAGAATACCCGAAAAAGGTATGTACTGTTTCTAATGTTAAATCTTTGGTAACAAGAGAAAATCCTATGCAGAAATCAATTGCAAAGTTTTTAAATACATCTGTAGCAACAATAAATAAAATAATAAACCAAGAGTTACAACTTAAGAAAGCTAAAACACATAATGTTCCTCAGCTTTTGGCACTTTCACCAGCATGAGGGTCAATGCAGAACGATTTGTAGAACCATGTATAAAAACTATTTAGCAGGAGATAAATGGAAATACATTGTGACCCTTGATGAAACATAGATTTATTTAAATAACTGCAACAAAAAAGGTCTATTTATTATCGAAAACGAAGAGGAAAAAATATGCAGACCTGTTCTGACAATGTAAAGAAAGTTTCAATAAGGGGGGTTATGCTTGTCTCAGGTTTCTCTAACAATGGAAACTGAAAATAAGGAGAGTGAGAAAAAAGGTTAAAATCAATTCAACGTCCTATCAAGAGAAAATTTTATGTTGATATTTACAGAAAAATTTTCATTTCTTTATCCCAATGACTTTCAAAGAATGAAACGTCATCAAAAAAGCTACAAGCCATACTTTAGAGAGGAACACTGTATTCCTTGAAAAAATTTAATGCTGAATTAAATAGTACATATATACCTTTTCAGCATTTTTCTACATGTAAGTCCCCTGATCCTGCACCTATTTTGGTCTCTTGAAAAGTTCTATTTTTAAGCGCAAAACCACCATGACTGACGGACTGTGGAAGTAGTAGAAGAGGACTGGAAATCATTACCCCTTGAAATTTTACAAAAAGCTCTTTTATCATGGAAATCACGATGAGAAAGTCTAGAAAAAATTATATCAAATCGAACATTAAAATAATATTCTTTACATTTTAAACATTAATTAAACGGTACTGAAATTATTCTAAAATGTGCAAACACCCTCTGGAATTCTTTTCAGCAACTTTTCAAATTAACTAACCCATATGTTCTTATATGTAACTTAAATAGTCGCAAACAAGCAAAAACCTTTTGCAAATTTCATAATTATATATTGGAATAAAAGGTAAAATATTAAAAATTAAAATAGCATTCTAAAATAATATATTTCATTCTTCAGATATATCTCCCTTTATTTCAAGATGAACATTTAATAACCAAAATTTTACCAGAAAACTGCAAGCTGCAAAGCAAACAGGTATGATTTTATTTTATGTAGACAAGTATATGTTTAGAAAATATAAATTAAATTGCCATGTGAAATTTTTGTTTGGGAATTAAAGCTGAAATGTGAATCATTTTGAAAATCTGTTTGGTCATATACTCTTTCTATGTGAAATCTTTTATAATTAATGTCAACAGTTTTTCATTTGTATACTTTCATAGAATTAACAGAAATAATATTAATTTAAAAGGCGTAAATATAAAGGGCGTTCATACAAGATTAAGCTGAGCACTCATACAAGATAAATACGGAAAATTTCTTACTCAGTTTACCACATAGTTCTCCATGACTTCACTTAGCATAGCGATATAGCACATGCACTGGATTCCTACAGAAAAAAAAAAAAATTATTATAACCTTCAATTTCTGAATGGTGCCCTTTTAAATCTATAATCGTTCCTATATGTGATCCAGATAAATGCTCTTTAAGTTTTAAATGAAAGAAAATCTCTTGGAGACTGGTTTCATGAAAATAATGGGTAGGTGAGAAATTGAAATCTACCTTGCTGAACAGCAGTTTGGGAAATTGAGTTGGTAATATTATTCATGATGATGGGAACATCCCAGGGGGACATATCTGAGGGTCTCCTACCTTTGTTGCCATAGTAAGCAACTTTTACAGAGGACTTCAGCTGTGGAGTTCTTTAAGCACCTTCATGCTGCAAAAACACTTATAAACATTCATGGGTTTCAACTCCAGACTCAACATTATGGCAGCTAGCTCCCCTAATACCATGCCAATATCGCAGCCCTGTGCGCGTGAGTGTGCAAAAGTAAAACTCTGCCACAACATTTTACATTTACAGCTTGTTAGAGTTGAGTCAGCAGACTAGCATGATAAACACTTGTTATCATAAGACATATAATTAAAAAGAAGAGGCTTCTCTTCATCCCAAAATTTTCCTAGTAGGTTTCTTTATTCTGAATTTAAGTCAAAGAGATCCACTATATATCACATCATGCTTTCTTATTTAATTTCTGGCTCTCAGTTGTGTAGCCATACTTCATCACCTGTCATTAGGCACAGACAAAATATTTTATCTTTATTTTTTATGGGGATTAGTTCTTAAGAATATTTGACCCGATGTACCTTCATATTTATTGCAAACATTACGAATAGTCATCTAGGACAGTCTTTTGACAACTCCAGTTTTTCATGCAGGGCATTTTTTCTGTTGATCCGGCACTGATGTCCATTTCTGCAGCAATCTGATAAATTGTCACTAATATCTTTTCTTTCATGTATTCCTCGACTTTAGCATATTATTTCTTCAGTAGTTACATTCACTCTACAGCGTGGTTTGGAATCATCTTCAAGTGGTGCTCTTCTGTGTCTAAATATGGTAGCTTATATTTTGACAGTGACACAGGAAAGTGTTGAATCATCATAGATTATAACCACAAATTCATAAATATTTGTCAGTGTTATGTCCTGTTTTATCAAGAATTTGATCACCAATTGATGTTTGATACTTTTATTAGTAGTAGCTGAATTAAAAAAAAAAATGAGTATGCTTTCCGTTTTATCTTTCCAAAGGAGCAGCAAGAACTTCACCATCTTTTGCAATCCTACAAATATTAATTATATCATACTTAATAAGCTTAGAACTTATGCATGCCACCTGTTTATATTTAACATTTTTATACCATTGCAAAGATTTATCAAACAAACATTATTAATAGTATATTATTAGATACATTCTGTTTAGTAATGCAAAGAATAAATCGCAAATAAATAGTTTACCTAAAAAGGAGATTTATTCACAGAATGTTAGAAAATTTGTATTCCAGAAAATAATTGCAGGCTTCTTTAATGTCATACAGGAATTTTTCCGGCTGTTAACATTATTTGCACTTGCACTAATACTGTTAACATTATTTGCACTAGCATATCAGTAAATCACAAAAGGATTGAATGAATTAAAAGAGGAAAAAAAATCCGCCATGAATTATCTTACTTTATTTTATAACTGACACCTCAAGAAGAGCTGACAAATGATCACATAATTAAGTACCTCGGCAAATTTTTTGGGTTATACAAGAGTTGAACTTTTTTTGTTTTATTTTTTTATAACATGTATAAACTTTTGCTAAATATTTAGCAGACTGTAGGGATTGTGGAACTATATAAAAAGTTAAATCTCAGATTTTCAAAATCTATTTTATTCACTTTCAGAATACTAAAACGTGAATATCTGCATTACTTTAAACACTTTTATACCTAAATATATATGGTATGGTACATTAGGAATATAATGGTATGTATACATTAGGAACAAAAATAAAGCGAAACTTTACATTAACATATTTCCTGCATTTTTAAATATCCCCAATAGATAGTATGTTTCATATATTTTTTACATATTTCATCCTTACAAACTGAAATATTTTTTGCTTTTCAAGTCATTGAAATATGAAAAGTTTTTTGGAAAATATTTACTTTGATTTTAAATATTAAATAGGTAATGTCTTTGTTTTCTGAGTTTAACCAAGAAACCAAAGAATTTATAGATTCAACCAATGAAGCTATCCATCAAATAGAAAAACCATTTGTGTTCAAACTTCCTGATATTCCATCTTCCTGTGTTCTGGAAGAATTAGCTCAAGAAGCACAATTTGTAGCTGAAACACAAGAGCTTGTATCTGAATGGATTACAGTGATTACAGACTTATTAGAAGAATGTAGTCAAAAGGTTAGGTAATTGCTTTTGAACCATCTATAATTTGGAATTTTCTGTTTTGTTATCCAATTATTAATTTTGAATTATTTAAAAATTTTCAGTGTTTTACATGTTTATGGTATTTGTGTATTATCTTGCATTAATTATGTTGTATTATAATATTGCAATATATTACGATATAATAATGAATTATTTTCTGTATTAATAATTAATTTTAAAGAGCTTAATGAACTTTTTGCATGTATATTGATGTCTAGAAATGTTTTTCTATAAATTTTTCTTTTCGGAACGTTATGTATAAAAACTCTATGTTTTATCTGTATTAGCTGGTGTTTGTCAATATATCACTAGTAATTTTGGTGCATTTTGATGATGAAATATGTTTTTTATGTTAGCATGTTGCTAAAAGAGGGTTTTTGATTTTTGGCAAGTATTCTCTGCAGTCAAATTCAGTATTATATCAGAATGTTATTTTCATCATTAGCATTCTATAACAATCATATGAGAGGGATTAATTTTGAAATGAAACCGTGCAGAAAGATTTATATAAGCATTTTTTTTTAATTAAGGCAAATTAAAGTTAGAATTTTATCTTACATTTAAAAACATATAAAAGTAATCATTTAAAAATTTGTGCTTTATACTGTATACATTATTTATTTTCTCCTTCCTCTTTTTTTATGTTAGATAATCTAGTTTTACACTACAATGTTTTATTGTATTTCTTGCACTTTCAGGAGGAGAATGAATTTAAGAATTTAGTTTTGAAGTATATTCTTAATTATATCTTATTGTAACGAAAGCTTTCCGCGAAAAAACGTTCTTAATAAATTTAGGAAAAAATAAATAAATAAATAAATAAATAAACAAGGAAGCAATACCTTTAGTGCGGGTAATAATCACCACCCAAAATCTATGCTTTTCTGCCAACGTTAGTTTTTCAAAGCCTTCGGCCCAGAAACTTGGTGGCCGCGAGTGCGAAAAAAGATCAAATTCATTTGTCCTCTGCAAAATGGAAGATAGTACCAGCGAAATGTAGCTGCAGGTGTGAAAAAAGTTACGAAGAAGCGATGCGTAGCTATGTGGTGATTGTGGCAAAAGATCCCATTCGAGTCCGTATAGAGTACAACCAGTGAATGCAGACACAATGTGGTCTTGCATTATCTTGATGGAATATTACCTTTTCGCGCCGGAACTCAATTCGACGTTTTTCCTTAACAGTAGCGTCAACACGGACTAGCATCTTGCCATGCACCTTACTGTCGAGGGTAATACCTTTTTCTAGTTAGTCTTTGTGGATAATACCACGGCAATCCCGCCAGATACCAAAGCTTAATCTTTCTGTTAATAAAATTCAGCTTTGCGACACTGCCGACGAACTCACCGGGCTCAGACCAACCCCCTTTTCGGCCTTGTTGTTGAATCCACTTTTCCTCACAAATGGCGATCTGGTCCAGGACTTTCTCTGTGCGTTGGTATTCGAGCAAATTAGTGCACGCCTGATCACGTCTGCCCTTATCTGCTTGAGTCAGCTCATGCAGCACCACAAAAATATTAAGAGAACGAACTATTCCATACCATTCTTTCCAGCTGCAAAGTGAGAAACCGCTGAGGGTGGTGAGAAAGAATTTACCCAACTCAGTCAAGGATGAGGCAACCATACAAGACCTTCAAAGAAGAAATTTCCCAGTCACCAAAATAAAGCAATTTCGAAGAAGCCGGAAAAATGAATTTGAGAAGTTGCCTATCTACTATGTTGAACTGGAAAAGACAGCAGAGGGATTTGCTATTCATCATGTGAATAACATGTTTGGACTGAATGTAAGGACTGAAAAATTCGCGCCGAGGAAAAGACCATTGCAATGTTACCGGTGCCAAGAGTATGGTCACTCTCAGCACCTATGCTCCAACTCTGAAAGCTGCTGTATATGTAGGCAGGCCCACAGGAGTAAGCTATGCACCTTAAAAGATGAGGAAAAGCCCACCTGCATTTTTTGCAGTCAGACTCATGTGAGCTCATATCGAGGATGTGAGACGTATAGAAAACGTTTCGAGAAGAAAAATATCGTAACCAGACCCAAGGAGCCAGTCCCGACGTCAGCAAATTTCCCGCAACTTATCAGAAAGAACACAGTGCCGGAAAAGAGAGCTAAGAGAATCTCCTACAGTGAGAAGGAAATATCCAGCCCCCTCCAGATGATCTTTCAGAAACAGTTTCATGGCTGCAGGATAGGAAAATCAGGAAGTTCCTAAGTACAATCATAGGAAGTATTGAAAAATCAGAGCGGCCGACAACACCGCAGCGAAGTTAGCATTAGAATTCCAGGCTGCTATAAGACTAATGGAATTTGCAGAGTGCGATGATTAGTTAGTACCCTGAACGAAGAGCTCGACTGAGAGCTCACCATCTTGATGGATTTTCTTGACTTGATCTACTGCATTTACTCAGGACGTTTTAGAACTCTTGGACTCACGACTCTGTTTTTGTGACCTAACCCCTTTTCCACGCCCAGACCTCGGTCTTGATCGCATTTCACGCCTCCGGGTGTCGGCAAACAAAATAGTTTGCCTTTAGATTTTTTTACAACAGCGAAATGCCAATGGCTTTTTAGAACGAATGGCAAAAGCTCTATGTAGCTGTGACCATAACGAAGGATGCCTATGCATATGCAGCACCCAGAAATTGAACTCGCATGTCAGGTTTCTACGATGCATAGCGTGAGTAATGGACATGGCACTAATGTCTAACTCCTTAAAAAGCTCTCGACTGGTTGCACCACAAGTTCTCGCAGGCAGGGCCTCATCAGCATCAGTGTGTGTGTGTGTGTGATTATGGCAAAGCCTCAAGGGCTATCTGCCTAAAGGGAGGGATGCCTTTCGTGGAGGACTTTCTAAGGGAAACTGTCTCGTATACACGTTACACATGGGGAAACCACGAAAACGCCCATGCAGCCAGCCCGTTCGCGGGATTCGAACCTCGGACCGAACTACCAGTGTTCAGCGACTTTACCGCTCGGCCGCTGGTGGGCCTCATCAGCATCAGTAGGCCGGCCAGAGCGCTCTGCTTCTTGAATGTCATAGTCCTTGTTTCTGAACTTTCCGTATCAAACCTTCAGAGTGTCAAATGATACAACATTAATACCTAAAGCTCATGATTTGGTGACATTCTGTAGCTGACTTTTTGCAACAGAACTGGAAGTAAATGATGGTTCTAATCTGGTAGTATGATAGTTCCATTTCGGACACCTTAAGTAATGATAATAATAAGTAATCGTAGTAATGATAATAATATTTTTTTTCCAAATTTCACAACACAGTGTTCTAAATCAAATCTTTTCCTTTGCCAAAAATCGTTTGACAAAGTATGATTAAACACGCTAACGCGAACTGTCTGAGCAGACCATGTTTGCGGTGGCGGGAAACTTTCGTTAAAACCCGATAGCTAAAAATTTTACTTCAACTTAATGTTATTTTATTAAAGGCTTATATGATTCCAGAATTAAAAAATATATTGATATATATATATATATATAATTAAGCAGAAAATTAATTAAGTAATATGATATGTTATTCTTTTCATAGGAAAATCCAGGCAATGATCTTCTGTCTGAAATTGAGTTTTGGAAAAGTCAGAAATTTAAATTGAGTACATATTTTGATCAGTTGAGCCATTCTGATATTCAGAAGTCAATTAATATTCTTCAATTAGCAAACTGCGATTTGTTGGAATTTCATTCTTCCGTTAGTAAAATCGAAGATCGACTAATCAAAGTGATAGATATTGTAAAATACTTAATATTGCTAGAAAATAATATAAAGGTCAGTTCTATATTTAATACTGCTGTTTATAATCTTTTGTTAAAATATTTTATTCTTTGTTATCATTGTAATCTAGAATTATTTAAAGAAAGACAAAAAGCAAATTATCTAATTTGATGTATTTCTTGTTGAATTAATTTTAGAATTCTGAAAAGTGTTCAACATAATTTTAAAAAAGTAAAAATGTTAAGCCCTGCAAAAGGGGGCTGCCTGTATTTTTTGTGGTTTTCGTCATGCGTAACATGGATAAAGGAAAGCACTCCACTTCTTAAGTAGGTGGATGTTTTGTGCTGTCCCATGAGCCAAATAATCCAATTTTAAAAAATAAATATACTGGGTGCTCTGAAAATATCTGGCAAAATTGTAAAGGCAGGTAGAAGGGGCCAAAATAAACAGTTTTTGTAATGAAACATGTGTGCCGAAATGCATCCATGAGATGGTAAAGAACACCGTTGAGTGGGAAATAAAAGTGTTCTGCTAATGTGAATTGCCGTTTCTCGTGCGGATTTCGAGTGATATGCATCATTACCTGAAGGCAGAGCTCGGTGATATGCATTTTATTTGTAGAGCAGCAGAAGGAATGAAGCAGCTATTCAAGAACAGCTCCACATTTGTGTAGCAGTGCATGTCGCTCAAAATCTGAAGAGGGAATGACAGTTTAAAGCAGTTTGAATGCTTTTATCTTCTGCTCAATAGCACCTTGTACCACTTGTGTGTGCCATTTTTGCAGGCACATTCGATTATGAAATCTTTTTCTGTCTTCTCTGTTTTTATATTTTTTGCCAAATATTTTCTGAGCATCCTGTATACATATAGATTTACAATCTATATCTTACAGTAAAATTTCATCATTATCATAGACTTTACTCTTCCTATGATGGTTGACCCGAAAAGTAGTGTTACAAATTTTGCAGTCAATAAATTACAAGTTGTAGAAAATTATTTTACTTATGATACACATATTATAAAACAGCACTCACTGCAAACTGTTAGGAAAGCCATATAAAATGTCATTTTAAACTATTCAGCAGTACACTTTTATAATGTTAAAAATAAATGAAAGATCTTATGCATCATCAACTGATCACAACAGCTCTTTAATGAGGGATGGGATTTTGCTGCAAAATGAAAACAATAATATCCCTTCAAGATGTTAAAAAACGTGAACAGAAATTGTGTAGAACAGGAGTTAATTTTATTAGTCATCTTTTTGCCTGCATATGAAATTTTATATATATATATATATTTTTTTTTCATTTCATTTGGTATCTCTTAACTGCTTGCTATTTTCTCCATATCTTAAAATGTTCCGTGTCTTTCTTTTCCAGGTCTTAAAAAAATGCTGTTAGTTAACACATTTAAAAAAAAAAAAAAAAAAAAAAAAAAAAAAAAAAAAAGATTATTTTAGAAGTTGAGTACAAATGGAGAGAAGATAAATTTTGCTTTGATGCATGGAATTCTACCTAATACGATTTCTACAAAAGTGTTATATAAAATTTTCCAGGATTTTTACAAAGAATGAAAATTAATCAATTATACAACAAAATTAAAATCTCTTGCTATTCAAATTTTGAATATTTGTTATGAGGATTTTTTAACATTAATTTTCAGAGTGATGTTCTAATAAATGGCTTTTTACTCAAAAAATAAATATAAAAAGCTTTATGAGAATTCTTAAACATAATTACGTGTACCATTTTATAGGTTTTTATTGCAGATTGAAATACATAAAAACTCTGCAAATCTCTTTTAGAAACATATTTTGGTAAAGTTAATAATATCCATAAAAATATTTGTGAAAATTAAGAAAAATATGTATTCCCACATTATTATTCAGGTTATAACTTGTATGCTGTTAACGTTGATTAAACATGATTATCTTTCAGAATTAATAATAAAATGTAATAATAATAAAAAAAAACTTTAAAAACTTAAAAAAAATATAAAATGCAAAGAAAATTAAGTATTTTCAGAAACTGCAAAAACAAATTAGAGATTTTTGCAGTTTCTGAAAATACTTTTTTTCTTTTGCATTTTATTTTTTTTTAAAGTTTTTTTTAATTATTATTACATTTTATTATTAATTCTGAAAGATAATCATGTTTAATCAAGGTTAACAGCATACAAGTATAATAATGTGGGAATACACATTTTTCTTAATTTTCACAAATATTTTTATGGATATTATTAACTTTACCAAAATATGTTTCTAAAAGAGATTTGCAGAGTTTTTATGTATTTCAGTCTGCAATAAAAACCTATAAAATGGTACACGTAATTATGTTTAAGAATTCTCATAAAGCTTTTCATGCAAATTTGCATCCATACTGCAAAATTATATATACGTATACATATAAATTTAAACAAATTTAAATTTTAACAAACCTGTATATACGTAAAAAAGCAAATTTAAAGTTAAAATAATCAAAAAATGTGCGGTTAATCTTTGGATTATGGTAACCAATTCTGCTAAAGCAACTCTCTATTTTTTTTTTTTTTTTTTTTTTTTTCGCCGCCATTTTGTCTTCACGAAGTAAAGACATGTTTCTTTCTTTTTATTTACTCAACACTTTTTCCAACAATCTACTAGCCGAAATACACTTATGCTAGAAATTTTATGTAACAAAACTGTATATCATGACAAATTTTAACTGCAAAATTGGGAAAAAGTGCACAATCGCAATCTCCTTGCGCGTTTTTCAGAATAGCACATACACATAAACGATTTACACGTCGACTTATTTTTACTTAAAAAAATCCCAGAATTGCACAAAAATGGCATTGCACACACTCTTAACTTTATCCATCTACACTGCTATTTTCTCATAAATTACAAAAATTTGCACGAAAATTTTCTGAATCTTTAAACTCAGTAAAAAGCACATATATGAAATGCGAAAAAGTATATACCCTTTCCAAGGATGAACATTTCCACGTATAAAATAAATAAAATATCCAAAAACTTTTACCTCTAAATTATCTATTATATAATAAACGTCACCAACGAATTTCTACCGCGAACATTAAAAATGGTTACAAATACTTAGTGTCAAATATTTAAATTATTTCCATGCACGTTTACTTCAACTGAAACGTATACCAAATTGCTACAAACATAAACATTCCAAAATAACTATCATTTAATTAAATATCACTAAACCATGTACACGTCGACTTATTTTACTTAAAAAAACATCCCAGAATTGCACAAAAATGGCATTGCGCACACTCTTCACTATATCCATGTACACTGCTTTTTTCTCATAAATTAGAAAAATTTCACGAAAATGCATGAAAATACTCAACGTATTCTACTCAAACGTATTCCAAAATACTACAAACATATAACTCACAAAATCACGATCATTAAATTAAAATATAATTAAATTAAAAACACTACTTAAAATATAAATAAGCACATACATTAAATTAATAAAAATTAGATTACAATCCTAATTACTTTAAACTAAATCATTGCTAATAACAATTTTCCATAATACTATATTAATTTATTTACTCCTTACATTTAGAACAATGCATAAAAATAATATCCTCAAATGATTAAAAATACTAACTTACCTAATCTTCTTCAGAATCTTCATTACGTGGCACGCACACTTCCCTACAGAAAGAGTTCCAATCGGCTGCAGTACTACTGCTAATTTCTAAATCCGAAATCCAGTAGTCAACTGGCAATCTATTCACCTAGTAATAAAAAATTAATAAAATTTCACCCATACTCAAACTACTTTCAGCAAACCACGTACCCTTCCTTACACTCCGTTTCACAAAATGTCCATTTTCACCAGATTTCTTGCACCGCCATTCAAACTTATCTGTAATATCCTTCCTTTCACACAATCTCAACTTATTATTATTATCAGATAAACGCATTAAAAATTTAGAATTCACTTTACATAGCGCCAAGCAATCCGAAAATTAATCAACACTATGTCACACAACACACAATGAAGCTTAATACAAAATAATATATTACTACAGATATTTTTCCAAATTTTTACCCCCTTTTCCGATTAAAGAACTGTCATTCTTCCATTAATGTCACATGACATATCTCATGATCTCTCATTTCCCTCACACAAAATAATGCATAATCGGAACTGAGTACTTCTCACATTATTACCAAAGTCCTAGGTAGTAACCTTTATCGCCTCCAAAATGTCGCCAAACTACCTGTTACCATATTTCAAAGATCAGCCAAATGGGCAAACATATAAAATATTTAATTTTCGAACCAATCTACAATATCATTTAAATTCAGATAGCATAAGCAAATCAAGTGCAAAACCAAACCATGAAAATAAATTCACCAATTTAGCAAATTAAAATTAATCTAAATTTTTTTAAAAAAAATGCATAAGTGAATGACTGTTGAGCAAGCAGGATATATATATATACAGTACTCGTTAATATATTTTTATGTATATGTTCCTTTTACTGTATAAAAAGCATATAGATTTATAGATGCAATATTTTATTTTACAGAGTATAATAAACAGTTATGAAAATTTTTAATTGAATTGAAAACTGTTGTACTTGGGTATTATGTGTACCATGCACAATGGAATTCATTGATAATAACCTGAAATTTTTCAAAGAATTCTCTAAAATATGCAAAACTTTATATCATGTTGTTATCAATTTCTATTTATGGCATATTTATAATACTGTATAATGTCCTTCGATAGAACACATGCTTTAAAAATAACATGTGTACATGTCTAACTGAAGCACCTTTTTTGGTAATATATATGTATCTTTATTTAATCTAACAGAATTTTCTCTCTGGAGCAACAACAGATGAAGCACAGAAGTCACTCAGTGATCTATTTATAGTGCTAAAAATAATGTGGATCCAGTCAAGCTACTACAAAGAAGTTCCAAATATGTGCAGAATCATAAGAGGAGTATCAGTATTGTTGATGAACAAAGTAAAAAAAGATGCTGAAATTCAGTTTCTTTTCAGAAAACCTTTGGATGAGGTAATAAGTCTTATTCAAGAATAATTAAATCAACAAAAAGTGTACTTTTTGGTTAACAAGGCAACACTTAAGGGGTTATCACACCTAACAACGGTCCCTGCTAGACAGGACTTTCTTTTAATCTAGTCCCTGCTAGATTTCTGGTGGCAGTGGTTTAAACGGGAGGATTCTTAGAACATCGCTGGAAACAAAGTCCCGCCTAGCTATGGAAACGATGTACCGGCTAACGCAGGATTTTTTTAAAGCTCGCCAAAAATGTCTCGGCTACAGCTCTGTAAGCTGTAAATAAGCTGAAAAACAAAGACAGGGGCAGAAATTTAGAAATAAGAATGCGTGTAATTATTCCAGTCGGCACAAATGTACAGGGATTCATTCCTAGTTACAGTTGTTGAAAATCTGCAGACATAAATTCTGGATAACAGAAGTAAACAAACCGAATAACTATCAGAGAATGAATACGCGAATTATTGCACTAATATCTGCTTAGTAAACCACTTTTTTTTTTTTTTTTTTTTAAACAAAGGTGGATAAAGAAAAAAATCAGCACTTGAAGAAAAAAGCAAATGTTTGTTTCAAAGGAAATTGTTGGATCAAAGAAAAAAATCAGCACTTGAAGAAAAAAGCAAATGTTTGTTTCAAAGGAAATTGTTGGATCAATGTTCATTTCCATCTGCTTATTCCTAATGATGTCGTTGCATAGTTATGAGGTGAAATAAACACATTACTACTTTGGCACCTAACTTAAACAGCAGTTGCTCTGTTAACTAAAAAGTACAAGAAAAAATTTTAAAATCATTTTTAATTATTTAAGAATTTTAGATAATTAGATTTCAGATGCATTGAAAGTATTTTCCTTCGTATTGCATTTTTTATCTGTTTAAATACACCTTAAAATGGACATAAAATTAAGAACATGCTTCCAATAGGTAAGGAAAATTGCCAATGATTCAATTCAGATATTGACTTGCTGGACAGACTTGTATGAAGCTCAGTGCGAAGATCTGAAAAAATATGGAGGTTGTCATTGGTGGCGTTTTGATGTGAGACTGTTTTTTGATGAAACGCATTACATGATTGAGATTTGTCGTGATCTGGATAAAATTGCTGAGGTATGTAGTGTATTATATTTATTGTAATGTATGTCGTTGGTTTAATGGTGCTGAAACCGAATTCTTGAAAGTAAATTCTGAAATGATTCTGAGACTTCTGACAATATTTTAAGCACTTTTATTGGTTCTCACACTAAGAAAACCCTAGAAAATCATAAAAAAGAAAAATGATCAGAGAGGAAATGTAAATTTTTAGCGAAGAGGTTAAAGAAAAATTTAAGTTAAGGAATTTTAAAAAAGAAAAAGTTTAAAAAATATATTCTCTCAAATAATTAAATGTATACGCATTTAAGTTTAATAATACATAAATGATAGGTTTCTAGTTCTTTTAAAGAGATGTCTCTTTTTTTGTGTGGTTTATTTTCGTGCAGTTTTAAAGTTATGCAATAAAATACGTATTTCAGCCCCCCATTCCGCATTTATATCTATATACAGTACAAAGTCCGAAATCCGGACGTCCATTATCCGGAATGATCTAAAATCCGGACCTCAGAACCATCAACAACGTTTTTCTGGTAGGCTTTATGCATGCGCATTTGATCCCCCCCTCCGTGCATAATAAAACATCTGGAGATGCCCAATCCTTAATTTCACTTCGAATCTACATAAAATACCTTGTAATTGAAGAAACAATCATTTTAGCATAAATTTGTATGATCAGTAAGTTGGCTCCGTTGCTGACTATCTGCTTTGGCAAACATCTCACACCGAAACATTCCACATAGATATATCGTTGATCTGTCGCCAACCTGGCGAATCATTATTTAGTATACTTTCCTTTCATCACCGCATGCTTATCAAAACATGACAACTTGAGTAATGACTCATGTAGCAATGCCTAAACAATTTTTTTTATGTTAGTAATTGAATAATATAGGAGTATGGTAACCTTTTATGTTGACATTACGCTTGGTGATGATTACAGATTTAAGTTAAATTGCTAAAAATGTTGACAAGGAAAAATTTACCAAAAATTTCTTTTCATATGCTAAAAATAGATTTTGTTGATGATACTCATAAACCCAAAGATTACATTTAGGGCTATTTGAATTAAGAATAACTGATTTGTTTTTCACATAAACCCAGGACCAGCGCCAGGGCTCGTATGACCGCACCGAGTTGCAGAATTTAGGATCCACGGACAGGCCCACGCCAACAATAGGTGCAAGGTCGTGCGGCGCACGACGGCGCTGAGTCAAATAAGGCGCCGGGCAATCACTAAGACAAGCAGTTCGTCTGGCTGCCTGTCTAAACAAGAAAATTCTTGTTTTATTTGAACTTCCCTCCGAGAGTCTACTCGGGTAAAACCTGGAAAACTACTGATTAGGATCTGTACTTAGGCAGTCTCGGCCACAGGTTTTTAAATTCAGACTCCACAGGACTGAAGTCATCTCTGGCGATGGCTGTTTCAGGCTCGGCAGGGACCGTATGGTACTGTCTCGTCCGTTGGTTGTGGTGGAGCTATATAGTCAGATATTCATGGTTGTGCGGTATGAAACACCCCCATCGAATGAGGTTGCGAATTCAGCGAGCCTTTAAACTGCTTGAGGTTTCCAGTGGGCGCCTCAAAACTGCATATTCATATCCTTCCATGGCTTTTCCCTAGAGCGACTTTAGCCGACATCAGTGTACCATGACGTAGTGTTAGCAGGCCGGACTGGTGGCCCGGTTCTGTCTGACAGTGTTTGAGTAACTTCTTTCTGCTGTCCGGGGTTGGGCAGTACCTCCTACATATGTAGGAGGTACTGCCCAACCAGTACCTCCATCTGCTATCAACTGGTTGGGACCCCTGTTGATAGCAGAAGTTTTTACCATTCCTCCAGAACAGGGACGTGGAATGTGTGTTGCTGAGTATTCCTGTTGACTTAGCTTAGTCTTAGCTCGTCGGCTTGACCGATAGGTTAGCGGCCTCTTGGATCGCCTATACGGGTTGGGGCATTTAACTGTGTTAAGGCAGCCTGGAGCTTGCCAGGTCTGAATGCCCCTTCCTCCTAGCACATTGTCTTATTTGACCGAAAGTTATAACCAGGGCAGGAGTTCGTCTCTGATGTTCTCTTCTGTCTTGTTTTGAACGTGAAAATACTTAATGCTGATGCGTATGTAAAGGTAGACGCGTTCGACATATTGCTTAATCCTTATTTCGTGTTACTGTTGTAATCGTAGTAATATGTGCAACATTTATCTTTATTGTGATTGTATTTTCTACATAAAAAGGTACTGTAGTTACATATTATGTTAAACTTAGTTAAATTTTTAATTCGGAAAAGCAATGATTTGACCATAATTACTTGAAAAATGTTTACCTCTCATGTTTGAACCATTATCGTATTCTTGATAATGTCTAAACCATTTTCCTCTTTAAAGCCTTTAATAAGAATGTTGTTCGTATCTATTGTAATACAAAATACTAAAAACCTTTCTTCAATACTCATGTCCGTATTTTCTAAATTAAGATACCTCATACAAATAGATATCTGCTCTTGATGGCTGGCATCAGGGGTACAATCAAGTAAAATAGAAAAATGCTTTGCCTGTTTGACCTTATTTAAAATAATTTGCATTGTATTATCTCCTAATAAGCTAATTATTTTATTTTGAATTTTATCTTCAAGGTAATGAAGCATAATGTTTTTTAGTTTGAATTTTATTAATATATACAGACATGCTAGGGTCAAATTTTGTGATCATTTCTATGTTCTATTTTGTGATCACTTTAAAAAATTATTTCTTTCGAACAATTTGTTACTGGAACCACCGAAGGCTAAGTTTTCTTTGGCTAAAAACTGGATGGCATAGATAATTCTTTCAATAACACCGCACCAATGCTGTTCTGAAAAATCGGGTTAACTATTTCGTTGTTTGGCAAGATTCGACAAAAGTACATCTAAAGAAATTTACGTCCATTTTTGTCTTTTGGGAAACTGAAACTCGAAACCAGATTTTGGTAATATCCAGGACCATTTTCTATTAAGGCTTGAACTTGGGATGGCAATAATGGGCTTGAGCATAATCATCAGGCACAGGCAAATGCGTATCTAATGCAGAAATTGTAGATTTTAATAGTATTTTGTCTTTTTCTTCGACCGGCTTCGTTAAAGGTAATTCCCGCGTGAAAATACTTTCAAACTCTTTCTGATTGTTAGGTTCCATGGTAGCTGAGACGTTGATGAACAACTACTGCTAGTAGTGTCAACTTGGGTAGTCTTTGGGCTTTGGAAAAACTGAGTTATTTTAAATTTCTGGTTTATTTTACCTTACTTCTGAAAAAGTGAGAATACCGTAAACCATGCTTGGAAAATATATGAACTATTAGATCAATACGGAATAATTCAAGGAGATGGTGGTACTCTTTTGTTTATTAAAGTAAATAAATCAAATTTAAAGAATATATTTAAGACGTAATGAAATAATGAAAAATAGCGAAACATTTTCCTTCGGTTTTCCGTATAGCTAAAAATCGGAAAATGGCTAATTTTTATTTCAGAATACCTTGTATATATTTTTGACTTCAAATCTCAAATAGGTATATTTTAAATTCAGTGGTACTCCGTAAATATGTCAATCCTTTCTTCTCGAAAGATAATATCTTTTAATTTAATAAACAAATGGTTCATGTAAAAAAACATTTTTCGAGTAATTGTGCTCAAATCGTCGGTTTTATGAATTTACAAGCTAACCTAAGTTTAGCATAATAGGTAACTACATTTACCTTTTTTTATGTATAATAACAATAACACACCAAATGAAAAACAAAAAAGGTAAATGTTGTACAAATTAATACGATTGCAAAAGTAGACACAAAATAAGAACTAAGCAATTTGTCAAACGTGTCTACGGCACCCCCTGTGCCCTTACATACGCATCGGCATCACGTATTTTCTTTCACATATATTTGCAAGATCAGCTCAACTCATGACAAAAACTGCAAAAAGCATTAACTGATTAAAATCAAAGGGATATACATAGTATAGATCTTATGCATGAACTGCAGTTGTTGCAAACTTTTGGAGGAAATGTAGCATCGTCAGTTGAAACTCTACGCTATATCGTTGTCAACAACATAGTGGCGAGTGGAAAAGAATTTTGATATATTTCTAGATATCAGCCCTAGAGCACTTTTTGTGCCCTGTTGTAATCACAGTTTGAACCTTGTCGTAAACTACGCTGCATACAACAATTAATTCAGTGCAAACTTATTAGATATGTATATATATATTTTTTAATTTTAAGATAATAGTGTTCAGCAACATAGTTGTTATCTAGTGCGTTTAGTATATTAATTTCTCTTCGCTTGCAGTGTTACTTTTTTATAACATGTTGTTGACTAATACTTACTTGTCTGACCCAGGGTCAGCCCAAGCCTACGAAATTCCTCGTTGCAAGGAGGGCAAGATACGCCTGTCGTTGTCAACAGCCTTGAGCACCTTACAGGTGATAGTGCGATTTAACTCTTTCGCCTGCAATTTTGATGAAGAGCACCCTGTGGTGACGGGTCCGATCGTCCCCTCTGCCCTCGAGAGAACTTTCGCCTCGCATATTTAGAATGCCCCCATGCCTCCGGGATTCGAACCCGAGTCCTTCAGCACGGCAGTCAGCAACGCTAACCACTATACCTGTTGGGCAGCTTTTTATAACATAAATGTATGTATAATTCTTCAATAAATATGTTTGAGTTGTGGGTTTTAACAAAGCGTAAAATGTCGTTTGTATATTTAGCCAAAAGATAAAGTGTACATTTTTTTTTTTTTTTTGGTTTTTCATATTATTATGTTAATAATGCTTCATTTTAAGTGTTAACCATAAGTAATGTCCCTTTAATATCGTCACTACATAAAGGCGCTCACTAGACATTCGCACGACGGCGCCGATTAGGCTTGGTGCGGGCCTGCCCACAGAGGCGGTAAGATATCTAGCGCCAGCCTCCAATAAGGCTTTATGTGGGCTATATGTGGCTAATAAAGCTATATGTGGAAATTTATTTGTTAAGAATTCCGATAAGCCTTAACCATGTGCATCCCCCCGGGGGTCGACGTAGAGAATTCTGCGAAGCTACTGGCTAGGATCTGTACCTAGGCAGTCTCGGCCACGGGGGTATAAAATTTATGAACTTGGTGGTTCTGAAGGCTTTGGGAAAGGTCACTTATTGGCCAGCCCCGGAGTCTGGCACGTCCTAGCGCGGCGTGGTACTAGTAACCCGGGGGTCTCCCCCGGGGTCGCTGGGTAATGTCCCGCTGCGACGGGCTCGCCCAAGCGACTGGTAGGAGCATTAGACGACCGGTGCTGCCTGGGGTACTTCCCCAGGTGGTGCGCTGCTCTCCTGGAGGGTAATAGTGGAGGTTGAACCACCACGAAGTGCCCAAAGGGGGAGTGGACCCGGAATGAGATTGAGTTCTCGATACGGGGAATGCCCAAATCTTCTTAAGCATGTGCAAGAAAGTATAATAAATAACTAAACCAATACAATTCACGCTTAATTGTCTCAATGCGCGATAGAAGCAAGATAAAATTTAACGGAACAACTTGTCGTTAGTCGCCAAGCTCACGATGCATAGCCAAATATGTCTAGTGAAGGATAGTTAAATTTGATGATGATAGCCACTAATTTTAAAGGTTTCCGCATATCGCAAAACAAAGGAGAAATTTTCCAATTAAAGGAATTAATGTAAATTAATTAAAGAAATGTGGAGAAGCGGTAATAAATGAAGATGATATAAAAGAAGTTTTTCATTGTGATGACAATGCTTCTCAATCATCAATCAATTAATGAATAGCAAAATCTGTAGTATAGTTCTAGATCCAGAAAATACCGCTACCGAAGACATCCACCAGCGGCCGAGAGATAAAGTCGCTGAACACTGGTAGTTCGGTCTGAGGTTCGAATCCCGCGAACGGGCTGGCTGCATGGGCGTTTTCGTGATTTTCTCCATGTGTAAGTGTATACGAGCCAGTTTCCCTTAAAACGTCCTCCACGAAGGCATCCCTCCTCTTAGGCAGATAGCCCTAGTGTGCTTTGCTATAATTAAATACACCAAATACACCCGATAGTGAAGAAAGTGACAGAGAAGTTACTGAAAAGAGAAAAAAATTTCGATTGACAAGTTAGTTAGAATTCTCGAAACAGCAATTACAGGACTTTAACAATGTAACTAAACAAGGGATTATGTTATGTTTTTTTTTTTTTTTTTTTTTTTTTTTTGTGTGTGTGTGTGTGTGTGTGTGTAAATTTTGATACCCTTTAGATCATAAATACTTCATTATTTCATAAATCGCGATTTCATATTTTTAATTTTATAATTTCTACATGCCATCTTACTAGATTTAAACTGATCTAATATCCAGAAAAATCACAAATCCGGAATCGCCGAAATCTCGGCGAGTCCGGATTTCGGACTTTGTACTGTACCTATATTTGATGCTAAATGTAAAAATCATATAAAAAATGTACACAAAGTATAGCATCATAACGACAAACAATACGAAGACAGTTTGGAAACATATCTTACCACATTATGCATACAATTTCATTGTTTCTTTCATTTTCCTGAAGTCACTAAATAAATTAGAGAAAACTGGGTAGTAATTTTCAGTGAGCCTATTAATGTAATTGGGATCAAACATTAATGAACTAGATAATAACAATTTTATTAATGTAGAAGGATAATAAAAAATTCTGCTCCTCAGGAAGAAGGACCTATGTGTGATTGAAATCGACAGAGTTTTATTCAAAAGCTATGAGATAAAGTTTTTCCCCCTAATTTTAAATAGTAATTATAGTATTCTTTAATTAAACTTGCTGTTTAATTCAGATTTCCAGTCAGTATTTCTCTGATATTTTATATTATTTCGTGCATATTTAAGACTCTGCAGCAGCTGAAGAATATTTTCAACACAAATTTGAAGCATTTTGCTCAAGACATTGAAGGACTGCGTGTGCTGGAAATAAGAATTTTTGGCATGACTTCCAGAATACAATATGTAAGAAATAGCACTTTCTTTCATAGATCCTAAAATATGAAGCTACATAACAAGAAAACTGCAAAAGTTACATTAACCATGATTTATCTATTTTCTAGGCTGGTTTTGATATTTTTGATCCCAAGTGCAAATTGGATTGGAATTTGATTATAAATGCCTTCTATCGTGATGTCAAGAATTTTGAAGATGAGGTCAAAAATTATATTAATGAAATGTTCCACTCTATTCTTTCCTGGGAGAATGCTTATATACTTACAGAAAGTTTCTACAAAGTATTTCTGTCATCTTCTATTAAGCAGTTTATTGACAAAAGCCATGATAATATGATAAAACAATTTTTGAGAGAGGTGAGTTCTTCTTCTAGTATTATTTGTAAGTCTAAATTTATTTTTAAAGCTGTTTGAAACAATTACTTTTAAATAAAGCATAATTAATTATTTTTAAATAACGAATGATGAATTTTTTAGGCTTTAAATAAAGTAACATATGTCATTATATAGAAATATAAACATTTAAATTTGCTTATATAAGCGTATAAAGTATTTAAATACTTATATATTAGCACAGCCACCTTAATAGAAGTTGTCAAATATTCAGAATTTGCCTAATTATATCAATTATGATCATAGCAATTCTTCAAGCAATCACATGTGTAGCAATTCTGCAGTTTAGTAATGTTGCCATTTTCTTCTTATTATTATTATAAATCTTAATATTTTTTAAATTAAAGTATTATATTTTTATCTGAAATTCAATTTAAAAATGCACTTGTGAGATTTGCTTTTAGCAGAATAAACTGTAGTAAGTATTTTGTAAGAATACAGTACTTCACCTGAGAGTAACTAAAGAAAGCATTTGCTTTGAATGTTTTCTTAACGTGATGTGACAGCCATGAAATTTACATTAAGGCAAAAGAGGCAGAAACCCTTTTGTTTAATTGATTTTTGAGATAAATAGCTGAATTAAAACATAAAACATGTACTAATATGTATATTCGAAATAAATAGTTTTTTGCTATCATAAGTCATCCTTCTTTTTCTACTATAAAAAATTATCAAACTGTACACGGTAGTAGTGTTAATTTGTAAGTATCACATTTAATAATGTGAGCTTCCCTCACTTAGAGCCAGTCTTTCAATTCTAAAAATACGTAAGCACAAAAATGATAGCTAGAACAATGTATAAATACATGATTGAAAAGTAAAAATACTTGACAAAACTGAGAAAAAAAGGTACAAGAAAAAAATGGAATATTTTCAAGGAAATTGCAAATATGTGAATATTGAAACAAACACCAGTGTCATGTAAGAATAAACCAAAAAATTCATGAATTTCGTTTATTTTAAGAATATAAACACAAACAAAGGATAATGAAACTAGTCATAGTACATTAATGCCATCTCATCAAAGGCAACATATTTATAATTCCATAGGCTGCATTTCTGACCACACCAATTTATTCATAAAAAAAATGTTTCGAAGTTTTTTAAAATTTGTAAAAGGGATAAGAAACCAAAATAAAGCAAAAATAACTAATAAACTGATGAATCCAAACCAATGCACCACCACCAAAATATTTATACTAAATAAAAATTCATTAAAAATTGTAAAAAATAAAAATGTCATTTTTGTAAAATTTAGATTTAAGAAAGCAATAAAATTAAAATTGAAAATGATGCAGGTGAATTCAACAATGATGTATGAGGTAAGCAACAAAAGTATACATGAACCATCCAATAAAGTAAATAATTAAATAAAATGAACCAGAAATTAGCATAAACAAATAAGCAAAATTCAAGCTTGCTTACTCTCCACATTAACTGCACTGTTGCATTTATGTTTAAATTTTACTAGTTAAATGTTATTTAATTTAAATCTTTCTCTGTTTGCTTCATTTTGCTATTATATTTGCTCACACCAGAATTTATGCAAATTTGAGTGACCTACAATTTTACTATAAAGTTATTGGAATCGGTGCATAGGTGTATGTGAGATTTTAGCCTTCCGATGCTGCATTGCAATGGAAAGTTTTGCTCTCTTTTAGCGAGTCCAACACTGGGAGTAGCGATAGATTTCAGTTGGTAAATTAACAATTTGAATCCCTTTCATGGTCTTAGGCAAGTCTCATACACTTAATTTCCATATGGTATTTACACAAACATACAGAGAACTTTGATTTTGCAATGTTTCATGCTGATGGAAAAATCCCATTTTTCACACATCACCAGCTAAAAAGTGCTTTCTCAATATATCTAAATGTCTATTTTTACTGGAACCATGTAACATCATTTTGGATGAAATTGCTTCTCCTGCTCACCTGTGGTTGAGTGGATAAGACCACTGAACATTGGTAGTTCAACCTGAGTTTAAATGTCACCAAATGGCTGGCACATGAGCCTTTTTACGATTTCTCTCATATGTACTTTTAATATATGTCAGTTTCTCTTTGGAAGTCCTTCACAAAAGCATCCCTCCTCTTAGGCAGATAGCATTAGTGTACTTTGCCATAATCTAATAAATCCAGAAATTGATTGCTTCTAAAAAAAAATAGATTATGTTATAATTCTAGCAAGATATCTCAGTGGGTCTGCTACACCTGGACATTTCTATATAAATCCAATTTCTAAACGCTTGAATATGAAGACTTATAATCGTAAACTTAATGGTTCTAATTTTGAAAATAAATAAAATAAGACAGTGTTTCAGGCCATGGCAGTTTTGGTCTTGGGACATATATTAATGAAAATATATAAAATTTAAATTTTTATATAAGCTATTAGAAAAAAAGAGTAAACTGTTTTTTATTTCACCAAAAATCTTTTAGAAGAGGATAAAAAGTTTATTATGTTATATTCAAATGCGCCTTGAAAATGATTCTCAAAATTATGTAACTTGAACCATATTTACCTGAAGAAAAAGAGACAAAAATGTTAATTTCAGTGGTTGTGTAAAAAGTAAATTTCATTAGATAAAAAACAATTTGAATTTTTAACATCTCTACAAATGAGATTTTAATAGTAATGTCTTTATATACAATCCCAAAAGCTTATTATGATTTTTACCTGTAATGTCAAGTAATTTTGATCATTTAAAAATAGATGTATTTTGTTTTATTTAATTCAAACTAATTTCAAGTAGAAAATTATTCATTATGTTTTAACGAATTAAAAATAAAATATTTTATATGTTTATCTGTGATATTTAGAACAGATATAATGACTCGAATTATTTTTCTTTGTCTCCAAATTAAACTGAAATTTGAACTACAAATTAAAACAAAAATATCTTTCTCATTAACTGAAATTTAAACTACAAAATGAAAATGGCTGTCTGAACATCCTTCATAAATTATTACAGATATATGAAACTGAAAATGAATTTCTCACTTATGAAGATGAACCGCCATGTTTTGAAAATGTTCCACCTACAGCATCTGCAATTCTGTGGGTGGAAGAGTTGTTGTCTAAATTGACTCATCCTATGTCTCGTATATCAGCACGTTCAGCTCTATCTAAGAAGAAATAGAGGTAAGTAGACAAGGGAAGTAAATTTTTTACACTGTCCTATGAAGTGCAAATTCATTGCCCTCATTATATTGCTCTTGTTACTAACCTTCTGGTTTGAACCTCAATCAGATGAGGTCCCTGAATTTTATCATTGTCAAGAGAAAAGAGTTGTGCCTGCCATTGGCTTAGGCACAATTATAAGTAACAGTATGAGGTTTCCCAACTCCATCCCAGTTTCTGTGAAGAATCAACTAGGGAATTAGTCCTAGAGACTCCAACCCTCTTCCACTTTTAACTTCTCAAAACATCTTTAAACTTAACATCTTTAAACTTCTCAAAACATCTTTAAACTCAAACATCTTTAAACAGTGTGCTCCATTACTGCAACGCTACTATACACTGCAAGCATTGATGCCTTCTCTGGCATTCGACCCAGACAAGGCTATGGTGGTTGGTTCCCTAACCACCATGCCAACAGGGTACAGTCATAGTAATATTTCAGGAAGAGAACATGTAAATTCAGACTAGAACATGCAATTTTCAGAAATAAACCACTGATGGATGTTGGTCTTATGGAAAATTATGCTTTAAAGGAAGATATGTAAAGGGTTCATTTTCTTCAAGGAACAGTTAGTTGCTTCTTCCAATTATAAGTTCTGAATAGATCCATCAGTTAAGAAAACTATTAAATTTGAAATGAAAACTTCACAGATACTTAGCTGCATATTACAAACTTCTGAATATCTGCAAAACAGAAGAAAATTACAGATATAGTGGAACTTTGGTTCACGAACAAATTTACCGAATGAAAAGTCTTAGATGACGAATAATGTGCCTAGATACGAACAAATGATTCTCCAAAATGCAGTTAGTGCAGTGTAAGTATATTCAGAAGATGGAGGAATGTAATATATTTTCTCCCTTCTTATGGCGTGCCTTCATAGTGTAATTGGATAGTACTTGGATAGTACATCCGGCTGGCAATCATGAGGTCTGATATTCGAATCCTGGCGACGGCCTTCACATTTTTCATGTCTCCTGCTTTTAAAAAAAAAAAAAAAAAAAAAAAAAAAAAAAAAAACCTACTGACTCTACAAGGAAAGATGTACCTAGTTGTTTGATCCTCAAAATTTGTGTAAAATGTGGTAAGGGTTCTTAGAACATTAGTGCCATTGTCTAGAACTCTTAAGTAACATCCAGATCCAAGAGATGGCACAATAGCTTTTCCCTTTTATCTAGTAGAGGAGAGACCTTGAGACTGACCTCCAATAATTCATTTATTGTAGCCATAAGAAGCTTCGCACTGACCTCGCCCTCTCTTCGGTCGCGCATTATCGGCTTAATTTCTTGCGAACTACCATGCGTGTTACTAATATGGATTCTCGTCTGTAATTACTCTCATTTCGTCGAATGATTCATACTTTTTCAATTTATTTTTGTTATCTGTATATATGTGCCAAGCTGATATATTTTCTAATCTAATTAAAGTAGTGGATTTAAAAGCAGGTATATTATTTTATCCTTGCATTAGCACACATCTCTGTAGAATGGTAACTCAGCAATCGCTCTACTTTGCGTACAGCAAACCAGCGGCCAAGTGGTAAAGTTGCTGAATACTAGTAATTTGCTCTGTGGTTCGAATCCTGGCGAACGGGCTGGCTGCATGGTTGGTTTTATGGTTTTCCCCATGTGTAACGTGTATATGAGAACATTTCCCTTAAAAAGATCCTCCACAAAAGCATCTATCCCTTCAGGACAAATAGCCCTCGATAGCCATAATCAAATAAACCAAACCATTCAATGCCATAATCAAATAAACCAAACCAAACCAAACATCTCTCTATGGTAAAGTATTATATCCTGATAATTCAGTAGTGAGCCGCAGCATATCTTCATCATCCCAGGGGTTATCTTTTTATTATATTAATTCGATAATTTATACCGATGAATATTTGTGAACTTTTTTTTAGAGTTTTAATCCTTATAAAGTAATCAAACTATCTAAAATGTAATTCTGAAAGTTTGCTTTCTTTTAATGAAAAAATAGGATACATTTTGGCTAAAAGAGCGCCACTTGGCATCAAATATAAATGTTTTCAATTTCAGCCCTATTGATATATAACTTCATAAAACTTGTGGCTATTTTATTAAATCCAAAATAAGTGAATAAATAAATAAAAAGAATTAATGCAGAAATTTATAAATAAAAATGCATGCAATTATTCCAATCAATAGCTGTACTGTCATTCGTAGCTGAGTGAATTCTTCATTTGCCAACTACTAACTTGCATAATCTCTATTCATTCTTTCTTTTTAAATATATACGTATAATAAATATTAAAAATGTATATATAGAGAGAGGCTGCAATGATTTAATTAAATATAATTAAATACCATTGGTAGTAAAACAATTTTCCATACCAATTTGACTTTTTCTATTTAATATTGCTTTTAAAATAGTGAATTTTAAAATTGGAATTTAAACTTCAAATTGTAATTCTCTTAATTTAATTTTAACTAATAGAATTTTAATAGGAGTATTCCTCTTTAAACAAATAAATAAATGTAAGGAAGGAGTATTAAGAATCCTGCGCCTAGCCTGTAGTGATTTAATTAAACACATTCATAAGAATGAAAGGGGAATATGCCTATTATAATTCCTACATTTCATAATAAAATTAAGAAAGCCAATAAAGAAAACTAAGAATTCTAATTTACTAAGTCGTAATTTTTAATTAATTAAAAGCAATACAAATATTTAAATTAAAATTAAAAGATTTGATTTTTTTTAATTAAAAAAGTTTTTTAAAAAAAGTACTTGAAATAGTAAAATTAAAAAGCGGCAGATAGAAAATTTGCTCATATATATATATGTAGATATTTGTAGATACCTGATGTTTCTTTTTACGGCGTATATAGATTGATAGAGCTACAAAGAATCACAAGATGAATAACGGAGAAGAGCGTAGATAACAAGACACAATTTTATTAATCCGTCACTTATTTTGAAGACATATACATTCATCTTTATACATCATCATTATGGATGAGATAAACAGCTCACAATTTTATATAATTAATCTCATCTCGAGACAATGGACGACATAGGGATTAGAATGACACTTACAAGCAAAACGAGAAGTCCCTGAACACATACAAGTAAAAATGGTGCACATTTCAGCAAAGGCATATTCACAGAGATGATTTCTTTATTTAAACCTCGGACTGCGATTGGATAAAAAATTTCCGCATTGCTACTCTTACATAATGCCGCAATGCGGCTTAATTTTCAGATGACGTACCTTAGATTCCAAGAGAACGTAACCAAATTAAAATAAGGAATTAAAAGGAATAATGCTAAATTATAGTTAGTAGTTTTCTTTCATATTTTATATCTCGTATATATGTGTGCGTGTGCGTGTGTGTGTATGTGTATAATGCAAAATAAAATAAAGAATGAAAACATTTAAATCCATCCCATTTTCAATTTGGAATAAACCACATGGAAAACAAAACAACAGAAACGCAGTAGCAAACTTAAAAAAATATGGGGTAAAACATGCCAAAATCAAAAATGAAAAATATTATTTACATCTTTCGCTGCATATTCATCGGGAGTTTAGTGTAAGGAAAGAAGCAAATATATAAAGTGATATGTTTCTAAACTAACAAAAACATAAATTAAAATTTAAAAATAATAACCTTAAAAAACAATCAATACAATCTGTGTCTTTATCAGTCCAACCCCTACAGGCCGAGTAAGCAATGCAAAAATTGTAGCATCAAAAAAAGAGACAAATTCAAAACGATTGCGAAAAAATAGACAAATGTAGATTGAGTTCAAAAACAAAACTTACAGCAATAATAATCCAACACTTGAAAAAACAAAACCGTACGCAGATTTTTTTTTAAATTCAAAACTACAAAAACAGAACTAAATGCAGATTTCGAAAACAGGGCTAAAAGTAAAAGCAAAATTCATAAACAAGCAAAAATGCTTGAAAATGTAGTAAAACCTTTTAATTTTAGTGGATCGAATCCAAAAACATGTACAACAAAAGTAAACTAGCATATACAAAAAGAAAAGAAAAAAATTAGAAAAACTTATATTGTAGAAGTAAAACTGAATAGTTTGTAAAAGAACATCAAATTACCTTGCTTATGAATCTAAAAAGCGCGAGTATGAGTTTAACTGATCTCAATTTCAGTTCAAGAGAAGTATTAATTTGCTTCAGTTCAATAAAAGAAAACAGTTGTAATATTTAGATAAACGGTAGTTTTTAAATGATAACTTTTTAATTGTAGTGGATCATGAATATTTTTGAATTGCTGTGCATCGTGAAATTTTTTTTTTTTTTTTTGAAAAACAAAACAATATTTAAAAATTGTAAAGAATAAAAAAAAATTAAATTCTGATGTAGAAAGGGCTGCGTCAAGAAATTGTGAGTAAAGCTGTAAACAAATTTAGAGAACGTAAAACAGGAATTTAGAACAAATAATTATAAAATTTATAAATTATAGTTAACCTGAAAAAGAATAAAGGCAGAAAACGAAAGAAGTTGTCAAATATTACACAATATAGGAATCACTCAAACAGATATACCCTGATGACAGAGAAAAGATGGCGTTTGTTACTGGACAAGGATTTTGGCAGTTTAAGGTGATGCCGTTTGGTTTATGTAATGCACCAGCAACATTCGAACGCCTCATGGAGACAGTGTTGAGAGGTCTTTTCCATGAAGCCTGTCTTATATATGTTGCTGAGTTCATCATCTTCAAGAAAAACTTTTGAAGAGCATTTAGAAAATTTTAGAAAGCTGTTTCAGGAACTGAAAAAAGCCAATCTAAAGGTAAGTCCCGCCAAATGTAAACTATTCAGACAGAAAGTGACTTACCTTGAACATATCATCTCTATCGAAGGTCTGCAGGGATCCAGAAAACGTGGCGGCAGTTAAAGATTGGAGACGCCCTGAAAATGTCCATCAACTGAGAAAACACCCATTCATTAGCTGACAGAGAGCAAGTAAAAGTACTTGTGGACCAAAGAATGTGAGGATGCATTCAACAAACTGAAGGAAACTTTAACATCTGCTCCAATCCTGACAAATCGACAAACCATTTATTCTCGACACAGATACGAGCAATGAGTGCCGGTGCTGTTTTGTCCCAAGAAATAAACGGTCGAGAATGTATCGTAGCCTACTGGAGCAAGTGTCTATCTAAACCGGAGAGGAATTACTGTGTTACCAAGAAAGAGTTGCTTGCCATAAATAAAAACCGTAGAACGTTTCTATCACTATCTCTACTGTAGTAAATCCCTATTCCGCACAGATCATGCATCGTTGACCCGGCTTTTAAATTTCAAGAATCCCCAGGATGCATACAGTTGCCAAATAGCCAGATTTATAGAGAGACTCCAGAAATATGACATAACTATCCGCCATCGAAAGGGATCATCACATGGAAACGCCGACGCCCTATTTGAAGACCCTGTCCAGAAAACTGCTGATATTGTTCCAGGGTCGAAGGATACGAGTTCTTAATCCGGCCGTATGTTAAGTTATAAATTCAACATCGAGTGAGCCAAACCCATGAAGTGACAAAGAAGTCAGAAAAGACCATTTGGAAGACGGCGACATTAAACGTATCATTGACGTAATGGAATCTTCAAATAGGAAACATACTATTTAACTACAGGACATTTTGATTTTTTCCTACAACGAAACAATATTGGGTTATCTGGTAGTCACTCCATATTCGAAACTTGTACCGAAAGTTCGAGTCGGATGATGGAAAGGCATTCCGATGGCAGTTGCTACTTCCAAGGTCCATGATCCCGGACATCGTTAAAAAATTACATAGCAGCCCAACAGGGAGGTCACTTTGGAATAATGACGACTTCGCACAGAGTTCAAAAGCGCTTCTACTGAAGTAATGCAAGGGATGATGTACAAAAGTGGTGTCAATCTTGCAATGCCTGTACTGGTTGGAAAGGACCGAAGAAACGCAGCCGATGAATGCTGCAACTTTATAATGTAGGAGCGCCTTGTGAATGCATCGCCTTAGACATCTTGGGACCACTGCTACGAACTGCTGATGGCAGCAAATACATCCCTTTGTCGTTGATTACTTCACAAAATGGCCAGAAGCGTATCATACCCCTGATGAAGTGACTGTCACGGTAGCAGAGGTAATGATAAAGCACTGGATTTCCAGGTTTTGATTGCCTCTTCAATTACATTCCGATCAAGGAAAAAATTTTCCCTCGGCTGTAATTAAAGAACTCTGCAAACTATTCGCCATCGAAAATACTCAAACAACACCTTTTCATCCCCATTCAGACGACATGGTAGAGAGGTTTAATTGAATCATCCTTAATAACTTCTCGCTGGTGGTTTCCGGCAACCAGCAGGACTGGGACAAGAAGTTATCATTGGTTAGCTTATCGCAGGGCTGTTCACGAGACTACCAGCTATTTCCCATCCCAGATGCTCTTCGGTGGTGACCTTCGTCTGCCTTATGATCTCTTGTTTGGTCGCCCTTCTGATGCGCTTTCATCGCCTGAGGACTAAATTCAAGATCTATAGGCACGGTTGAAGTGATGCACAGTTTTGAAGAAAAGCAAGTCAACTCGGAAAAGTCGCCGAACTTGGCGACATTTCCGGTTCCTGTCCAACTATAATAGGTATTGTAATCAAATATTTGTAATTGATCCTCTATGTGATTGTAACCGTATCCGGCCCTCATCCGCCATCCAGTAATTTCGAGAACATCAAAGTACTAGAGATGTCTCGGCGCCCGAGAAAAACTGTACAAGAGCAGGGAGAGCATCCATTTCTCAGTAGTAGTTGTTAGTTCAGAGCTGAATTCTTATTATTGAGATATCTGTGAGAGCTTCTCCTTTCTAGATGCGCTTTGCATTGCGTTGTGTTTAACGTTCTTAGTAGTTTCAAGTGTAACTACCGATTGTACTCTGTGATACTGCGAAGAGCTGTTCGACTATTTTTATGGAAAGTTCCAAACTTGTGAAATGTTTCTTCTGGTAAAATAAGTTTTATGAAGCTATCATCGGTTCTGTGTGTATTCAATCCTTTATGAACCTGTACCCACGTAACAATTTATATATATATATATACTGTCAACAAAATTAAAGGATAGTGACAGAAATAAAATGTAACTAACACTTAATGGAAAATTGTTCATAGAAATTTGTACAAAAGCATTAGTTTCTTTGGCTTGTTGATTATTCGCAAAATATTGAAATTAAAACCAATTTTATGAAAATTCGAAAATGATGGAAAAATTAATTCACCTCTTGTGGAAAACTTTTTTCTTTAATATCGTGTATGGCCACTTTGGACAGATATGCATCACTAACATCTTGATTTCATAAACTTTTAACAAAGTATTGATCAGATCTTGTAGAATTGCTCGCCACTCTTCTAAAAATGCACTTTTCAGCTCCTGGAGTGTCCGGGGAGGAATCTGACGCCCTGAAATTCGGTTCCGTGACGCATCCCAACATGCTTAGTCGATCTTTAAGTCAGGTGAGTAAAATGGCCAATTCATTTGACTGATATCTTCTGTTTGCAAGTATTCTGACACCGCATATGCTCGATGAGGCCGAGCATTGCCATTCATTAAGAAAAACTCTAGTTCAACAGCAACCTGAACAGTCTAACTTGGGATTCCAATATCTCGTTCACATATCTCCGAGCGGTTAAAAACTTCCTTGAAAGATGCGCAGCTCGGTACGGCCATTTGTCGATTCCTCCCTAAATCATTAAACCGCGGTCGCAGAAACGAAATATTTCATGGACAAGAGAGAGAGAAGGAAGGCGACTTGCATCGACCTTCCTCTCTCCAGAAACACGTTTAGAATCATTGTTTAGAGTATATCTAGATTCATCAGAAAACAATACTCGGGCTCAGTGGTCTTATCTCCTATGAACATGATGACGGCAACAGTTTTACGGGCCCCTCTGGGAACTGGAGTGAATGGGATACAAACGAGTGGTTTTTCTTGCATACAGTCCAACCTCGTTAAACCTTCGTGCAGCAGAAGAACGGCTAATTTGAGTTGCAGTGGTAGCCTGAAGGTCTGAAACCAAATCTTGTAGTCCCTTGTGGTTTCTTAGATCCGACAGCGACCGAAAACGGTATTCTGATGCAGTTGTTGCTCTTGGTCACTCTTCACCTGGCTCTCTATCAACTGACCCAGTGCTTAAAAAGCGAAAAGCGACTCCCAGCTCTTGATATGACACTTTGAGGGATATTCAAATATTGGAGTGTTGTATTTTATCTCCCTTGATTCTACCAATTATTCGCCACGTTTGACCTTCACATTCTGAATTGAATATGGGATGAATTTTTAATGCATTTTATTTTATTTTGCATTGTTACCGCCACTTGTTGCTGCTATTAGCGCACATTTGGATTAGATTTTGACTTTTTTTTTTTTTTTTCTCTCATACACACACGCAGATACAATACGTAGGCAAGTTAAAAATTATCTACACCTTTGTCATAACTGTTCTTACATTGTGCACTTTCTTCTGTCCTCGCATATTTTATTGTTATGCTGTGAAAATTTGATCTTAATTCCTCCATTTTTCTGCCTTCTGTTGCAGATATATCATGGCTCTTCCATTAGAAGTTTGCACCAAAGGAGGAAAAACGAGCAGTGATACGATTCCTCTGGTCGGAGGGTGTCAAAGGGTCAGATATGAATAGACGAATCACTATCGATGAAGTAGCATCTACTTTGAACATCAGTCATGGCTCTGCCCATCAAATCATCTACGACGAGCTCGGTTTTCATAAAGTCTGTGCACGGTGGGTACCAAGAAAGCTTAATGTAGAACACAATCTCACTCGTGTTAGGGTCTGTCAATGCTTTGTCAAAACACAGTTTTACGTGATAGTGCACGTTTACCATATTGCAATGATAGTTTGCGATTAATGTCTGTCCCTTTGACACCTTCCGACCAGAAGAATCGGATCACTGCTCGTTGTCCTCTTTGGTGCAAATTTCTAATGAAGCAGCCATGATATATCTGCAACGGAAGGAAGAAAAATGGAGGAATTAAGATCAAACTTTCACAGCATTACCGCAACAGTATAACAATAAAATATGCGAGAACGGAAGAAAGTGCGCAATGTAAGAAAAGTTATGACAAAAGTGTAGATAATTTTTGACGTGCCCTCGTATATATATATTAGCATTTAAAAAAATAACTTATTATGTCAAAGCGAAAATTATTAGATTGATGTTCATTCTTCCTGCTTATTTGTAATGACTTCATTACTTAACCCTAGTGAGGTGAAATAAGCAAGTGAATAAATATTTGGCATGCAATTACAATTGGCACAATGTTAATCAAAAAGTACCAAAAATTTTTGTGAAATTTAAATACGCTCAATGAATTTTTGCAGGTTCAAGAACGTTTTAGAAAAACAGAGCTCCTTTTTAAAACTTATGAGATTAAAAAATACGAAGCATGGAAAATAACAACTAGTGAAAATCTGAATAAATTCCTTCACACAAAGCTTTTACAGAAACATACAAAGTCTACAAGTAAGCATTACTTTTAATCGTTTTCTAAATTCGAAGTCTGTAGAATAGTTTTAAAAAGGTATTAAAAAGGAAGTATCAAAATTATTCCTTTAAAGATTATTCTCGCAATATCTGTAATACGACATCAAACATCTTCCATAATTTTTGCAGTACTATTGAATCTCTAATCATTGACGTATTTATGTATCTTGGAAAAGTATATCTTGTAGCATATATCAAATACGTGCAAACAAAATTGAGATTTAAGATGAAACATATCATACTGCTATTTTTCTTTCAGAATTTACTCTAAAATAGTGAATTAATTTTAAAAAAACAATTAGCCTTTTTATAAAAACATTTTATTAAGAGGTAAGTTTTTATCCCTATATTTTAGTCAAAATATATCTGGTTGTAATGAAAGTTTTCCGTCAAAAAACGTTATTAATAAAATTAGAGGGGAAAAACGCAAGAAAGCAGCACCTTTAGTGCGGACAGTAATCACCACCCAAATCTATGATTTTCTGCAATTGTTTTGGTAGTTTTTCAAAGCCTTCGGCCCAGAAACTTGGTGGCCGCGAGTCTAAAAACGGATCAACCTCATTTCGAACATCCTGTGCATAATGGAAGATAACACCAGCAAGATGTAGCTGCAGGTGTGAATAAAGGTAGATGTCCAAAGGAGCGATGTCAGGGCTATATGGTGGGTGTGGCAAAAGATCCCATTGGAGTCCATACAGAGCCCAGCTGGTGAATGCAGATACATATGGTCTTGCCTTATCTTGATAGAATATTAGACGGACCTCAGTTCAATGTTTTTCCTTAATAGGAGCGTCAACACGGACTAATATGTCACTGCACACTTTACGTCGAGGGTTTTACCTTTTTCCAGATACCCTGTGGATAATACCACGGCAATCCCACCAGATACAAAGCATGATCATTTTTTTAGTCAAATCGCACTTAGCAATACTGCCGATGGGCCTACCGGGAGCAGACCAACCCCCCTTTTAGGCCTGTGTTGTTGAGTAAATCTACTTTTCATCACAAGTGACGATCCGGTTCTGAATTTTGTCCTTGTGTTGATATTTGAGCAGATCAGTGCAGGCCCGAACACGTCTATCCTTATCTGCTTGAGTCAGCTTATGTGGCATTCAGCGATTGCACTTGTACGTCAGGTTTATGCGATGCGCAGCACGACTAATGGACATGGCACTAACTCCTTAGCAAGCTCTCGAGTAGTTGCATACCGATCTTCTTCAGTTCTCACAGGCGGGCCTCATCAGTATCAGTAGGCCTGCCAGAGCACTCTGCTTCTTGAATGTCGTAGTCCTTGTTTTCGAACTTTCGGTATCTAACCTTCACAGTGTCATAAGATACAACATCAGTACCCAAGCTGTACACTTGATTCTGTAGCTGACGTTTTGCAACAAAACTGGAAATAAATGAAGGTTGTAATCTGGTAGGGTGACAGTTCCATTTCAGGCACCTTGTACTGAATAATAACGATTTTTCCAAGTTTCACAACACAATGGTCTAAAGCAAGTATCTTTCTTTCAAATGCCAAAAATCAGTTGACAAAATATTATTTATGATCAAACACCCCAACGCGAACTGTGTGCAGATGATATTTGCAGTGGCGAGAAACTTTTTTTCACGCCAAAATAATTCATGAATTTTATAACCATATATCAGCGTTTTTTTTTTGTACACAAACTATATATATTTCTGCTCAAGCCATATGTGCACTTCTTCATAACTATATTTACCCATCAGAAATTATTTTATGCTAATAGAATAGGGAAAAAAAACATTGCACTGAATAATTATTTAGTGGTCAGTAATTTCTATTTCTCCAATAAAAACAAAATTTGAAAACATTGCTAAAATATATAATTTTGACTTGATGAAATACTTTTAAAACACATATATATCAGAGGAGAAAAGAAACATGCCAAAGTAAAACTTAATATAAGTAAATCAGCAGCCTTCTGTTTGGCGTAGATCTTTAATTAAAATCTATTCCAAGGACAAGGTTGCTGTTTTAAATTTTTAAATAGCTAATAAAAAAAAACCTTCTAAATATTTATTTTTCTGCTCTCTTTTTCAATTAAGGTCTTTTAGTTCTTGCAATATTTAAATATATAAAATATCTATTTACCTCTTTAAATATAATCTATCTTAATATGCTTTTTTTTCTGGTATTTTTTTTTTTTTTTTTTTTTTTTTTTTTTTTTTTTTTTTCAAATAGCATATCTGCCTGAAGCCCTATCATATGAAGTTAATTTTCCATTATATTTAGAGGAAGTATCTTTGGAAGCAAAACTTTTGGAATATTTAGGATATGATATACCTGTGTTCATAAAAAATATTCTTTTACAAGTAGGTAATGAAATCTGCATAATATCAGTTTTTATTTTGCTGTTTAGATACACACACATGTATGTACAGTACCTGACGCTTATTAAAATCATTTCTGTTCCACATATTTGAGTTTATTAAGCGGCTCTGATTAATAAACGGCGATTTGTGTACTGCTTTGACATATGTGTCTCATTGTTGTTTCTAATTGGCGCATATTCAAAAAGGAATCTTCATAACTTCCCTCATTGATATCTGAAACATTAAAAACTTTTAGCTCTCAGTTTCTCCGAGGTTTCTTCTATATAAAATTCACATATTTAAAAATAGTTTTAATTATGTTCTAAGCTTGACCCCCCTGCATTAACTATAATATGCGTGTCCTCTATCAAAACTACTGACTTGATTATCTCCTTCGAAATGCTTGCATTTTCACAAGATCGAATTCTGTTTATCATTTTCTGAACAATTCCTGTAATGCCATTTGAAAGTTTGATCTAAAGGCTGAATGTTAGAATTGTATCTGCAGGAAGAGACACTAATGTTTTTCAAACTGAGATCAGAAGTGTGTTTTCTGTAAAATTATTTAATTAGTAAAGTTATTATTTCATTTTTTTCCATGAACCATTAAAAAAAAGGGGAGAATACTACTTTTTTTTTTTTTTTTTTTTTTTTTTTTTATGAGTTCTTGTTGCTATGGTAAACTGGAAAACAACTTGACGCTTGAATTCTTTCAAATATCAAAGTCTTATATCTATTACTAGTGCTGCCCTCATAATTTTTTGAGTCGATATTGCATGCCAATAACACAGTAACACTTTCCTTCAGTTACTTAAACATCTCCTGTTTCACATTTAAACATTAAAGTTGTTCCGTTAATGTTCTGTAACATAGTTTAGTTTCATCTCTATTATAAATTTCTTGTGATTTTGTAAGTAGGCTAGGTAAAGTCATTTATATAGTTTTCAGTCACTGGATGATATGCCTCTTACTTGTCGATCAGGTTCCAATAAACGATGTTATTTTTCTCTTTCCGACTCGTGAGCCATCCGTCAATTGATAAAAAAATTTCTAGCGTTTTAAAGAATTCCACAGCTATTCAAAAAAAGCTCTTAATATTAGGGTATTTTTGTAATATATTGTATTTTTGCCTGTAACCATTTTAAGAAAGCAATTCCAATGTCTGTGGATTTTTCATTTCCCCCCCCCACGCTTCTTAGATACATTTGCATTTTTATTAGTTCTTCATGAACCGTGATTCTTTTTTTTAAATTGCGTAATGCTGTTTGGGAAATTCCCATTTTAAATGCAGCTTTTCTCTGGCTGCACTAACCAAAATCAAGATCTTTTAATGATTTATCTTTCCCCCCACCCTCAGCTTTAAATCTTTGACCTTGAGTATTTTCAAACTGTTACAAGTGAAATTTATAACAAATTTTAAAAAATGCTTCTTCCAGTGTTTTATTCAATCTCTAAGACTCGCGTTTTTTGCCAGGGAAAAATTTGTCAGTTAAGCCGATTTTACGCTTACAGGCATATTCAATGCTTTCTTTGCTTTTTTTAAAGCCTACAATTACCGCTCCCATTCCATTCACAGATGGTTAATTTTAGAACCCTGTGTGAAAATAATGTGTGTATCCCAAAGAAAAGATTTTGAACGGGGAACATTAAAAAATGAGACGCAAATGTTGCTCTCACGCCTCCTATGAGCGAGTATGCGTGAGAAATACTCATTCATTTACAACATCTCCATTAGGATTAATGTTAAGACAAGGAAATTCTGCACCTCTGATCTCTAGTGTGGACAAAGAGCTCTAAATACAGTGTCTCACAGATAACAGACCGGAGGGGAGTAGAAAAATTATTGTCAACCCCGTTTTATTGAAGAATCGAATACCTGAACAACCCCGTTTTATTAAAGAACTGAATACCTGAACAAAAAATATGAACGTAAAATAAGCCACAGTACACATAAGTCAAATGGAGACTTTACAAACAACTTTGATAGATACAAGTAAGCTATCCTGGCACTGAAGGATAAGTCTATTACCAATCTGAGTTTTATAAGCAGCGGAGATGAGTTCAATACACGACGGTTTTTGATTTGTATACATTTGTCTTGGTTCCTGGAAATTTGAATGTAATAAGTGACTGAGTTTATTAACCAGTGAGTTTAATAAGCGGCGGGTACTGTGTATGTTAACACTGCTGTTTACAATTAAAGTTGCTCACATATTTTTTTTTTTTTTTTTTTTTTGTTTTTGGCTGTAACTCAACTACCATTAACATATTAAAAATTTACGTCATATATAATTTGGGGAACAGTAAATGTAATGCAAGTATCCAGTTGTTAATTAGTGTTTGTTAAAAGGGTCTATTAAAAAAAAGGCTAGTTTACGAATCTGTAAAATTCGTCTACAGAATTGTATTTTTTGCAAGAAAAATTATAAGATTGTCTGATTTTAATTAAAATGAGTTCTTGCAGTCATTTAGACGACGTATTGAGATACAGAACAATTAGTTGGCTTGAATCTGGCCAGTCTGAAACAGAGTTAGGTTGATGATTACAAGAGTCTTGAATGCTGATTTCCAAGTTATAGCACAAATTCCAAACTATAGGTACCATCCCCAGGAGGCCCGGCCAAGAGCTAGCGGCTGCCTATAAAATAATTTACAGGCAGACAGCATACAGGCATCTAAGACAGCAATCCTTATGCCTGGTGGTGTTTCCCTTCAACAGATTTTCAAAGAGAACCCGTCTTTTGCGCTGACAGCCACGAGAATCTGAGATCTGCTATTGTATTGTCCCCTCTAGCATTAAGAGAAACGCTTTGGTGGAAGTAGAATCATTTTGTGGGCAGACATCATGGTGTCAGCCATAAAGTATTACAGAGATGAGGTTCATGAACATTAAGAATTTTGCAGGAGTATTAGAGAGAACTTAACTTTTAGAAATGATAACTCAAGACCACATATGTTGGGTGACGATTTTGTGGAAGAAGAGGTTATTTGTCATATGCTGTGGCCAGAAAATTTTCCGAACCTAAATACAACAGATTTTATTTTGGATGTCCTAGGAACAGCCTTCGACAGTGACACCCTTCCAGAAACCTCCAAGTGTTAAAATCATCATTTTTAGAAAAAATGGTATTTATTTCTAGGAGCTATGATTTACAACCTCATATTTACAGTGAGAGGTTCTGAGGGCCGTTAAGTTTGACGGGCAGTCACACTTCTTATTAACTAGACTACTCTGGAAATAAAAGGTGTTATGTTTTGGCCATTTATGGTTTCATCTGCATATCACAAAACATTTACTCTCTGTTTACTTTGTTATATCACTATCGGCTGTCTTCATAATATTTGGCATCTGTGCATAAAATTTCATTACAATAAGCTGATTATTTTTCGAGATAGTTTATATTCTGTGTTTGTAATGTTATTTCTAGACATTTGTTGATATTTTCCGATTAAATAATTTAATGTTTTATTTATTTTTTAAGGAGAAAATTTACTATGATTTTAGAAATGAATTAAAACTTATGCTACAAAATTTAGAAACTGCTGTGTCTAGCTTGAAAGAAGAGGAGGTAAGCATTTTATTTATATCTGATGCATGTCATTAAAATTAATTCTTTTAGAAAGTATGTATCACTTCAGTTTAACTTATTTTAATATAGATACACATTCTGACTATTCCCAATGAGAATCTATGTTCTGTTCTTGATTTGGGAGTAAACAATATTCAGTGGGATTCCTATGAAGTTCCAGAGTTTTTAAAGAAAATGAAGCAGGTGCTAGTATTATTTTTATTCATAAGACTTCAGTATATATGTTTGTATTTGTAAAATATTTTTTTTAATTTAAATGTTATATATTTAGAACAATGCATAAAAGCCCCCAATTTTATATATTCTTTTTTTCATCTGAAGAAAACCAAAAATTGTTAATTATGATAAGTATCCCAATATGAAATCTATATTAGAGTATACTTTAGTGAATTTGTAATTAATGAAAATTATTTACATACACCATTATAAAAGGTACATACAATAGCATAAAAATAAATTATATAAAAGTTTTTAACTAACTATTTAAATAAAACTGAAATGTAAAAATTCAACAAGTTCAACAAGAAAATTATATAAATTGTTATGCATCTAATATGTTTCTTTCTTCCTTCCAGGCAACAGATGTGTACAGAGGTGTTGTTACAGAAATTAAAAATGTAATTTTGGAAATCGATAAACAAATCAAATTATTATCAGATATTGATTTATTCCTTTTTCCTAACATTGATGCCACAAAAATACCAACTTGTGAGGTATGCAGCTTTTTGTATAAATGTTACAATATTTATTCATTATTTTGTGCATCATTTTCCAGGTTAATCATTGATTAAAGTGATATACATTGACTGAGTATTGAGAAGACTAGAAATACATGATTCTTGAATAAAAGAATATAAAAATCAGTTAGTAGAGTTTTGAAATCTTGCAACACATTTAATACATGCTTTTGCAAAAAACTATCACTACGATAAAAATAATCATTTCCAGTTATTTTTTATTATGCAAATTGATTTTCTAAATGTGACATAGTACTTTTTTATTATTTGCAATTTCAAAAACTTAATTGTGCATTATTTTGTAATAAGGGCTTTGGTCATACTAATATAATTTCTTACAATAAAGAAATGTTAGCTTTCTTTATTTACTATTCAAAATGAACTTTTATTTAAAATTCACATTGGGGATATTTGATCTCATTCAGGTAGGGATGCCTCTTACTATGAGTGTTCCAAAGGAATAAAAATGTAGTTTCAGCAAATTCTTGGATTGTGAGTATTTTGCAAGAATAAAAGTTTGTAACAAATTTTAACTTAATAAATAAATATTGCCTTGCCATATGAATAGCATGCATGTGCATTGTCTGCCGAGCATCGTATGATCACAATTTATTGAGCAAAAATTCTTTCTCGTTGCATGATTGTAGTTAAACATTTCCCATGCTCTGTGCTATTTCAATGTGCCTCACTCGAATAATAGACATCCATGTGATCATATGTTGTTTATTATAACAATGTTATGTTTGTTTAAAACTTTAAATATGTAGAATGAGGTTTGGCTCAATGACGAAAAAGTTAGTGGCATTTTATGACTTTTAATGATGAAACAATTAACACAAAGATAATGTAAGATGAAAATGAGAAATTCAGTCTATGGTATCATAACAGCAGAGTATCATTGCATTATCAGTTCTTTAAGTTTCACACTTCAAGCTCCATCATCCATGCTTCCGTCGCAGCGTCCCAATGCTCGTCGGCATCTCAGTTTCTTCGCACAGCTTTGAGAAGTATCTAGCTGTTGTTGTGGTTGCCAGTTTGGGATACCAGAAGAAGTTGAAAAAAAGAAGCCGATATATGTTCAAGAGTGGTCACTATTCTTTTGTAGTAATTGTATGACAACAGTGGTCTTCATGAAGGAAAATGTTGAAAAGGCAGAGGTAAGATAAGGTAAAGGAAGAAATCACCAAGAACAAGGGAAAAAAAAAAAAAAAAAAAGACACTCAAGATTTCATAATAAGTCTTCTTCAATGAATTTCCCTATAAAGAAGAAATAAGGGGGGCTAGATATAGCAAAAGGAGTCACGAGAATAGCAAAGCAGCAGCCACATGATCTCGAAGATCTAGAAAATTTCCTTTGTCCATAGATAAATGAGAAAAATTAACAAGGGATACTATATGAGTGAGAATTTTATCTACAAGAAGGTAAAGAAAGGACCTTGTATACTGATCTTTTAAGTAAACTGTCAAATACGTTGACAGAAAGTAAAGTTCAAAGCGAGCAGGAGATAGTTTAGTAATTTTAAGAGAAGCTGCAACCATAATGTTGGGAAGCACAAAAGTGCTGCAAATTCAGATAAGCCTTTTGCAGTTGAGTTTCAAAATGTGTTACTGTCCACAAGTTTTAAACTGCGATGAGGTGGTATTTTTGGAAAAATATGCCGAATGGGACTTAATTACAATAGAATAGAATGCATTATCCAGTCACAAACTCATGAAAAAATATCTGAGCCGTCTGTTGCATACAGTAATGCAGTTGGGAACTTTTAAAGTCAAATCCTTGCTCATGTCTTCATTTTGAGAATCCATGAACCTTTCAGAAATATAAGGAACAGAAATATTAATTAAATGTTGTATGGGGTTCCAATAGGAAAGCTTGTGCCATTCGTATTTTGTTTGTTGAGTGGATCAGTGAGGTCTTCAGTTCTGCACAGAAGAAATAGCTTTTGAGTAAGAAACATGCTACTCATAATCTTGCTGACCATAAATAATGCTTCTGCTCATCTTCCAGGCCTTAAAGACGACTTATGAAAAGAATATGAATTCATTAAAGGTTAAATTGCTACATCTCAACATAACTCCACTGCTCCAGGTCATGGGTTAGCAGGTCACTTCCAGTTTTAAAAAGATCTACACTAAAAAGTGAGGTAAAAAGGGGAAAACACACACACACACCTTAATCATCTGAAAATTTAAAAAAAAAAAAAAAAAAATCTTTACAGTATCAATAGCCTCAAGATCATTGATAAAGCATGGAATGGTTTCACTAAGACAATCCAGCACTTTACTTGGAGAAAAATATGATTTGATTGTTCTTGGACATTTGATGGATTTGCTGATAAACAAGTATCAACAACTGCTAAAAAAACTGTGTCTATGAAAGTAGAAGTAAATGAGAAAGACATTTAAGAGCCGGTGGAAGAACTAACTACCAATGGACTGATGAAACATGCCTTGTGAGCAACAGCAGTGGAGAGATCTCACCTAAGGAGGAGGAGTAAAAGATGGAAGAATCTCTTACTTCAAATGAGATTATGGGAGATGTATAACAAGTTGATAAGAGGGCAAAGTTTTGTAGGAAAACACTGCAAAAATGAGACTGTATAATATAAGTGATGAATATGTTTAACAGCAATGCAATATCACATTTCTGTGAAATCATCTAAAGGAGAAAAATGCAATTATCAATCAGTCAATTTCATTTTGGAGGCACATGAAATGAAAAAAAATCCAGTATCTCAATAAATAGCAGTAGTTCCATAAATTAGCCATGATTTATTTCAAATTCAGGCTAATTTGCTGTATGTATTTTTACATTTTATATAATTTTTATATGAATATTTTTTACTTGTCGAACAAATGATCTGATATTCTGTTATTTTCTATGGAAAATTTTCTTTTGATATATGAGTGCTTTGGATAACAAGCAGCATTTCAGAATGAATTATACTTGCAAACCAAAAAACCAGTGTGCTTTAGTTTAAGAGCCTAAATTTAGCTGGAGCCTAGCTATGGTACCTTTGGTTTTTCTTTGGGTAAAATCATAATGCTGGCTCAAAGCTGCAGTTTAATATTTTTGTTTGTTATTTAATTATTTATCATTAGTCTAACATATTTTATTATTTTTTTTTATTTCTTTATGTTTTACTTAAGTTTACTATACATTATTTTATTTATTTAATTTGGTTTAGCTTATCATGAAGATTGTCCAGAGGGCTCTCTGGTACTTCTAATTTTAGAAATAAAGCCTTGTTTGGTTGTTTAGCAAGTTTTAATATGAGATGAAACTTATAATGTAGATTTAAATCCATGTAAGAATGGTATTTTAATTTGAATGTGAATGATTTTATTATTACCAGATTTCTCAGTAAAACTGAAAGACAGGTTCAAATAAAATGAATAAAAACCTAGATTTTCTGATTAATATATATGTCAATGAAAATATATTAGAAATTATATGAAGTAAATAATTGTGCTAACTATAATTGTCATTATTATTTCATTAATTATTCTTATCAGTGTGATTATATGCTTTTGATTAACATTAAATTTTTTTTTTTAATTTAATGATAAAATTCTCGATTTTTATGAAGGCTCACCAGCGGCCAAACTGTAAAGTAGCTGAACAATGGTAGTTCGGTCTGAGGTTTAAATCCTGCAAAAGACTGTTTTCCCCATGTGTAACGAGTATACAAGCCAATTTCTCTTAAAAAGTCATTCATGAAGGCATCCCTCCCCTTTGGTAAATAGCCCTTGAGGCTTTGCCGCAATCACATAAACCAAACCAACCCAATTTTTATGCAGGTTTAAGGTTTAATTGATATTTAAGGTGAATGCCATAAAATTTTGTGATGTACTTGACACTTGCATTGAAGTATTTCAATTTTTTTTTTTTTTTTTTTTTTTTTTTACAAATGGCGGGCACTTGCCTATAACAGCGTTGGCCACTACTAAGGCCAGAAGCAGTGACCATTTTATTATGGACGCACTTAATAGGCGGCCACCATTACCTCCTATGAAGGGACAGACAATTTTACATCCATGCCTTCTCCGGGATTCGAACCCGGGCCCTTTCGTATCGCAGTCAGGCGACCCTAACCACTATACCATCTGAGCGGCATTTTATTGGAATGTAAACAGAATCAAATGACTGCTTTTATTATTTAATTGGCTAAAACATTTAAGATAATACAGATGGTATTCTTCCAATGCAAAAATAATTTGCACTCTTTTCTTCATTGTAGTAAATGTCTTAAAGAAATGTGAAGATTATTACTATTTTAATGCTATATTTTCTTTTTCAAATTAAATTGTATTCATTATTCTTATCATCTTTTCATATATATTTAAGTTATTAAAATTAATTAATGATAAAATACTCTTGACTTGATGATAAATTGCTATTTGCTTATCCTTATTTCATTTAGGTATATTTTGGAAATGTTGAAAGTAAAATGGAACGAAAAGTTACAAGAATAGTAAATATCCATTCATTTTTAGAAACACTATTAAAAAGTTTAGAAAAAATAACGTCTAAAACAACGACTAGAGAAGCTAAACACATGCGAAAGTATTACCTCCACTGTGAAGAAAAAATTCTGATTTCTCTAATACAAGTAATTTCATTTTAAAATTTAAAAAAAGCTTAGATTTTTATTGAATTACATATTCATTATATATTACATACACTAATATTTATTCATTACATTTTCAGATGATGCTTTCAAACTTGGAATATTTAAAGGATGAAGTATTACAGCACTTTGTTTTCCCATATGTGAGAGCTGCTTTCAATTCTGGAGATGAATTTGTGATAGCCTCTCTAACACGGATCAAACTGGTCTTTGTTTGTTTCATCAAAAATGTTGTTGAAAGGTAAATATGAATGATTTTACCAATATTCAGTATTTATGCAACTTTCAATTAATTAAATAAATACAAATTGCAAAGAAGGTCTGTACCCTCAAAAATGAGATGAAAATGAAAGTTGTTGCGAACCAGTGAGAAGGGTTAGAATTGGGTATAGAATTTTTTCCATCACAGAACATTTTTTAGGTTTTAAAGGTTTTTAAGGAACACTAGAACAAATTTCGATTTTTAATTATAATAAATGATAACATATATATTAGATTAACAAAAATAAACATTTTCAAATTTTTATATCATACCTATAACAAAAATGTCTATCTGTTTATAATAAAATATAAAACTAATTAAGAGAAACAAATAATGTAAAAAATTAAGAAATTTAAATATTTCAATAATTTTTTATTTGCTAGTTTTCAAATTACAAATTCTTTTAATGTCAGGCACAATGTTAGAAACCTGAATTCTTATATCAAATGCAGCATCAAATCAGTTTCTGTATTTGGATTTTGTTGCAGTGTAATGTGAAACACTTGTCTCACACCAATACATTGTCACAAAAGGAAGTAAAATGCCAGTAGCTTGTTTTGATAAGTTCAGATATTCTTCTGGCAAATTTATCTCAATACACTCACAGAGTGTCCAAAATTAACATTTCCTAATAAAACCAGTCACAATGTTTCTGTGATATGACCTAGGCTCTCGGATCTTAGTGTACTACTTAACTTTTTAACAGTGGGTACACTTCAAGGCAATAGTATGCCAGCAAATGATAAAAAATATGGACCAAGTATTTTGTGATGTAAAATTGTATGAATAACACCAGATGTATTATTGAGAGTTCTGGTATATGAAAGAGAGTTGTCTGTGTGTTCATAAGAAAATGGCAAATGTGTAGAGAAAAGTACGTAAAATTATGTTTTACTATGAAAAATTAATTTGTCATATGAATGGAAACTATTGCAGCATAATAACTTGATCAATGTTGTAAGAATAGTTTTAGAGAAGTAAAGAGACTTTTTTAATAATAAAATGATTACATTTATTAATTAAAAAGTCTGATTGAAATTCATTGCAAATTAATGTTTTGTTTTTACCATCTGCCTATATATAAAAAAAGAAATCTTTAATAAAGAGAAAATTTAATGGTTCAAAAGCAGATTTAGATTTTTAAAAAATGACTTAAAATTATTGAATATTTTTTCATTTAGTGTTTCATAATTTAAAATTTTAAACTAGAAAATATAGTAAAAATTTGCAACTGGGTGTCCCATAATTTTTTTTTTTTTTTTTTTTTTTTGATGCCAACAATGGTTCCAAGAACCAATGTTCCCAAGATGGTTCACATCAATCTCTACAACAATATCAGGGCCCCAATCATTTCACTCTTTTTCACACATACTTGTCAGACACATACAGTCTATGACATTAAAAAAATCAGGAGAATTTTCTCAATACCAAAAAGATCCTTTATATGATAAAAATATAAAGAAAGAATTATGTATTAAAGAATATATTTTTAATAATGAGTTAACTTTAAATAGAAACTAAATATCTGAAAGTTCACTTACTATTTCTTAAATGCAAATAGTACAAAAACACTTAAATGTAAAATAATAATAATAATAATTTATTATTTGTAACTTCCTGGTAAAAAAATAATATTTTAATCATTTTCCATACGAACGGAAAGAAAAATGACAGATTTTGCTTTCATTAACACGTTGACACGTGCCTGACCCACCGGTGGGTCATACTTGTCTCTTCCGAGATGCTTGATTGTTCTGCAGGCGGGCATGACTCACCAATGGGTCATGCTTGTATATAAAAAAATAATATAATTTGGTGCTGCACCACCTCATGAAACGGACCGCTAATTCAAGCGACACATGAAAAGAACAATGAATATCTGTACCACCATCAATGTGTTAAGAGAGAAAGTTCATAATTTTGTTCCTAGCAATTGCCACGTGGGCCTGCTTTTGCTCTTAGAAGTTTTCTAATGTGTCATTACTAATATTGCATCTAAATTTAGTCCTTGTTTTAATGGAAACACTGAAAATCTTCCCACAGTCTGCATTATTATGGGGAATTGTCAGGATTGCCAACATTGTTCTAGACAGTTCACTGTACTTCAAAATTCCATCAGCGCCTTTCAGTTCTCTAATTAAACTCCACTGGTGTAAATCTTTGCTATTTTATAACATTATACACGTTTCTAATTGTAAACTGCAAACTTGCACCTGCAGTTTATCTGTTGCAACATTACTATCATGGTCTTTCAAAACTAAATGAAGTAAAACTAGAAATCTATTCAAAAAATATAATATGCATTTGCTAGAGCAGAAACATCTGCAACTTTGCATGTAAAAATCATTTCACCATTGATTGGAAATTTATGTAGCATGTACCTAATGCAATCAATAACTGAAGATTTATCTGGTTATAACAAAAGTTTTCCACCAAAACACATTCTTAATAAAGTTAGGGGAAAAAAACTGAAAGCAGTACCTTTAGTGTGGGTAGTAATCACCACCCAAATCTATGATTTTATGCCAACGTTTTGGTAATTTTTCAAAGCCTTCGGCTGAAAGACTTGATGGCCGTAGGTCCAAAAACAAATTAACCTCATTTTGGATGTCCCATGCAGAATGAAAGATAGCACCAGCAAGATGTAGCTGCAGGTGTGCAAAAGATCCCATTCAAGTCCGTACAGAGTCCAGCCAGTGAATGCAGACACATGTGGTCTTGCAATATCTTGATGAAATTTTATCATTTTGCCCTGGAACTCAATTCAACGTTTTTCCTTGATACAGTGTCAACACAGATTAGCATCTCGTTGTACACCTTACAACTGTAGGTTACAACCTTAGGTCGTTCAGAATGGGCATCCTCTTCGAGGCAGAATTTTTTGTGCTTTAGCTCTGTAAAATACCTTCAAACTATATCATCAGAAATAGCACATATTTTACAAACAGTCTGACTAACATTTCTTCCTGTTTTAAAACAAAAGAGCATAATATGATGAAAATGAATTTTTGGATTCTCCATTCTTAGCAGTGCACTGAAAACAAAATTATCACAAGCTAGAAATACATAACATGAGGAGAAAAGACAGTATTTACATGTCTGCTTCAATCAGGGTTATTCTTTATGAGTAGTAACAAAGTAATTTGACCAAAATAAACTTCAATTTGTAAAACCACAGAATTTATTGGATAACCCAATATTTAAAAAGCATATAAATGAAGTAATCATGTTGAAAAATAAGATGTAACAAATGAATATCAAATTTTTCAAACTAGAAGAAAATGCTACAAGTTTATAGTGACGTTGATAGGTTCTGTACGAAAGTTTTTCAACAGTTGGCACAATTTTGATGTCTTGAAAGATTATGATGATGACTCATTCTCAGAAGAAATCCACTAAGCTATCTGATTAATACATGTCAGTAAGATGCACTAATAATCTCTCTGAACAAGAAAAATAGTCTTTATCATATTTAGATAGAAGATCTGAGTAAACAAAAGATTTGTTCTTGATTATTCTCAAAGATACTGCTATGTGCAATAATGTATTCACTGAATTCGAGCTGCACTCTGGAATCCATTTTATTTATGACTCGTAATAGACTGGAGCCTGTGAGTTTGGGTGTACAATGAAATTATTTTGTTTCATCATCACCTTACATATCACAATCATCTTCCCTGGACTATTTTATAATCTCTAAATTAAATTCAAAGTGAAAGATGGCCACTTTCATGATGTTAAAATTACTTAATTGAGTTTCTCAATGCCATTTGGGCTATTAAGAATTTTAATAAAGCTGTATGCATGCTAAAAAGCATGAACTGAATAAAGAAAGTATTTTGATCAACATATATTAAAAGCATTGCTATTTGTTAATAATTGTTTTTTTTTTTTTTTTTTTTTTTCTTAACCAGTCCTAAAATTAAGATATAGACAATGTCTAACGTAAAGTTAATAGATAACAAATGTTTTCAGATGTTTTAAATAAGCAGTTTTTGTAAATGAACTTGTAAAAAATTAATACTTTTGTTTCAACTGTAAAAGATGTGATGCAAATAATTTTGAACTATTTTTTTTGGGGGGGGGAGTGAAAGTAAAGTGATTATATTAGAAACATCAAGTGCTTTTTGCAATTTATGATTTATTTATTTTAAATATTTATCATCATACTAGAAAAATATTTTAATTAATTCTTATTTTTTAACACTTAGCACAAGGAGAATTATCAGATGGCTGGATGGCACATGCATAAAGTCCCAACCATTTCATTTAAAAGATGGAAAACAAAAAATGGAATTTTCATTTTATTTAGATATATCATTGCATCCTAAAATAAAGGATCTAGTTTTAAAAATATTATTTGATTTTTTTGCTTATGTAGATGAATTAAATGCCACAAAAGAAAAGTTAAACAATACTGAAAATTCTTCTTTAATAATAAAATAGATATAACAACAGTTTAGAATTCAAAAATCAAATAACTTAGCTGCAGTACAAAAAGCAATGTAGCACATTTTTTTTTTTAAGATCTGCCTGGGGAGCATCTAGTCTGCAACATTTCCATTTAGACTACAACAGATACATCTCTAAATCCATCCTTCTGTGAAAATATGTATACATTATATAGATTTATAATTTTTTACATACCTGATGATTATAGTCTTATTGTAGTACATTCTAATTACACTACAAATTAAAAAGAAATTCTAAAATATTTCACTTGATAATCAAATAAATATTTTCTGTTCCTTTTTAACACAAGTGTAAGAACATGAAATAAAATCTTTATTCTAGAATTTAAAAATATATGTAGGCAATAATATGCAAACCTTTTAACACAAGGGTTGTACTTAGTTCCCATATAGGATAAAATTGTATCATGGAATTTTGAAATAAAAACTATCATTTACTTTGTTGCTGTATTATTTTATAGTCAGAATTTACTGCACAATGTACGCAATAATGCAGTCAAAAGCTAGCATGTATCAATTATAAAAGTATGTTGTAATAACAACCTTTTTTATTTGTTTATTTATTTATTTTTAATTTTTAAATCCTGTGTACATTTCTTAATCTTTGTAACTTGTTTTTCTTTACAATCATGCATGAGTTGTTTTAGTCTGTTTCTCAGAAAAGAAATATTTCTTATGGCTAGGCAGTAACTCATGAAAGGGGGGGGGAACAGTAGTCTTTGTGTTATATGAAATTGCTTCATTAAAGTTTATAATCTATTAACATTTGTTGAACACTGTGGGCCAAGCTATATGCCACATGTACTGGTATCCATATTTAAAGTTACACAGTTTTAGCAGCAATTCAAAAATTAAAAATGATTAAAACGATATGTATTTTAAGAAAATGACTGGTTTCTGAATCTGTGAAATTTGTCTATAGAATTATGTTTCATATAACCAAAATCATAAGATTTACTGATTTCAGTTCGGATGAGTTTTGTCAATAATTTAGACCAAGGGTCAGCAAACGTTTATTTAGAAAGGGGCTGATCGTGAAAAGTTTAGGCTCAGTAAACTAAAAAAAAAAAAATAAATATCTGAAAACTTTCAGACTTTACATTACACACACAGGGGCTTTTTTTAATGTTTTGGGTGTTACCTTTATTTATTAAATATCATGTTCTTTGCACTTAAACCATAAAATTCAATTCAACAGCAATATCGCAAAATAATTTTAAAATGAGCGTATATTTAGAATTGTCGATACATAGTCTCACGCGCTGGAGCCAATTTTTTTTTTTTTTTTTTTTTTTTGTTTTGTTTTGTTTTGTTTGTTTGTTTAGTGTTGCTATTGCTAACTTTGAAATCATAGTTAATCACTGTTAATCAAAAATTCGTTAAAGTGTTACAAAATATGAAATCGATAATAAAACAAATTCCAAATTAGGGCTTCCAGATGCCCATATTCGGTGGTTAACGTTATTATAATTTATATAACGTTATTTAAAATTTGATGGTTCTAGGTACCATTGTTTTATCACAATGTGAGAAACATACATACATTTATGCAGAATCTTCATTATTTAATTTCTTTAAATATAACACAAGGCGATAATATTTGGTGGTAACAACTTGAGAAGTGAAATGGACATTTAAAGTTTTAAATACAAAATGCCAAAACGAAATTAATAACCCTTCTGGGCTAACATTCTTTGGGCTAAGAAAAGAGATAAAAAAGTTTTTAGGCAATGATATTTTTATACAACATTTATACAAATTTTGCTGACATTTACCATAAAAGAGTACAGGTAGGCCTCCTACAACACAGTACCTTTACAACACGTTTTTGCTCCAACGTGGATGGAAAAAACAGAAATTTTCTTACAATGTGGTACTTTTATAATGAAGTTTAGGTAATGTGTGGGGGCTTCCCCCAGTCTCCGATTGGATAAAACTGACACAGCACGCCAGCACAGAAAGCAGAAACTTACCCCTAGATAGGAATTCTAGGGATCACATTGGATGTATGTTAATTCTCATTGCTCTCTTGAGTGCATCATCTTTGCATGACATCTGTGGCTCGCTTGCTTTTCCAATATTGTAATCTTACGTAGATATTCTGAGCACAAATAAAGATATTTCCTGTAAGAGCACAGCCCAACCAAGACTTAGAATGAACCGAGCACCCATAAATATGTCATATTCAACTGTCCTCGGTTTTCATGCACATAAATTAAAATAGTTATGAATATATTACACCATAAAAGGCAGTTTTTCTCTTTTTAGAACCAAATCCCAGTTTTTGTATTAAGTTGGTATCTCTTATAATGTGATTTCCCAAAACATGATATTTTCAAAAAATGTTATGTACTGTGTTGTAGGAGGCCTAACTGCATTGCCATTTATTAATAAACGTATCACAGAACAAGTTAAGTTTTGTACTAATGTGATGAATATATTTATTTTTCCTGAGATAATACTGAAGTTTGAGTTTAGTTTAAGTTTATTCCTGAGATAATACTGGAGTTTGAGGTTACTACTTCCTATCATTAGCATTTGCAAATAGTCATCTATTAGTATAGATTCTCGGCTAATGTATAGAAAAATTCTCTACCCTATAAAGAAATGACCTAAAAATGACCCTATCAGTTCTATCAAATTACCCTTTAAATACTTCTACAGATGTCCCTATAAATGATGTTATAAAATGTAATTACATATATAGTGTTACAGGAAGAAGAAAAAAAGTATATACAGTCAAAAGTCGTTAATCCGGACTCGTCGGGACTTCGGCGATTCCGGATTATCGATTTTTCTGGATTATAGATCATCAGTTTAAATCGCATAAGATGGCATGCAGAAATTCTAAAATTAAAAATATGAAACCGTAATTTATGAAATAAAGAACAATTATGATCTAAAGGGTATCAAAATTTACAAAAAAAGCTTAATATTTATTTGTTTACTTTATTAAACATTTCTTTCAATGTAAGTTGTTTAAGTTGCTTCGTTTTATGTGATAATACTTTCTCTTTAATTCTATAAACAGACATAATTTTTTGTTCAGTTACAAAGTTTCGCAGTTCAAGTCCCGTTAATTGCTGTGCCGAGAATACCGACTGACGTGTCAATTGAAATTTTTTTGTTTTCACTAACCTCTCTATCACATTCTTCATGTCTTTATACATTTTTTGCAGCAATTCCACTTTTTGTTTGATGGACATCGAAACATACTTTCGTTTTGTACGATCCTTTGGGAGCTCCAGATTCGGAAATTCTATTTGACACAATCGAAAGTTCAAGTTTACTTTTATAGTATTGCTCTTACAGTCTGCAAAAAAAAAATAATAAGCCGGATCCAATTTGAAAATTAAGGAACAAGGCAATCATCAACATTAACTGAAATAGATAATTAGATAATTTTAGCTTATACCGTTCGTTATACATAAAACGTGCACGCGAAAACGTATTCTGCGCTTGCGCACATGCAAATGCGCAGTCGTAAGAGGTCTTACACGCACGCACAAACACCTATGCGCATGTGTCAACGCGGCGCATGCGCAGGTCCGGATTATAGATCATTCCGGATTATGGGGTGTCCAAATTAACGACTTTTGACTGTAATAGCTTAAATAGATTTGTTGGATTTTGACTTTTATAAGTATCAAATATTTTATTAAAAATACAGATGACTGATTAAAAATTTATTAAATAATTAACATTAAATAAACATTAAATAATTGACGCTACCTTTTTTTTTTTTTTTTTTTCATAATCATTGCTAAGCAACATTAAACACCTGCTATAACTTCATTCCACAAACCTGGCTTTAAAACACTAATTTGTTTTAGCCATAGAAAAAATCTATACACTAGGTTAGCATTATGCTACCAGAGGATTTACCGTTCAAAGTGTCCTGGTGCTAACTCTTTCGATTCCACAAGGCATTAAATCTTTCTGTTATGTTCTATGCAACTCATTCGATTTTGCCATTCAGTGTTTGATAAGATCTTTAATTTATTTAAAGTTCAGTCAGTCCATGACTCAGTTAATCAATTAATTTAAAATCGATATGTGCAATTTTTGCTCTTTTTAAATACACTAATGTGATTTATAATATGTCTATCTATAATACTGATATCTTAAGTATATTTATAATAAACTCAAATGAAACATTTTATAAACGTTTGCACTATTACTACGCTTAAATTATTATTATTTGAGGAATATTTCACTTATTACTGTGCAGAATAATCATCTGTGCAATGTTGAATATTGCCTTCTTTACACACCAAAATTATTTACTTGAAAATAGCAGTTTCTTATCTAGGCATAACGATAAATTTTTTATTAGTTGCTTAATGAAATTTTATACACTTAAATACCGGGTGGCCATAATTAAACTGACAGTGCTCACAGTGTTCTGTAGCGCGATCTATTTGCGAGAATGACGCCACATTTTGTAGGAAGATTAAACAAGACGGGGGACGAAGGATTCCGCGAAAAAACAAATTAGTTCCAAAAGTCATCGCTAGGGGAATATTTGGCGCTGTGTAATAGAAAATAGAGTGTTAACAAATACAAATTAATATGGAATAAAATTGCCTTTTATTATGCACATTTTCTGATTTAGTTCAAGTGCAATATGGCAACACTTTTTAAAAAAGCGGAAAATAAAATCTATCCGATAAAGTCTCGTGATCTGCAATATCACGTACGCTGAGCAGAAGAAGAAGTTGTTTATTCAAATTTCACGTTACATCCATTTGCACAGTACCAGCTGCTTGGGTTTTAAAAGGCAATGTGTTACGTTTCGAATCAATCACATTGAATGTTTATGTGCAATGTCTCCTTCTTTAGCCGAGCGTGCGTTACTGGTCAAATTCTTTTACCTCAACCAGTGCAACGTGTCAGCCGCTCTTCGTGCTTTTAAAACGTACAGAAAAATGCGTAAAGGTAACAGTCCTGTGTCAGTTAATGGGCTAAAAGCAATGGTTGCAACCTTTGAGGAAACAAATTTGTTGCTGTACGGTTCTCTGATGGTTCAGGCAGAGGACGAGAATCTGTACCACAGGATACAATCGAAGCAGTTGCTACGGCAATTGTCAACAGAGGACCAGACAATATTGCTGCCACCTCTAGCGCTCGTGGAGTAGCTCGGAATATGGATATGCCTTACAGTATGGTATGGAAAACCTTACGAAAGATTATCAACTTCTATCCGTACAAGATCAGCCGTGTACAGGAGTTACTGTACCCCAACCATGATAAGTGATTGACTTGTGCTCTCACCTTTCTTGCCAGAATGGAGGTGGATGATGCTTAGCCGTGGAAAATCTTATGGGGAGATGAGGCTCACTTTTACCTGAATAGAACTGTGAATACCCAGAACTGCCGAATTTGGGATGACAAATCACCACATGCAGTCACAGCAATTCCCTTACATTCACCAAAGGTAACTGTTTGGTATGGGTTCACAGCGGAATTTATCGAAGGTACATTCTTCTATGAGAACATTACCCCGACAGGACCGGAAACCTGTTCTGTTACCTGAGAGAAATATCGCCACATGTTGAACAGCTTTGTCATTCCGGCACTTCAGCAAAGACAATGCCTGGGGGAAATCATTTTCATGCAAGATGGAGCCCCTACACACGTTGCTGTACAGGTGCAACAGATGCTATGACAGAAATTTACAACAGAAAGAGTCATTAGCCACTACTTTCCAATTGCATGGCCACCTCGGTCGCCTGATCTTACCCCATGCGGCTTCTGGCTATGGGGTTACCTTAAGTCCAAGGTCTATCAAGGAGTGGTCCAGGACCTGGCTACATTGAAGGAAAACATATCATGGACTGTACGGGAGATTCCTGCAGACATGTTACTTTCTGCTGTTGTGCATACTGTGCACAGAATGCAATATGTGGTCCACAACAACGGCAGCCACACTGAACCTCATTTGAATGCAAAATAAAAGGTAATTTCCGTATTGATTTGCATTTGTTAACACTCTATTTTCTATTACACAGTGCCAAATATTCCCCTAGCGGTGACTTTTGGAACTAATTAGTTTTTTCGCGGAATCCTACGTCTCCTGTCTTATTTAATCTTCCTACAAAATGTGGCATCATTCTCGCAAATAGATCGCGCTACAGAACACTGTGAGCACTGTTAGTTTAATTATGGTCACCCGGTGTATCATTCTTTTCTGGATTTTACTACTATAGTTTGCCTTGAAATTGAAATTTAATTTATAACCTTATCTAGAACACGTAAAAGCAAACAGAGTTAACTATACAGGTTAAGGTTGAGTAAGACTTACCCGCTAATAAAAAATAAGTATAAATCATAGGATATATGAAGAAAATAAAACTATGTGCAGTAATAATATCTTGTGTTTTCTTTACTAATATTTATTAAGAAAAATTTTATACAGTCTACTCTCGGGATAAAATTAATTAACTTAATGAATGCAAATTTAATTTAACTTAGACAACCAGTATTCCAGTATTCTAAGTTGTACTACCTATAGCTTAAGTCATAGTACATTTAAAATTGAATAAATATAATAAAAATTTCTTCTTATCAATTAATTTACTTATAGAATTAATTAAAACAACAATCACAAAGACATTTTTTCATTTTTTGGTCAATTCCAGTACATAAATCGTGTACCCATCGCTTGCACTTTAGTTTTCTTTGCGAGCTGTATCAAATATTACAGGAAAGTGGGCATAATTTGAAACAATATGGTTGACTAGCAGGCAACTCATTTTCAAGAAAGGGACTTGGTTGGCACGGTATTATGCCTATATTTAAAAGGTACAACTTAAGCAATGGTACAACTAGTGCAACCTTACCCTATAACTGTTACAGAGAAGTCACGAAAAGAAAAAAAAAAAAATTACCATGACAATTTGAGTAGAACAGATGACAGCAATAATCTTAAAAGGCAAAACTCAGGGGGAAAATGGACAAGAGCTCAAAACACGTCACCAATCAGCAATATAAAATATTTTATTAGTAATTTTGAAAAAAAGTGACCTTGATAAAGAACATTTCTGATGGAAAGCTGATTGTTCTTTTTTTTTTAAGTGTTTTTAATTATATAATTTTTTAAAAGATGTCAAATATTTATCTATAGTATAATCTCTGTGGCGTCAAATACAGGATAAGTAAATTTCTTTATCTACAGAAACAATTTTGGAATTTCATACGAAAATTTTGGCTTGAGAACATAACTGCATCTATTATATTATTATCAAAACTGAATAATTTTTTTACTCAACCCTGAGAATGATATTAAAACATAATAAAAAAAACACGAACTATTAAAATTACTTACTTCATAGAAATGAAAAAAATTTAAGTATGCATTATTGAATTACTAAGTTCTTATTCCATCAACAATAATTTTTATGTTTTTTATAACAGCAAAATCAAAGTAATTTTTTGAACAAATATACTTGTTGTGAACTTTAAATGGCATATTTTTTTATTCTGTATCGTGGAAACATTTGTTAATTTCACACTCACATATTGAAATCAAAACATGGAAAAATGAAATGGATGACATAACTTTTAGTAGACACACTTAAAGCACTAGTCAATCACAAACACATTGCATGATATTTAACTTCCAGGTTGACAAACATGAATGCAATGGCAAAACATATCAGCAATTCGAAACAAAGAAAATCTCCCAAACATACTTTAGACAAAAACTTAACCTTCACCTAGATTCTACAAGCACTTTTTGCTGATATATTGGAAGTGCAAGAAAGCATTAACTAAGTCTTTTGACAATTGTAGATGCGGTTTTTTATGATGACACTTTGGTGAAGCACAGGAACGTATCCTGTCCACTAAAAGATGTAATAATTTATTAAGTTATAGATAACTTGATGTTAGATGAGAGCTTAACAAGGGAAGGCATCAATTCACTTTTTCATCATGGCTGAGATATTTTAGAGGGATGTAGCTTGCATACAAATACTGATTGCAAAAAAATAAATAAATAAAACTAGCTTGAAGACTGAAATGTCTATTTTAATTTAAAATTTCAGTTTTATATAAAATGATGCATATTACACAGCTAGAGTATTTATAGCTCAGAACTCTTTGTTTGAACTTTAAATGATGATTGGCCAAGAGCTTTCACACTGCAATTTACTGCAGGTAAAGAACAACATCAGTGACACAGTACAGAGCCTTTGAAGGGGTTGCATTTAAATTAAAATTAGGAATTTAAAGAGCTATTGCCAATTAAGTTTGTAATTTGTTAATAATTTTCCTTTATTTTTATATTTTAACATATATGTACCTTTCCCATACCTCTATAACATTATTATTTAACATCATTAACTTGTAAGACATAAAGGAGCTCATTTAGAAAAGTTGATTTGAAAAAGAGCTCTGCGAGGCAAAAAGTTTGGAAACTGCTGAAATAATATATACAGTAATTGAAAAATTCTTTCAAATATCCTTGCTTTATTAACTCAATCAAAATTATTCTGCATTCTCCTGATTGACTTTTTATATATATAAACCTACTTACAGTGATAGTGTATTGAGCTTTTGCTTCAGCCATTGATGGTGACTTTAAAAGATATGCCATCCTTTTCTTATCAGTCCATGAAAGAATTAAACGAATAGCACATGCATGACCCCAACTTTCACCCAGAGCAGGAACTAAATGGGAACTTTCTTCACCATCAATTTTAGTAGTCATTTGATTTGTTAATACAACCTAGAATAAAAGTCATTCAACGTGAATATACTATACTTTCATATTATCTCACTGCCGAGGAAAGATGGTGCTCAATTTAGTGAATTGGCATCAAACATTGTAGTGTGCGACTTCTGTAGAATTATCCAGATACAGATAACCCTAACAATAGGTATTGTTTTGTTTGTGTTATTCAGCATTAAACAATGTTTACACTAACTATTTTTTTTTTTTCTTGCATGTTGAAATGGAATTAAAATTTGCCCCTACTTCTACAGAACAATGGGTACTGGAATCTTAGTAAAAATTACTGCACTCTGTTATAAAAAACATTATGCACTGACAGACACGATAATACTTTATATAGGCAATGAAAAATAATGGCAACGGAACATGTAGACTTGCAAGTAAACGGATATCCATTTGAAAAGAGATATGATTAGAGAGATCCAAAATTACATTTCTGACGGTTCTCAGATTCATTTATAGCTGGTCCAAAGAATAAGCATCTATAGCATGGGGAAATAAACAGCTGGTATTGGTTGACAAGGTAGTATTCAAATGGAACAGCTATTTGCAAGGAATAACCAATTAACCTTCTATCCAAACCATTGAAAAAAAAAAAAAAAAAAAAGAAAAAAAAGGCTTAATAAAATAATGGAAATGAGCTAAAGTTTTTTCACAAAGTGCAAAATTCAAATGGATAAAATGTTTCTAGAGCAATGATTGTTTAGTGAAATGGGTCTGGAGAACAATGAACATCTTGCTGTAAACATTTAAGTCAAATCAAAATCATAAAGGTATAATTGAACATGGAAGTGTAATTTTTCTGACTCTTGGAAGATCTACACAGCTGAAGAGTTACGAGCTTTGTGATTTAAACATTATAAAGCTAATCATATGTTTAACTTTATCGATCCAGAATCTGGTGCCTGCATTCAATCTGTCAAAAGACTTTTTGCTGTTCTGTAAAACAGCAAAAAAAGAAACTTTGCACAGCTGCAAGAAAGCATTTAAATTCTTATTTAACTGAATTTATATGCATTAGCTTTAAAAGTGCAAGATTTATTTGACATGATTTTGGGAGCTATAAAAAATTTTTGGCTGCTATAATGATTGACACAGAATTATCAAGATATGCACACCAACTTTCCTGGGTGAAAACAAGGATGTATAAAATAAAATTCATTTCATCACAGAAAAATTTATACTAACATAATAAACATTAAGCATAATGATAGATTTAATACATTTAATATAATTGTTTTAAGTATAAAATATTTTAACTACACTCACAGCAACCTTATGCTGGTTAGCCACCTTCACCAGAGTCTGCATAATACCATTCAAAAGTCGTGTACGGAGAGAGTAAGTGCCATCAAATCCATATCGGAAATGAAATGCTATGCTGTCAATAATTACAACTGCAATCTGCAATATAAATACATTATAATATACATGTATATTATATGCATAAAATTTAATATTTTCAATAGACAATACATGATTAATTTCAGTGAAATTGTATTTTATATTTCATAACTGTTTGAGCAGTAATAAATTCATTGTTCACAAAAGAATTATTTTCTTACACTGTGAATCACAGGAAATATAGAATTAAAAAATTTTATAAGGATGAAAAATGTTGCTATAATAATAAAAAATAAATGAATGTTTTAAATTAATTTTATTAGCAAAAAAAGTGACAGCTTATTGGAATAAAAGCTAATAACAAAATAATTATTACAGACATTTTATAAAAATTTACATATTAATTCAATTTAACTCGATGATAATATTAAAAAGCATATTCTACATCAGGGTTTCTGGATTGCCAAAAATTTTAGCAGTTTTGATATTTCTTTAACTTATCATAATAATTTTACAATTACCAAATATTTTTACGCAGTGTATCTGAAAATAGATAAAGACAATACAGACAAAAAAAAAAGTTTCAATGCATTCTTTTTATAATATAAACGTTCATTTTCCTTGCTTTGCACGTGACGCTGTCATTTCGTCTGTTACTTATTTAAAATTTTCACGTCGTTCTATGTCTTAAAATTAGAAATGAAAGTTAATGACCTAAAACTGCAATAGTATATTAAAGTGAAAAAATGATAGTTTCACTCACGCGTGTGTCGGATTTGTGCAATACTTATGGAGCCCCACAAAATTTTTAAAAATATTATGGGGTCCTGAGGGTCGCTAAAAAATCTCAGTGATAAAAAGGGGCCATGACTGAAAAAGGTTTAAGCAACCCTGTTCTACATAATAGTATAATACTTCACATCATCATGAATATTTAATACACTGCTCGACATTGAAAATGCAACACCAAGAAGGAGTGGTCAGAAAGTGATGAAATTTTAAAAAAAGACAGAGACAGCAAGCAGCAATTAGTGATCTTTATTTCAATATGATAGTCAGAATACAAAGCGAGAACTGCGTCGGCTCAGTAAGATGTAGGGCCACCGCGGACAGTGATGCACGAAGAAACACGTCTAGGCAATAAGAGTGCGGATGGTGTTCTGAGGGATGGCTCTCCATTCCCTTTCAACTATTTGTCACAGTTCATCTTCTGAACGAGGCAGGGGCAGAATCTGAAAACGGCATCCAATCGCATCCCACACATGTTCGGTTGGTGACAGGTCAGGAGAGTATGATGGCCAAGGAAGCATCTGTATACCTTGCAGAGCATGTTGGCAGATGCGAGCACTGTGTGGCCAGGCGTTATCCTGCTAAAAAATTGCATTAGGCAGCCCCTGAAGGTAGGGGATTGCTACCGGCCACAGTACATTATCAAGTATCGTTGGGCCATCATAGTGGCCTGAATACGAACTAAAGGTGACGTAGGCAATAGCGCCCCAAACCATTATGCCACGTTGTCATGTGCTGGTGTGTTCCACAGTTACTGCCGTATTAGATCTGTCTCCACGTCGTTGCCACAAACGTATGCGGCGACTGTCACTGGATAAACAGAAGCGTGACTCATCTGAGAACACCACGTTTCGCCATTCTGTCATCCACATCTCTCCAATTCGGCACCATTCTAAACGTTGGCGTCTATGCTGTGGGGTCAATGGGCAGTCTTCTTAACGAACGCCATGAGTGCAGGCCACGTTCACTAATTGACAGGAAATGGTTCTGGTCAGCACGAGAACATCCAGGGTATTTTGCACATACTGCAGAATCGCGGTACAAGTGACTTGCGGGATCACCACAGCTTGTCGGCAAATGCGTCGATCTACACGTGCTGATGTCACTCTGGCTGCACCTGCAACCCCTCCTTCTTCCCACATTTCCTTGTTTCAACCATGTTCGCCATAGCCGATGCACCGTGCTCGCATCCATATGGATATCAGCTGCGATATGACGTAAGGACCAACCCGCCCTTTTCAGTCTGATCATCACACCCCTTGTAAAATCGTCTATCTGCTGGAAGTGCCTTCGTTGACGGCGGCCTGGCATTCTCTCCTATTACACGTATGCTCCGGGACAAAAACCAACTTTCTTCGATAATTTGTCTGGCAGAAATGATGACACGAATATTGCCCATTCTGCACGTTCCTTCCCTTATATCTTACTTCATGTGCGTCGGAGAGGTGTGCATTTCACATCATTCGCATAACTCAATAACGTGCGTCTACTCTAAAATTTGCATAAATTTCTGACCACTCCTTCTTGGGCATTTTTAATGAATAGCTTACTGCAGTAATTGTGACAATACCAACTTATGTTTGGTATGCTAACAATAAAAATATTTTCTATATGTGATGGAATTCTTTAGAAATTATACATATGACTAGAAATCCTTATTAATGTAACACAATAACAGTTCTTTTATAGATTAGGTTTATCAGTTTTTATTTCTTCTACATTAATGCCTTTTTGAATTTCTATGCAGTTTCCCTAGCAGATCCACAGTGTGATATGCAGTTTATATTGTTGATGAATAAATTATATCTTATATTCCATGGCATTTCAACCAAACATCAGCAATTTACAATATAAAATCTGCATACTGAATGGATTCCTTTGGCTAACTTACCATATTTCAGGCATATAAATTGACATTTTAAGCAAATAAATAAATAAATAAATAAAATTAAATTCTAATTGATTTATATGCTAAGCATAAAATTAATAATGATCTTTTTATACATTTACTAACAATGGTACTTATTATATTTAATAAAAGTGATTAATAAACTGCAAATAACTATCATTCAAAATAAAATATATAAATTAATAAAAATATTTTTACTTAAACTGCTGAATTTAAATCAAATAATAGTCTATGTAATTATTTTAAAGGAAGAAAATAATAGTGTCCAGATATGGTGATGAAGCACTTTGAAAATATATTTTTGCAAATAACCTCCCCTTTTTAAAATTCTAATTTTTACATAAAAAAATTTGACCTAAAATCCACCATCATCTTCATAAGTTAAATGTTTATTTTCTTTTCATATTCTACTGCTGATGGACCTCATTCCCTGGCTGAATTACTAGAAACTTCATTTTGTCTCTCAGTGTTCCACAAAATAATCATTATTTTTTTTTCTTTCAAAGAACTGAAATACTCCCTTTTTACAAAAAAAGAATTTTACATTTAATTAATTAATTTTTTGTTACTTAAACTTAACAGCCTGGACATTTTTGCTTTTGAAGACTGAAAACTTGCATTATCAATTAGTAATAGAGAACTAACTGATACACCTATACGTAAAATTATAGATTATTTAGGTAAAAACTAGGTGTTGATTTATACACTGGGAAAATACAGTACTTATGTGCAAACTGAGTGCACAACTGGGGAAGAAAAAAATTTGTTTTATTTATTTATTAACTTGAGATGCAGCAAAATTTTAAATTTCACAGTATTTAGTGCTATTAGCCAACACCATCTTGAAGAATAAGGCCTGAGCACGAGTGACTGACTGATGTCACGAGCGATGTAATGATGAGAAGCCTGACACAAAGCAATGGAAAGTGTCTTCTAGAAGCTCAAACTAATCGACGATTCTATATTTTGCGCATTTATACTGCACTCTCACTTTCTAAATTCAAACTCTGCTGTGCATTTTAAGCCTAATTTTATATTCAAATTTCCAAAACCTTGTGAAAAGTTGATGAGAAATTAAGAACAACTAAAAATATGAACACAGTGTGTAAATTTCGTTTTTTCACAAATGCTGGACACTTGCATCTTAAACAGTGTATGAATAAATCAAACTATAAAAATAAATGCTAAATAACAACAAATTAATTTTATATATTTATTAATTTTATTCGATAAGTTTGTGTATAATTTTAATAATAATAATTGATAAATATGCTGCAAAAAGTAATGAAACAAATAAACAATAAGTGAGAAAATAACTGATGTTAAAGCATGATAATACGAGAAACTAGAATGAAAAAAAGAAATGAACACTAACAACATTTTATTTCTTTTATAATGCGTATTTCCAGTTATATATTTTGGATAAAAGAAATTAAAGAATTTTATTCCGAAAATATAAAATCAAACACTAAAAACTTTTCATTCAAGAAATGCAGAAAATACTTAAAACAGGAAATATGTTAAAAAGTTTACTCTAAATCGTGATTTTTAACTGAAGATACTTAAAAGAATTTTTCTAGGATGTAATGAAACTGTTATTTCACGTACAAAACAAAACAAAACAAAACAAAACAAAAAAAAACTGAAACTTGCACTACAAAGGATTTGTATAAGCAAAATGGGGGGGGGGGAAGTTGAATATAAGCAGAAGACATAAAAAAAGTTTTAAATTGCATAAAGATTTTATTTGTATTACCTTACTTTTGCAAATAAATCATCTTCTATATAGATTGAATTTAGAATTTCAATGAACTTCAATAATTATTTAACATGAAATTAAATGGTTTACCATTTAAAAAATTCATAGTTTTACCTCCTGAAGCCAAGTAAATCTCTCTTTTTATATTTAGATATTCTTAATTAAATTTGCTATTCCTTTCATTTAGGAGAAGTTAATCTTTAAAAAAAGACTTCAGTATGCTTGCTGATGACTTAAATTATAATCAAATAACTGAAAACTGTTACTGAATCTGATAGATATGAGTTACCATTAGAATGTAGTCAAATTACTTTCATCCAAATATGAAGGGTTCACTTTAAAAGCACAGCAACAGATATACTTAGTTTGTTCAACCATTATTAGTCAGTTAACGTTTTCAGAACTGTAGGCATATGTTTATCAGGGTATTATGCTGAAAACATTAAAAATTTTTTCCGAGTTTCTGAAATAGTTTGCTCAAAAATTATTTTTATAAAAAAAATTATATAATTAAAAAGAACTCTAAAAATCAGAGTTTTAAAAACATCATCATATTGCATAACTTACCATAATGGGCATGTTAACACTATCTTTAGTGAACTGGTTTAAGCATTATCATAATGGATTCATAATATCATAATATCATTTGGATACAAATTTAATGCTTTGTTGTATTTTATATATTTCTTTTTTGTTTCTTTTTTAATTTAATTTTTACTCATTCATTTGTTTCTTTGGTTTTAATTTTGTTAAGCTCTTGTAAAGTTTATTTCTTGTAAAGCTCTTTTATTTCTTGTATAGTTTGAATTTTTTTAAAATTTTTTGCAAAATTTTATTTCTCACAATTTTTTATATTGATTATATTACATAGATTTCCCATCCTGTATACAAGACATAATCATTGATATATTTACATTTTATAAATATACTATTTAGCTATTATATCTGCATTTATAAGTGCATAAAATACGGCAGATATTTTATAGTATCTGCATTTTTTACTTACTTGTACGAAGTAAAAAGGAAGTATTGTAATCGGGAAAAGTTTCAGGCAGCATATTTCAACGAAAATATCCATTTTGACCGCTATCGAATGCAATTTAACGATGTTTTTGTGTGATATCTGTACGTAAGGACAGAATAAAATACTCTTTTCCTTCAAAAAAATTATAAAACTGCTTTAAAATTAATTCTGAAGAGAATTTTTCGTGGCATCTGAACGAACGTATGTACATATGTGCGTACGTTCGTATCTCGCATAACTCAAAAAGGAGTAGCCTCAGAACATTGAAATTTTGTATATACGACTGGTATAACATGTAGATGTGCACCTCGTATTTTGGTTGCAATCGGCCGCACCAAACGTATATAAATATATTTATATATATATCTACTCTGTTACCCGGCTCAGTGATCTCAGTTTCTTTACTCTTACATATTTGTAAATTGTACATTTTTTGCTTTAAAAATGATTGAATTATGTTGTTTTTATCTTTCGGTTAAGGATTTTATGCCTTTAGTAAATCTGTGTGCAATATTTTTTAGAACTTATCAGCAATTTTAAAGTTGTTTAATTGCCGCTAAGCCTGTTTTTAATGGCGGCCATTGATGTTTACATTTGAAACAGGAGACTAGTGGATTTGTTGCCAATCTAGAGGAACTTAGCTTCGCAACAACAAAGATAATGCAGTCATTTATTATTGCCAATTAAATCATGCTTAATTCTGTCTGGAATTTTTTTTGAGGAAATAAGTGTTTGAGATTTACTTCGTAATTTTTTTAATATAGATATTTTGAGTTTTTATGTATTTTTGCCTTCTCGCGAAGTGAGAACTGAATTAATTAAATGAGAAATACTCAATCGTCTGTGAAAAACTGTTTCTTTTTTGTTTTGTTTGATTAATTTCTTTTATACATCATTGTAGCTTTATTATAGTATTTGAATAGAACATGTGGCAACAATTAGATAATTCTATTCTTTAAATGATATAAATTTTGTGCATTATGAGTTATAATATGAACGAAATATATACGTTAACTGTTATATATAATTATTGGATTATATAACAGTTAACTTAGTTTCTGTTATATAATTATTATATAAGTTAACTGTTATATAATTATTAATACTGTTAAGTGAATCCAGCGCCAGAGTGTCGCTATGGTAAACAAATACTAGAGTGAATTTTAAAGAATGCATTTATTCTATTGGGGTTTATGTGCTGTCGGTGAAGTAGACTTAATTCAATCCAATAAGTTTAAATGAAACGCAAGAAAAAATGCGTATAATTAATATTCCAATACAAGGAAGTCATGTGGTGTACACATCAGATTTTTTTATATAGTATTTAAAAGTATTACTATAAGAAGCATATTCAAGGATAATAAGTGCCAGAAAGGATATTATTCCATAATATAACCTTTTAATGAACTGATTACGATACATTATTGTGATGGATATGAATATAAAGTTATATTCCTTTTTATATATACCTTGAAAACAAGTTTCATTTTTTTTTATATAACTTCTTTTTTGTGTGAATTCTTATTTCATCTTATTAATTTTTGATAATTTTTAATAATTATTTTATTTCATGCAAACAATATCTAAAAAATATTCAAGTAATTTTTCTAAGTACTGATGAAAAACTGCTTATTGTTACAAACACCATATATTTAGTTTATTAAAATTTAGTTACCTGTTTAATTTGACATAAAAATTACTTACCTTTGATAATAAATTATTATTTATTATTTTTTGGAAGTGTAATGGTGTATCAGTTTTTAAGCTCTGAAAAAGTAATTTCCCTTCCAAAAGCAAACATATTTTTCATTTCATTCTCTTGTGAAAAAATTTTCACTGCCTTTTAAATTAGAATATCAGGTTTAAAATGAAATGTTTGAAGATAATAATAGCAAAATAATAAGGAAACAGTTTTAGTTTCATTGAATAATAAATTATGCATATGAATATTAGGTTAAATTTATTCTAAAATTTATATCTTTATGAAATCTGAAATTGTGGGCATATATCTCTCAACATTACTTCATTGGAAAAATTAATCTAAGAGAAAATTACAGATCAGGTTTATTAATTACTTAATAATAATAATCAATAAAAAGAGAGAAAATTAGAATTCATACTTATTTACTTTTACTGTGCACTCTCATTTATTACATTTTACAATGCAATAAAAAACAAATCTTCCTGACTTCTTCGAATAATGCATAACATTTAAATACAAAAATTCTATTGCAAATTTTATTAATAGGGTCTGAATAACACATATCATAATTAGTAAGTTAAACAAATTGGAAGCAAGCAGGAGCTAAGTAAATAAATCAGCAAAGCAAGGAACACAGACATGAGCAACTGTTTTTCTGCTATGACGTCACGCTTTCGTGCTCGGGCTTTGTAACTCTATCTAGAAGGTCTTGTATTGGCACCTTATATAATTCCAAAGTGATAATTAATAAAGAATTTCAATTCCCTTAATCATAAAATGTAAATTATTAACTAAAACACAAATTTGTTGTTAAAATTTCATAAAACTTGGTACAGTCAAAAGTCGTTAATCCGGACTCGTCGGGACTTCGGCGATTACAGATTATCGATTTTTCCGGATTATAGATCATCAGTTTAAATCTGGTAAAATGGCATGCAGAAATTATAAAATTAAAAATATGAAACCGTAATTTATGAAATAAAGAACAATTATGATCTAAAGGGTATCAAAATTTACAAAAAAAAGCTTAATATTTATTTGTTTACTTTATTAAACATTTCTTTCAATGTAAGTTGTTTCAGTTGCTTCGTTTTTTATGTGATAATACATTCTCTTCAATTCTATAAACAGACATAATTTCTTGTTCAGTTACAAAGTTCCGCTGTTCAAGTTCTATAATTGCTGTGTCGAGAATACCGACTAATTTGTCAATCGAAATTTTTTCGTTTTCAATAACCTATGTCACTTTCTTCGCTATCGGAAGTGAATTATAATGACCAGGCATTTGATTTAAATCATATCAAAGACGGAGTACATCGAAATGAAATACTACATTGAGTAAGCAATTATAAGCCAAATAAAATAAAAACATCTGCCCTTAAGATAAGGATAGTGCTGTAAATCAACTTCCAATTCATTGCACGCCGCCGTGGCGTTTAAGATAAACAAAGTTTAGATAAACAAAAAATATGCCTTTAACCATTTTTTGCAGCAATTCCACTTTTTGTTTAATGGACTCCGAAAGATACTTTCGCTTTGTATATCCTTTACATATTAGTAAATATATATCGGAAATTCTATTTGACATAATCGAAAGTTCAAGCTTACTTTTATAAAATTGCTCTAACAGTCTGCACAAAATAATAATCCGGATCCAATTCGAAGATTAAGGAACAACGCAATCTGCAACATTAACCGAAATAGATAATTAGATAATTTTAGCTTAGCTTATCCGTCCGTTATACATTAAACGCGCATTCGTAAACGTATTTTGCGCACGCACACACGCAAATTCGCAGCGGTAAAGGTCTGCGCATGCGTCAGAACGACGCATGCGCAGAAAGTTTGTAGCTTTTAGGTCCGGATTATAGATCATTCCGGACTATGGGTGTCCGAATTAACGACTTTTGACTGTATTTACACAATGAGTGATTCTCAAACATAATCTTAAATACTTTCCTGAATGATACATTATTATTAACTGTATATTTGATATATTTGAACATCAATTTTTATCATTTTATATTTTACTGACAAAGAAATTTTAAAAAGTAAAATTTGCTCACTTTCTTGTGTTGCTCAAGAAACTCATGCAAAAGATTTATTCTAGCTATAACTTCAGTATATGATTTACAAGGGTAATAATAGATTCCTTTTAGGATCCTATCAAGGGTAAACTCTTCGCCAGAAACTGTAAAATAAAGAACACACAATAAAAGTGTGTAATTATATGGTTTGATATTGATTTAGAAAACAAAAAGAGACAAATTTTAAACTAAAAATAACAAAATAAAAGTGCCTACTAGTACCCAAGTGTATAACACCACTGAACTAACCACTAGCTTAGTTTTGACTTTGATTGAGCAAAATCGACTGGTTGCACAAATTTCATGTTCATTCTACAGTAATAAGTTAGTTATAACAGTAATAAGCTACAGTAATAAGTTAGTAATAAGTCTGTTAGGAAATCATCCAAAAAGTTACACCTTATTGGAAGAGAAACATGTCAATGTAAAATTTTAATTATGCAAAACAGCAAATTATATTGGCATAGATTTCGAATAAACTTTACCAATTTTAAAGGCATTTTTTCTCGGTACCAAAAATTTTGCAAAAGTGGGAGAAGCAACAACCACATGTAAATGGAAATAAACAGATAGAGCAATAACTAATCCTGGCTGATCACATGATCCTAATTTTAACTTTGTTCTGTGAAAATTACTAAGCTTGTTTGGCTGGTGACTATGATTTTCTGGAAACTTTTTGCATTTACAAAAATGCAACTTCTTTAGTTAATGATATTAATTCCAATTCATTTCTTCCCATTGCTTTCAAATTCTAATGCCTTAGCTCTTTTTTGCATTTTGTTACTATTTACCTATGTTCATTTTTACTTTGCTCTGTCTTTTGCTTTTTATATAAATGCTACATCTTCCACCACTGAAAAAATGTTCTGTTCCTGAAAAAGAATGGCATATGTCTTCATCAGCCTTGAAATCATTGAATTTTATTCAAAATCTATGCTAGCCTTTTTTTTAAATCCCTTCAGAGGCAGACAACACTTATAAGTTTTTTAAAGATAAACTGCAGTATTAGGAAACAAAGATAATAAAAGAAAAGCAGTATTACATATATCGTAATATAAATACTAAAATATTTGGTACTCTTCTGTTATTGGGGGACTGGATTCAGAATTGTGTGTATGTATAGATGGATGTGTTAAAGTACGCATGTATTTTTTATATGTACGTACATATATATATGTGTATATACACACATTTACCCTCATATATATATATATACATTTCTGAATAGGGTCTGAAAAACACAACAGTACCAAATATTTTTAAAGCATACAAGAAGACTTTCATATTGCAAAATGTTTCCTTTGTGTATCCCAAAAATACAATTAAATGTCTTAAAATCTCACTGTCATTTATTCCAGCCATATGCAACAAAAAGGAATCATTAGTTAATGCAAGCCAATGGTATATTAAAATAAAAGAAAGGTAGAATGGATAAACATGACTAATATATGCTAATGATGATTTCAAGTCCTTACTATGTGATAATAACTACTGTGAAGTATTTAAAAAAGATAATGAATTTTTTTTTAAAAATTATACTTGGTGATCCCTCAAGTAATATTTTTCAGATGGGACATGTTAAAACACTTTCTTGCACATCTAACCAACTGATTTTCATTGATGTATACAACAGAACAAACTTCATTCAGATAAATTCTGACTTGAAAGTATGCTAGTACTAATTTATTGCTTTAATAGTCCCTCATGAAAATAACTGTCAGAGAAAAGCTCATCAGACATGTCATGGTTTACAAGAATAAAAAATCTGATGTGTACTCCACATGACTTCCTTGTACGGAATATTAAATTATACACATTTTTTTCTTGCATTTCATTTTAACTTATTGGATTGAATTAAATCTACTTCGCCGACAGTGCATAAACCACGACAGAATAAATGCATTCTTTAAAATTCACTCTAGTGTTTGTTTACCATAGCGACACTCTGGCGCTAGATTCACTTACCAGTATTATATTTCGTTCATATTATAACTCATAATGCACAAAATTTATATAATTTAAAGAATAGAATTATCTAATCATTGCCACATGTTCTATTCAAATACTATAATAAAGCTAGAATGATGTACAAAAGAAATTAAGCAAACAAAACAAAAAAGAAATAGTTTTTCACAGACGATTGAGTATTTCTCATTCAATTAATTCAGTTCTCACTTCGCGAGAAGCCAAAAATACATAAAAACTCAAAATATCTATATTAAAAATTACGAAGTAAATCTTAAACACGTATTTCCTCGAAAAAATTCCAGAAAGGATTAAGCATGATTTAATTGGCAATAATAAATGAAGGTGTTATCTTTGTTTTAAGCTAAGTTTAAAGAATCTAGAGAAATTTATCAAGCTAAGTTTCTCTAGATTGGCAACAAATCCACTACTGTTTCAAATGTAAACCATCAATGGCCGCCATAAAAAAAAAGGCTTAGCGGCACTTAAACAACTTTAAAATTGTTGATAATTCTAAAAATATTGCATACAGATTTACTAAAGGCATAAAAAACCTTAACCGGAAGATTAAAAACAACATAATTCAATCATTTTTAAAGCAAAAAATGTACAATTTACAAATATATACGACTAAAGAAACTGAGATCACTGAGCCAGGTAACAGAGTGGATATATATATATATAAATATATTTATATATGTTTGGTGCGGCCGATTGGAACCAAAATACGAGGTGCACATCTACATGTTATAGCAGTCCTATATACAAAATTTCAACGTTCTGAGGCTACTCTTTTTTGAGTTATGCGAGATACGTTCGGACAGACCCAAAAAAAATTCTTTTCAGAATTAATTTTAAAGCAGTTTTATAATATTTTTGGAGGAAATGAGTCTTTTATTCTGTCCTTACATACAGATATCACGTAAAAACATCGTTAAATTGCATTCGATAGCAGTCAAAATGGATATTTTCATTGAAATATGCTGCATGAAACTTTTCCCGATTACAATACTTCCTTTTTACTTCGTACAAGGAAGTAAAAAGGCAACAGGACAATCAATGCTGTAAAAAATGTGGGGGAATTAAATGGTAAAAATATTTTGAATATTCAAAATTGCTAATAATGGTTTTAAACTTCACCAAGGTAGCATTAGCTTGAAAATGCAGCTTCTATAGCACCCTGCCTTGCTTCATAATGATGTACTGAAAGCAGCAGTTTAAGAAATCCATATGTAACTGTTGAAGAGATGGAAAAAGAGGGTTAATTCATCATCATCAGCGGTTTACTGGTATATGAAAGAAGTTAAAATTACATATGTAGCTGTTAAAGAGATGGCAAAAGAGGCTAAATTTATCATCATCAACAGTTCACTGGCATATGAAAGAAGCTAAAATTACATCTAAGTTTGGCAGATGGGCTCTAGATGAATTTACTGACATTAATCAACGAGAAAGTGTGAACTCAGCACTGCTCTTCATTTACATGAGAAAACAAAAAAAGAAAATTTCTCTGATTCAAAGCTTGCAAAATTTCACTCATGGCAAAAAATAAAATTCCCATGAAGCATTTGGAACAGACCATCAATACCTTTTCACAAATTAACCAACTGATTTCTTTAGAAATAACATAAAAAAACTATTATGATACTGGAAGTACGTTATTGTTTTAGGAGAGGAAATATATAGTTAATTAAATTAGTATCTTGTTTTTTCAGTTCTTAAAAACTGCTTCAAAAAATGACATTAGTTATGGATTGATGTGGTAAGAGTAAATTTAATTATAATAAACATATAAGTCATTCATCTACATTGATATTTTTCAGTCATCAGTTTTACTAGTTCTAAATTTTAGAAATGAAAATTTTATTATTATAAAAAATGAAAGATTTACAAGAAAAAATAAAACATATTTATAGAAAAATTTATTTATAAAGCATGTTTTTTATAAATATATATTTTATTATTTATATACTTTTATAAATATTTTATAAAGTATTTAGTATATATATCAAGAGATAATAATTAAATCAAAAAATGATTAGCTAGAAAAAATTCTTAAAATTTTAATTTTAAAATATTTTATATTAATTTTATTAATTTTAGATAAACAATTTAATGGCCTTACATTTTGTTATAAATTACTTCAATTTTTTTCTTTATTTACACTTATTTTTAATTATTTTTATAATTCAGAAACATGACTCTGTTGAAAATTTTTTTGGTTTCTTCCTGAAAAAGATCACAGAATTTTCAACTATGTATTTTTTTATACTTTTGTTAGCTTATCGAATTGTTTTGTTTTTGTTCCAGTTTTGATTTATGTTCTTCCTGTGAGCTTGTTAGCTGCCATTTTTTTCATTTAATTATTATCTCTTGATTATTTAAATAATTTTGCAGCCTATAGCATGACTACTAATTAAAAATCTTAATTTTAAATTTTCTAAACTCCTTCTGTAGTTTGTTACTTCGTATATGTAACAGAGATAAACAGATTAATAGATTTTGATGTATATATATCAGAATCTGTTTTGTTAAGTTTAAAAAAATTAGTTAAGTTAAAAAGAAATATTTAGTAATATGAGCTTCCCTTATTCACAGACAGTCTAACATATATAAAAATGTGTAAATACAAAATTAAGATCGCAGATAATATATAAATATAGAAACATATACTGCCGTGATAAGTTATATGTAAAGTAAGATTATTGTTTTTGCTTGTTTTAATTTTTACACTGCTTCTCTTTGGTTTTGAAGGGAAAAACAGCATTTTTTATTACTACTTACTTCAACATACATTCATGCATATGCTTTCATTTTGACATCATATACAAGGTGCACCCATAAAATAACTGGAATTTCTTATGAATAAGAAAAAGATTACTAACCTTCAGATAAATTCATCTCATACAAAATAATCACCAGAAGAGTATAAACAGTTTTTATAACATTTTTTACAGGTCATCAAAATACTGTTTATAGGTTTTGGAACTAACTGCACTCATGTCCATAAATTAAGGATAATTCGGAGTCACGCAGAAATCGAACTCTAAAATAAATATATCACCTGTAAAATCACTACACACATCTTCAAGAATCATATGCAAATTTCAGGAAGTAACCAGATGACACCGATGGTACG